ACTAGTCTGAATCAAGTCAAGAGCATCCTGTAAATGCATAAACCTTGAATGGTTTTCTCTTGCCACTGCAGGTATCGTTCTCAAGGCATAGCAGGAGAGAAGTCAGTCGATAGTACTTTCTACCTGCTCTTAGACCTGATGACATTCTTTGATGAGTACCACGCAGGTCACGTCGACAGAGCCTATGACGTGAGTACAGCTGTGATCGTATAGGGAGGGGGCTGATGTGAAGAACTGGCCCAAAGTCCCTCTGTTCAGTACATTCATCATCAGTCATTTCACAGCCATCAGGTTGTAATAAAATGTTGTCATACATCTAGTATGTGATACCCTGATTACTATATTGTATTGACGATACCGTGTTGAATACATATACAGTTCCTTTGTTAATGTTCTCTGTTTCTCTGTCAGGTGATGGAGCGTCTAAAGCTCCTCCCTCTCAGTCAGGACAGTGTAGAGGAGAGAGTGGCGGCTTTCAGGAACTTCAGTGATGAGGTGGGATCGGTTTCTGAACGCTCAAAAAAGGCACATTCAGACTCTCTCACGACACGCAGCTTTTGTCTTTTTCTCTTTCTCTAAACTTCCTCTGTGTCTCCAGGTGAGGCACAACCTGTCCGAGGTGCTGTTGGCCACCATGAACATCCTGTTCACCCAGTACAAACGCCTGAAGGGGGCGCCAGCGGGCACACCAGGACGACCACAGAGGACCATAGAGGACAGAGACATGGTGAGAGGCCAGAATCTAGTCCATTTGAAGCTCTTTGAATTTCCTTTTATGTGTGAATTGTGCTTTATTAATCAAGAGTCAAATCAAGACTGGACTTTATGTAGATAGATATTTCCAATCAATCTCTGTTGTGATACACATTTAGAAGTACAGAAGCAGTTTGTTCTTCTAGTGGCAGCATGTTAACGCTTCAAATGTCTTTTAAACAGCAACTGCGCAGCCAGGCCAGAGCCCTGATCACCTTTGCTGGTATGATTCCCTACAACATGGCCGGGGACACCAACGCAAGACTGGTGCAGATGGAATTACTGATGAACTGAACATCCACACACACACACACACACACACACTCACACACACACACACACACACACACACACACACACACTCACACACACTCACACACACACTACTGGATACACAATCATACACACACTCATTTGTCTGCCATTTTGTTTTGTATAGGCCACTATATTCATCAGTGTGTCAACAGATACGTCTTTATATCACCTGTTCCCGTCGTCAGTTCTCTGTTTTTGTTCTGTTGTTTTTCCCATTTTGTTGTTTCATATTTGTATCTTTGATGATTTGGAATAAAAAAAAATAAGTGTACTTTTCAGTTGCCTTTTTATTTGAAAACACCTTATTTTTTATTTTCATTCAGCCTTTTCTTTTTTTTTTTATTCATTTGCCTCATTTTACCTCATGTTTTTACCATAATTGTCGCACACGCAGAGCAGTCAGTCGTTTTAATTGGACACACTATCAGTTCTCCGTTTTATAATGGTTCCAGTACTATTACTTTATCCTGCAGCTATTTAAATTTGTTTTCTCAGTGCTGGTTATTTCAGTGGTGGATTCATTCCACCATTTAAACTCATAAGTCATTTCTGCTGGATGGATGTTTTGCTCTACATTTACTGTGACTGAAGCCTGTAGGGTAATGAATGTCCTGAGCGTGCGCGTCTTATACAGCACCTCATAACCAGGTGTTAAGTTTTGATAGACATGATCACACCTTCCAGTGTGTTTTCATGGACGAATCGGCTCACAGGTTTGTTACAGAAAGAAACATTGTCCTCCACAGGGTCTGTCTTAGTTTGTGTACTTTACTCTATCATTTATTTTCATGCATAAATTAATACATTTGTTCTCATGAATAATTGATAACTAAAATGTTCAAACAAACCACAGCTAAAAAGATGCATGAGTACAGCAGCTTTGGACGGAGAAGTCACCATGAATTCATGTTGGATTATTTATTAACAGAATATGAACAGAATTAAAACACTGTTCATATCGTTTTAGCAGAAGCTGCAGATATTTCTCGTCAGACACTAAGAAGAGGCATTTCACGTCACTCTGGTTTAACATAAGCAAGTTACTGTCTACAGTGGATGATCTGGAGTGTTGCAGGCCCGAGCCATGTTGTTGTCCAGAGGCTGTAGTACAGTATCTGACACGTCCCCTCCCCTGGCAGATGGCTGGTTGGCTTGAAGTCGACCACGGGACTGGAGGGATATTTGTGTCTCTGTACCAGAGGGGTGATTTCTGTGGTAATGAATGGAGGAGACATGTTTTAACACTAAATGCAGAGCATACCTCTTAGCTATCCATTTTAGGTTTTACAGTATTTTACATGGTGAATAAAAGGAATGAGAGTTTTGCATGTTCCTTAATCAAATTAGCCTATTTTAATGAAACGTATGACCAGGATTGTCCCGCAGTTTTGATGCTACATGTTGTGAAAGGTTGTGAAAAATGTTCATACCCACTTTTATTTGAAGTTTATTGGACTTTCTTAATATTTGATCTACAAATTTAAACCTTGTTACACTTTGCTTAAACTTCTCAGAAAGAATAACATATCAAATGTGTTTTTTTTTCTTTTAACCACCTAGTGACACCTTTTGCAATCAACTTGAACACCCAAGAAAGTATCAAGCAACAGCCTACCAATATCCTGTTCAACATTTAGCAGCAAAAACTGACTTCTGTTGAGGTTTAAAAGACACTGACTACATGTTAATCTTCAGAAACAATCACCCCCTCTGCTAAATTTGTGGCCCACTCTCTCTGTCCTCCAGTCTGGCCTGAGAGAACACAGATGGAGGCTCATTCTGTCTTGGCTGCTCCACATAACTGTACAGAGATGTGAAGTTCATCCACGGCCACAGACAGAGCTGAGCCAATTACTATGGGATCCATGCTGTCGTACCCCAGACCTACCTAGACCCAGCACGGCCCTCTAACACTTACTATTGTGCCAATGTGAAAATCTCCTGGTTTATAAATGACATTGGAGTAGATACTCCCAACTAAAATCTGATGCTGATGAGCAGCTCAACAAGTCTGCCGCAGAGACTCCTGACCAATCACACTGTAGTATAATCTCTATTTACATCCCTCTTGAACGAGCTTGATGTGGTTTTTCTACAACCTGCCGTGTGTGTGTGTGTGTGTTCGTTCGTTCGTTCCAATTCCTCCAACAGCAGAAGACGTGCGTCTCAGGTGTGTGTGCTGCAGCTGGTGTTGTGAATCAGGCCGATGAAAAACACCTCCAATAACCCGGCTATTTCACAACACCAGGGTGGCACTGCACCACTGCCGACAAGACCAAGAATCACTACATGATGCTGCTAAGAGAGATGATGCTAAGACCGCTGAAAAATTACTTCAGTGGCCTCTATACAGATACTGATATTTTGTTCTTACAGTGTGTTTTTCTGTGTGACATGAATGTAGGTTTTGTCAGTTTCAATTGCTGTGCTGACATTATGGCTTTTCCATCTCATCAAAACATCCATTTTTCTTTCCCCACCCCCCCCATTCATAAATTGGACACATGTATATATACAAATACATATACATATACACACACACACACACACATATATATATATACACATACATATTCACTGAACTTTCTAAACCCCTCTCAGCACTCTGTAAAGCACAAACCTGTAAAATCCTTTTTACCTTTTTGGTCTGTTAATAAATAATATTACCAGTGTTTCCTCTGTGGATATGTTCTGTTGTTTGTGTCCAAACTTTGAAGTAGAAGTCGCTTAAGCACATTTATTAAAACAAAGAATATTTTTAACAAATTTCAGTTTCAGATACACTTTATTTTGATTTCACCGAAGAAAAAAAACTGATGGGATCAGAAGAAATACAACTTAAAGATGAGTCGAATAAAATGTACTAGTTTCATTGGAGCGATCTAACTGTTTAATTAAGATACTTGGTGTCTTGGTGCGTATGAACTAAAACCCTCCTCACCATATGTTTTTGTCATGCATAATGGGATGCCTCCAAACTTTACTGCCATCATTTAAAAAACATTAAGAGCCTTAGGTTTGAAAAAATCTTGTATCCTCTGACTCAGTTTCTGCCTGGGCTTAAACACAGCTCAGTAACTATTTGGGCATTAAAAAAACCATCATGGTTTCAAGTCATTTGTTTTTAAAGAACTAGTTACAAACATGTTTCACTGACTTTATTTTACACTACAACCTGTTTTGTTAACAGACTATGGCAGAAATACTTTGCAAATTCCAGAGAGAATATGGTTTGTGACTTTTCAGTGGTTGAATATCAGTCATGTTTGGCTGAATAATTGTCCCAGTGGACCAGTGTAAGGCTGTAGCAGATCTGGTGGCATAAAAACCTTAAAAGGTCTGAGGTTAAGTGATTTTAAAGCAACATGACATCATCATCACATCATCTATATGCAGTGCAGGAAGTGTTGTCATTCTGTCTAATTCAGAGGGACAGGTTGGATGATTTGTGGACTACAGTGTTCAATAATCCCATCTTCACATATTAATGCTATTCAGTATTGGGCTACAAAAGTTGAGACGCAATTTGAACGATGCTAAACATCGAGGCTAATCAGTTTGGAACCTTTTAATCTCCTTTTTGTGTAGGAGTTCAGTCAGTTTATTAGAACATTAAACCTTCACTTGTAAGCAGTACAGTTGTTCTAACTGAGTATGGTCAGCCAGATCCTTCAGTCAAAGATGTCCCATCTTAATGTTTGTAGACCATTTGTATTTTTTACTATCTATCAGAGGAGGAGGAGATCGACTTGAGCGTGGAGACATCATTATCATTATCTCAGAACGTGAAATGATGACCAGGTGTGATCTGCCACCAGGGATCACACCTTCAATCACTGTGCAACAACTTATTGTGGCTCTGATATGTCCCAACAAAAACAGATGGTCTGTGCCCAAAGAGGAGGGAGGCCTGCCTGATGATGTCTGAAAATATGGACTCCAGCCTCCGGGTGAGATGAGTTGGCACTGTAAGAAATACAGTGACACACTTATGGTATTCCCTATAGACACTGTAATTTCCTACCATGGAACCATCATGGCAGAGCCCCCTACTATTTTGATCTGTTGACTCAGAAAACATGATTTCTTTCCCTTTTCTACCCAAATATTTCTCTGTTTAGGTTTATTAAATGTGGGATCTAAAAGAAGTAGTATAAATTGAGCATTGAATGATTGACATTTCAGTTTCATAATTCCTGGTCGTTATGTTGATTGTAGAGCTATTTCACATACTGTAAGTGGTGATGGGGTAAACTTGCCAAAGCACTGAACCACTTTGTGCTGACAATAGTGACACCTGGTGGAGATTCAATTTAATTGTACATAGAAGTAAGTGGATAAAGTGTATGTTTTTCTGTTGTTATCAAAACTGCACTTATTTTTGTTGATCGATAAAATATGATAAAATGTCTGAAAATTTCCAGAATTCAAAAGCTACGTCCTCAAATTAATTATTTCCGGGTTTACAGTTTCCAAAATTTTTGTAGAAATTGGTTGAAATTGTTTTATTTCACCAATGACTATAACTGACAGACCATACAATGATGAATAAAATTTAAAAATATATATATATAAATATAGGATTCATTTTCCCAGTCGTGAAAATGGTTACATTTTAAGGCGTTAACGAGCACGAGCACCCAGCACTGCAAAAAAACAACAGGTGTTCATAATTGGAGAGCAGCAGGTGCTGAAGACGACGACGACGACGACGACAGAGAAAACGTTCAGTTTGACTGAAAATATTGTATTCAAAATTAGAGGAATATAAAAAATAATTAAACTGCTATAAAATATTTTTACAGCAATGATCCTAATCGGCTTTAAGATGGGTGTAAGTTATTAAAGTAGTAGTAAAATTATTGTCCATTTAGAAGAAAAGTAAGCTCAATGTTTGTTTGTGTAGCTCTTTTTTTTTACAAGGTAGGCTAAAATATTAATAAATCATTTAACACTTTACACAGTTAAAGTGGAAATATTTCTTTCTTCAAACCAGCTGAGCGTTGTCCTCGTGCTTCTCTTCGGCCTCACGCGACATAGTGTTGACGGTAAGGCTGTCTGTTCGTAGAAACGTATCAGATGTGTTGTAGCTTGACGGATCATTTAGTAACTTCTTTGCTGTATCTCCAGGAATCTGCAGTGTGGAACATTGCACTGACTCTAAGAGATGTGTTCTGTCCGAAGACCAAAGACGCTGCAAATGTGCCATGGGATATTATTCTGACCAGTGTGACAAAAGTAGGTAAATTTTTTTTTTTTTGTTGGTTTTTTTTTTTTTTTTTACATAATATTGTTTTCTTTTACTTAACACAAAAGTTAGTTAGCTGTTAGTTTCAGGAAATCTCCAAAAACTTCCTAAATTGCCTCTTCAGCAATTTAGTATTGCACTTTCATGAAGTTGGGAGTGTAGGCTACTCATTGAGTGGTTGTCACTTACATAGAATTCCTAAATTTCCCTTTAAGGTATTTCTACTGTGTTTTTTTTGGGATGTGCCGACTAAGCAGTCCAATTATTAATCTCAAGCGTTAAGTTTCTGCAGTAAAATAAAGATATTTTATATGCATCACAATTGACTTTTACAGATGCACACATTAAAGTTATGTGTGGCAGAGACTACATAGCAATCAGAGCAGTGGAGGATTTCTTCAAGTATCATAACGTGCCGCTGGAGTCCCTGCACTTGCCCAACAAATCTTGTCGTGCTCAGAGAGAAGTCATTGATGATGTGCCATTCTACATATCCAGGATATCCAAAGACAAATATGTGACTTGTGGAGGCAAGCCGCTGGAGGTACAACTGCAATATTATCTATTTACATCCACAGCAATACATTTCATGTAAAGGTTTACTTTCACTGGTGAGTTCAAGGTTTAGTAGAGAACAGACTATGTAAACCAATGTCACTTAACTTACACAATAGAAACACAAATATTGGACAAGTAGTCGTGACCAATAGCAACGTTTTTGTTTTTTCTTCCCCTCTCACAGAAAAACTTTACTCACATCTCATACACTCTGAGTCTACTATCAGACCCTCAAGTTAGTGGAAACATCATCAGGGATCCAGTCATTAAGATGGCCTACACATGCGTCTATCCATACATGAGGAGAGTCAGTCTGCCTTTCCCAGTGGTCCCATTTTCCAGGTAAGCAAGTACGAAAGGAAAGTACAAGTAGGCCGTTCAGGATAGATAGTTTACAACCCCCCCGTCTCCATGGCAACTGAGCATATCCATCACCTAAGAGATGCCACACAATGTTTTTTTGTGCGTGTGTGTGTGTGCCATATTACTTGTGTTTCCCTGACTCTCCTCTGCACTCGGACAGTGAGAAGGTGATGCGCGTAGATGAACTTGATGCCACAATACAGATGATGCTATACACAGACCACACTTACACTAAGGCTTTCAGCAGTGCCCCCACCATTGAGCTCAGAGACAAGGTAGGTAAATGATGATGCTCTGATCAATCAGTGCAACTAAATATTAATCGGCTCTTGGTTAAGCTCTTTGTAATGTGTCAGAGATGGCTTTAGTTAAGTTAAGTTTTAAGTTTTTTAAAAAATGTGTCCAGGTGTACGTGGAGGTGACAGTGACAGAGCCTGCAGATTTTTTCCTGCTTCGTGTCAATGAGTGTTGGGCCACACCGTCTCCCCAGCCGAACACAACAGAGGGATCAGTTCATACTCTGCTTCTAAACGGGTCCGATCTCCTCTCAATATGGACAGTTCGTCTCAGTTACTATGAATTCCACAAATGCCATGCCTTCTCCTCCTTTCCATCTCTCGATTCAGGTGCGTGAACGACCGAACCGTCTCCTTTATTAATGCGAGCACGGGACAGTCTGGACGTAACGGAGAGAGTTCCACCATCCGCTACAGCTTCGACATGTTTCGCTTCACAGCAGAGCCGCACAACCTGTATCTTCACTGCACTGTACAGCTGTGTGAGCCAGACGACCACAAGTCCTGCACCCCCGTGAGTGCTCTCATCATACTGTCATACTTAGCAAGTTTAAGATGCCGATATGACGTGTCATGTTCTTGTCTTAACACTGGTAAAGTCAAAAAGAAAAAGTCTCAAAAGAGCAATGAAGGGATGTGTATGACTTTATAGGATTTATTGTGTTGCCTGTATGGCTTCACTTTGCAGTCTCTAATGGCTTGTTTTTGTTTCGTTACAGAACTGTAATTCGATTAGTAAGAGAGAAGCAGTGAGAGCAGACCCAGTCCAGGGCCTGCTGTCATATGGACCCATCAAAATCGAAATGCCAGAAAGACCTCTGTCCAGTAAGATCCTCTCACTGTTGTCTGTATGTTTTCACTCCGTAGGCCTCATTAGAAGCCTTGTTATCCCACTGTATTTGATCTGGATGTGTCTATTATCTCCATTCAACATTTGTTTCAGGCATACTGATGACGGTGGTGCTGCCTGTGGCATGTGTCTGGACTGTGGGCTTCTTCCTCATCATCCTCATCACTGTGGCAAAGGCAGGCAGCAGGAGGGTCGCACAAATGGAGCACTGACAACAATGCTGCTGCGTTTGCAGTTTGAATAAAACTTTAAAAAAACGTCCATGTATTCTTATATTCCTGTCCTGATATATGATAGTCAAAACAAGCTAAAATTAAATTGTATATTAAAAACTAAATTGTAAACTGGGCAAAGATGTGACTTCCAAAGTCAAGCTTAAGAAGCAATGGTGATGTTTTCTCTAAACACTTGAAATAAAGTTCCTTAAATCAGTTCAGGAAGCTTCATGTAGATTTTAATCCATTTTCTTCTGGTTTGAAACTAAATTAACTACTGAAGGTGGGGGGGTGGGGGGCACTTGCACTTGCAAAGAGGAATAAAACACTATCAAACAATAATGAAAGCAACAGCATTCCTGGCGAGAAACAGTTTTTATTAATACAAAAGCTTTATTAGACTTTCACAGGAGGATTTTGATAAGTCATAGAAGGAAATGCGCAAGTGTAACTGATGACATTAAACAGTCAGGGCACTTAAACTGAGCCATTATAATTATTACTTGCACCTGTGCTTCACCTGCTATGACAAGTCAATATGAAAGTTTCAAGTTGAATTAAACTTTAACTTTGGGGAATGCATAATACCAAATGTACCATATAAAACAACCACAGTCTCTAAATATATGTGAGTTAAAACACCAGGATTTATATACTTGTGGTGTATGAGAACGATAACTGATAATTTGCTGTAGTTTCCCATAGGAACAGCAGATGGCACACTGACCATTACCTCCTCTGGCCCTCTGAGGTGGGTCTGCTTTATTAAGAGGGAGGAGGGTCCTCTTCATAGGAAATCATTAGAAATCTTTTATCTGCTACACAAGTGTGTGATGGTGGTCTCTTAAGTGCTTACGCAACGCGTTTCCGTCCTGTGTTAAAACCGAAGACTTCCATTGCCACGAGAGTCTGCAGAGGAAATGTGATAGTGTTGCCCACTCCTGAATTTATTTATTTTCTTCGTATACACAAAGTTAACTTCTGAGGAACTTTCCATGCGCTGGGACGCAGCTTGTGTTTGCAGAGGGTGACGGAGGCTCAAAGGATTTCTTACTGTGCTCCCTGCTGCTGATCAGCCATTGTGGACTTGGGAAAGGGGCAAGGACTTATTCATTTGCCCGCTGGCTACAGTAGTTGTATGCATGAAAGAAGCTGCTGTATGAACACTTGAATAAGCCATGAGGCTGCTGTCCCGGGACAAATCGGACTGCCTGCAACCAGGAATGGATTAGTATCGTTTTGATTTTCGGAGGGTTTGTAAATACACCTTCATTCGTGTGATACCCAATTTTTTTTTTTTTTTTTTTGAAAGATTTCTTATGTGCCAACTCCAACAATGAGCCGATAGCTCACTTTTTTTGGGGAGCTTGTGATTAAATGTAAGAGGAGGAGAAGAAGATAAACTCTACAGTGCTTTTGTCACCACATCTTCGCCACTACGCAACTCTGAGCTGCCATCTGGGGACCCCAGGCAGCAGATCATGAAGAAGATGGCATCTCAGCAACCCTGGACACAGATCATGATCACATTGTTGTCTCTATGCTCCCTCATCCTGTGCAGCACTGTGGCAGATGTCCCAGAGGAAGAAGGCTTCGGTGCTGAGGTACAGTAATGTCTTTGGGTTCATGGTACCGACCAGATATCTCGTTTAGATGATCACAATAGTCCATTGTTTCCATCGTGTGTTGTGTGTTTATACATTTACAATTGTCATGATATTACTATTACATCGTTATTGATTATACGAGGAAATCCCTGTCTTATTTTAGAAATATAGTTCTTCATAAGCAGGTTATAAGTTCAAATCTTCATGTTTGTGTTGCCAAAACATCAAAGCATCAGGTCAGCTGTTGCACTACAGGGATGTAATTTGACCTTTTGCCCTTTTTCCAAATAACATCAACACAGCACATGTGGCACACACATGGAAAGGGTGCAGATCTATCTATCTATCTATCTATCTATCTATCTATCTATCTATCTATCTATCTATCTATCTATCCAGTTATTTCAGTCTCAATTTTAAATTCTCCCATTCTTATCCGGCTTGTTGCCAAATAATGCATTATTGACAGTGATTCACACCGATGAAAGTCAATGAGATGCAGCTGAAAGGTCCAGAAGAAATCTAGCAAGTTGACCTTGAGTTAAGAATTCTTAGTCAAATTGCTTTTTTCAAAGTGAAGACTGAAATCTTCTTCAAACTTCACGTCTTCATGAGTTTTGAACACAATCAAACATCTTTAAACTGAGCTGTAAATGATTTATACATCTGTTTAAACAGTCCATGTTTTCTAACACACTAAGCATTAATTAATGTGTGTAGTTATATATCACTGATATAAATTCTTAACAAGGAGGTTACTATCATAATAAATATTTTTATTTATATACTGATTTCAGCTATATTGCACACCCTTACTATATGAGGAGTTTTGCCCCCTTCCTTCCTTTCTTGAGGCACTTGTATGAATATTCTTGCTCTGACATTAGATTGGTTGAGACTTGTCATGCTATGTAGAAATCATCTTGAAGGATTTTCTTTCTCTGAGTGTGTGCATGCACAATGGTTTTGAGTGTGATGCCCCCGGCCTGTGTTCGTACTGTACATGCATGAAAGCAGAAAGTCCCATGACCCAGCTGTGTGAGAGGGCCTGTGGTGTTGTGGGCCTGTGGGTAAATCTTAAAGCTTAACAGAAGTTTTTCCCTCCTAGGAGCCATCGTCCTGTTTGCCTGGCTACGTGGCTCTACACACTCAATTTCACTGTCAGCACACATCAAACAAAGAGGGGAAATTCAGCATTTGTCTCTAGAGTGTCAGCCAGACACACAAGCAGAACTGTGTGTTTTTGTAGTGTACCACCAAACTGACATACTGTTTAATTATTGTCAAGTTTTTGTGTTTCCTGTCCTCTTCTCCTCTCCTCTCCTCTCCTCTCCTCTCCTCATATTGGCTGTCAGTACAGGAATGAAAAAGCAGGAATGTTGTAATGTTAATGGGAGCCATCTGGTTTGTATCTCTACTTTCTCTTTTCTTTTAACTCCTCAGATGCTCTCTGCAGTTATTAGACAGTGGCTTGTTCCTGGATTAGCAAAACAGTGCCTCCCTCCCAACAGCTGAAGCTGTCATACACATGCATACACCATGCATCACTCACACACAAAAACAGGCACATGTTAAGCAACTTTTCTGAGGCCAGACTGAGCAAAAATAATTTCCGGCTTCCTTCTCGCAGGCATGGCTTCGTAAGTTTGGTTATCTGTCTCAGGCGAGCAGACAGATGTCCACCATGCAGTCGGCTCAGATTCTGTCCAAAGCCATCAGCGACATGCAGCGCGTCTACGGGCTGGAGGTGACTGGAAAGATGGACCCTGCCACTGTCACGTAAGATCTATATTGTTTGGGAGCAGTGGTTGTTTTCTGCATGATGTCTGTCTCATGTGACATGCAGCATTATCAAACATTTGTGTGCAGTGACCACAAACTGAAACCAGGGATTTTGTGGGGTGTTTTAAAGCCCGTAGAAATATATTTTTCATGCATTTCATGGTATTGATGGAATGATACAAGGAAGGTCACAAGTTTCAGGTTGCTGGCCAACAAACCGCTCCTCAACAACCATGCATCCTGAAGCAGTTGTGTTGCAGTGCACTGGCTGTTCCCCAACACAATGATATCGCCAGATTACTGTGTTCACATTACCACTGACAACTGAAACAGTGCCAGCTCTTAATAACTTTTTACGATGATAAGGTTCACATTGCAGTTGACTTTCTTTTTGCTTATTATCACTTCTTCACTATTGAAGCTCATTCTATTGTGTCATATCCTTTTTATTCCACTGCAGCCTTGATGCAGTGTATAAGGCCATTGTTTTCATGCTTTATACTGTATGTAAGGTGAGGGACGCATTACAAGGTCTTACAGCAACAGTTTCAACATTTTGGGAAATATGCTTTGTTATTGATACCACTCTCATGTCTGTACAGCAGATATGAAGCTACAAATAGCCACTGGTTAGCTTAGCTTAGCATAAACACTGGAATCAGGGGGAAACAGCTAGCTTGGCTCTGATAACATTGGCCTACCAGCACCTCTAAAACTCTCTGATTAACATGGAATATCTGTAGTTTTATCCAGACAAAAACTAAAGCTTCTAAAGGACATGTTGGGAGATTATGTGACCTTTGGACAGAGGCTAGAGGTTTCCCCCTCCCTCCTGTTTCCAGCCTTTATACTAAGCTAAGCTAACCAGCTGCTGGTTGTAGCTTCATATACATGCACTAAAATACAGTGTTGAGTACTGAAAAAAAACTTCAGAAGAGAACCAGAAAAGGAAGATTAGAAATGAACTTTTTTATCAAATTTCTCACAAGCTAATGCATAGAGTATAAAAGCTGAGCTAAGGCTGTTAAAAATATGACCATTATAGCTAATACTTTATTATCTGTGTGTATGTGTGTGTTTGGTTGTGTAGGGCCATGCGCCAACCTCGTTGTGGCCTCCCAGACAGAAAACCAGAGGAGGTGGGCGATGGTGCGAGGAAGAAACGCTACACACTCACTGGGCAGCAGTGGGACAAAGACCACATCACTTACAGGTCTATAGTACTGAAAAGTAAAAATAAGACAATGATTAAGCAGCAAGTTTAACACAGTAACCTTAATATGCTTTCTCTTCTGGCTTCAGTATAATGAACCAGCTCATCCCCTCATCGCTGGGAGCGGATTGGACGTATGAAGCAATCCGCAAGGCCTTTGATGTGTGGAGTAAGGTCACCCCGCTCACCTTTGAGGAGCTGCCTGCTGAAAACAACATCAACATCAACAGCAGCCAGACAGAGCTCGCTGACATCCTGCTGTTGTTTGCCTCTGGTTTCCACGGCGATATGTCCTTGTTTGATGGCGAGGGGGGGTCGCTGGCACACGCCTACTATCCCGGACCAGGCATTGGAGGCGATACACACTTTGATGCTGATGAGCCCTGGACGCTTGAGAACCAAAATCCAGAGGGTTAGTGGGTTGATTCTTCTTTTTTTCTTGCAGGAACTGAACTGTGTCAACAATGTTGGGGACTTGTTACTTGTGTCACATGACCAGATGGCCACTTGATTTCTAAACTATCTTGCTTTGATGCCATACTAAACTGCTTATTCGCTTGTTAGCGTAATTTATTACCTTAATTCAAGGGTTTTCCTTATCCTGGGCTAAATAAACACCATCTGTGTAGTGTCATCAGCATTTGCAAAATGGTGGAAAAGCTCATATTATGTGTTTCAGAAATGTCCCACGTTGTATAGAGAAAAACAGGGTTCACTTGGTTTGATTTTCTAAGCTGCTTATTTTAATGCAGCTTTGTGTCTGTGCCATTTAATCTAGTAAATATCAATCTTATTTCAGACAAACACATGATGTGAGTTAAATATTTTCTTTTACAAATTATGGTCACATACTATATCTGTGTCACTGTCTGTCTTGCAGGTATAGACCTCTTCCTGGTTGCGGTCCATGAGCTTGGTCATGCGCTGGGTCTGGAGCACTCCGATAACCCCAGTGCCGTAATGGCTCCTTTTTACCAGTGGGTTCACACACACAACTTCACTCTGCATGAGGATGACATCAAAGGAATACAGTACATATATGGTGAGAAGCACATACTCTTTCTGATGCACTTATTTATTAGTATTTGTACTTAGTAACTTCAGATTGCTGAATGCTAGTATTTCACATCAGGTGTCGCAATTTCTCTGCAGACTGCAAAGGGAGGTCAGACAGGCCTGTGTACACAGGAGAGATGACGGGAAAAATAGTGGGACTGGAATGCATGCGCCTAGAGCGCTGTCAGCATGTGTTCATCAGTCAGTCAAATGATGCTCATTAACCTCGTAGTAAATTACACTTGCACACAGATGTTCGTATAGGGGAGCAACTGTCTAAGCTGCTTTACGTGTAAAAACAAAAAAACAAAAGTGTTTTTCAGTAACAACTACTCTGATCTTGTAAAGCAGGTTTCCACATGTTTTTAATTTACTTGCTCTCCAAATACATGTTGTGTAATACTCACTGAGATTATTTATTCTTCTGTGTGAAAACAATTTAGCGAGCCATCTGAGCTTCATGAATAAAGACTTTGATATTTATTAACGTTGGACAACGCTATCAAAACAGTATGGCTAAGATAAGCTTTGGCTACGCTTCTGTGATACTAAAAGACAGCTAGTCCAACTGTTGGCAGCTTTGTAGTGTAAACAATCTGTTCTTCTTGACATTGTATTAGGTCAAGGCCATGACTACAATTAAAACACCACGGTTGGTCATGTATTTATTTTTCTTTCATTTTATCACACTTATATAACATCTGGACCTGTGTAAGAGGACGACAGGAAGCCTTGTAAAGAAGCTTTGTGACACAAGTGCACAAACAGACACACACGGTCAACCACACACACCAGTGGACCTCACTCAGATCAGCGTGTCATGCGTGCCATTATGATGTTATCATGCTTTCTCTGTGAATGGATGGCATTGTTAATTGACAGATTACATCATTGTGTGTGTGTGTGTGTGTGTGTGCGTGCATTGGTTAGAGACAGGGCTCATATGTGTATTAAAGTGTATTGTATGTATGTGTGGGTGTGTTTCTACAGTGGGCCTCCTAATAAAGCTGTAATTAGAGGCCTGCAGATGTGAATCTATCACAGACATTGTTTAAAAACCGAATCACTGATTTATGATTTCTTTTGCCTTAGGCAAAAACAAAGAAAACATGTCTCCCTTTTTACCCACATTTCTTTGCTGTTCATTGTTTTGTCCCGGTGACATCTGTGGTATCACATAACAGATCAAAAATCCAATTCACTTTGGGAATGTTGTCTACGGTTTTAGTTTCCCCAGTAAACCCAAAATCTTTCCACACCCACACAGTTCTGGCCTGTTGATATGCCTACACTCGAGGTCCTCACCAGAGGAAACTAGACATTTGGCAAAGCAGATGTGAAAAGTTTTCTGCTGTAAATTCTGTAAGGTAAATGTTTTGACTGAAATTATACAGTAGTTTACTTTATTAAGTAGATCTAAATGACTGTGTGGGAGGAATGCTCTGATTGGATAAGAAAAAGGATCCGAAGACTCTAAATAGACACCAACACAGCATAATCTTTGTTGGCAGAAATAAACATTTGGGTTCCTTTTGTAGGCGTTTTTATGAAAGAGACCGGCAGTTTTGCATTTTTCTGCCTCCCAGGTCGGTTTTTCCTCATCAGCTACTCATCTGTTGCCTTCCTGCCCAGCCCTGGAGCTTTGTTTCTCGCTGTAAAAGATAACCAGTTATTTTACAAACTAACTTGTGAAATAATATAGAAGTAATGTGAAGTGTTAAAATACTTGACATTTAAATACACAAATATTGCCATAGGTCTGGGTTCATCTGACGCATGAAGTATCTGACAAAAAAGGAAAGTTTTAAAGGGATATGAAGATATAGTCAAACCAAGACTCTGGATTAGATGACTGTGTGTTATGTTTATCGCTCATAGTGATAAACCTGAAGAGAATTTAGCAGCTTAAGGCACCTTCCCTCTGGAGTTGGTCGAGAGCAAAGGAAGTGAATGTGGTCAGAAACACCAACTCCAAATGAATGATAATGGTGCTCTATATCTGTTAAATGGAGATAGTCAGTGTTGTGTTTGCCCAGCATCGTGCTCCATCGCTCCCAAAGGTCCAAAGCTTTAAGGTTGAATACATTTGATAGACTGTGTAATTCTGAACTGCCTGTCTCTGTACAGTAGCTTTAATTCTGACAGTGCTGTCCCCCTCAGTGTGTGGAGTCATAGACGCATTAACACTAATATACTAATATATCGTTCATCACACAGTGAACTTACCAAGGCTCTAAAATACAGTATACTGTGAGAAAAAGAAGAGTCCATTGTGTGTGGAAATAGAATTAAACAGAGAATCAAACACAGATTTGAGCAAGTAACAACAGATCATTTAAAATAGATAATTAAGTGACCACAAAAACTTGAAGCATGAACCTGTTGCTGTTTTTAGACACTGTTTAAGCTTCACTGAAAAATCCAGAGCCTTGAAAACAAACAACACACCCTTGCTGTCTATTGACTATATTGCAGGTTAAATGCTGAATTTCTCCACATACTGACGGCTGAGTCACCGGCCATCATCAGCCTCGATATATTCCTGGGAATATTTTTGGCTTAGAGCAACTCAGCGCGTATTTAGGCCCATCAGCTGTCCGTATATTACATAACTGGCTGTATCTGTGTGTTTTCCTCTCTTAGCAACCAGCTGGGCTCATTTTCCAAAGAGCAGCAGCACAGGCGCAGTCAGTCAAGTGAGCTTATAGCGGCTGTACAAAATGGAAAATAGCATTTTCTTTGTGTGAGGGAGAGATAGAGAGGATACTGTGAGGGGAAGGAAGGAGAAGATGAAAGAAATGATTGATGTCTATTGGCGCACAGAGAGGCCGGAGAGATTTATTTCAGTTCAGCTGGAAGTTTTTTGGGGTTTTTTTTCCATTTCACCACTTTAACTATGAAATTAAACTTTTCCCTTTTTATTCTGAACACAAGCTCTCCATCTTTTCTCTCCTAGGTCTTCCTCTCATCACCAATGCTCCACCCACTGCTCCTCGCGACCCTGACGACGAAGCCAACGCTGACTCCCCCACCTCCGCTTCTCCTCCTGAAGATGAACCCACTTCATCTTCCCCCACCGACCCCCAGCCCGAAACACCCAACCCAACCGACGATAACCCGGATGCCCCAGCCCATCCGGAGGTGACCCCAAGCCCAACCTCAACTCCTGTCCCCCCCACCTCCACCACCACCACCGACTCCCAGCCTGAGCCGGAGCCTGTCACCCCAGTGATTAGAAAAGATGTCCCAGCTCCTCCGCCTCCTCCTCCTCCTCCTCGGCCCTCTGTTCCTCCACGGCCTCCGAAGCTGCCAGACAACCAGGCCCCCGACATCTGTGACGGCAACTTTGACACGGTGACCATGCTGAGAGGGGAGATGTTTGTTTTCAAGGTGAGAAGTGATTACCTTATTGATCACATCTGTGCAGATGTAGTGTTTAAATCAAGAGTTTGTGCTATAAGCTATAAGCTACCACATGTTGTGGATCAAGGGGCATGTCACTGCTCCCTGGTATTTTTATAACCCCTGACCTACTCAGCAGGGGGGCGTCTAAAAATCGAGGAACTAACAGAGTCGCAACAGCAGCAGGTTGTGCTAGTGGAAGTGAACGATACTTATTTTTGATGAAAGATAAACAGCATTATTTTGTCTGCTTGCTTGTGCAGGGTCGTTGGTTCTGGAGGGTGCGGAGGAACCGGGTCTTGGATAACTACCCCATGCCCATATCCGTCTTCTGGATCGGCCTGCCCAGTGACATCGACGCTGCCTATGAACGCCACGATGGAAAATTTGTCTTCTTTAAAGGTTTGTCAGGGCTGTTTATTAACAGTAAAACCTGTCACTCTGCCAACACAATTTCCACAGGCTGAGCAGACTGCGTGATATGTTTACGTCAAGACATTCTTAGAAGAGTATGGGTGAGCTTTTTTATGGTTTGCTTAAAGGCATAACAAAGGGTCGAGCTGCTTTTCACCGAGCGAAGCTAAAGCCAGCGTGTAGCTGTTTAAGAGTGCGCTCCGTAAACCCAAAATGGAGAGCAAAACACAAATCTGTGCTTTGATTTGAATTAATCAGGCTGAAAGGAAACAGTGCAGACTCAGCATTTTTTCCCCCACTCAGTGTGATTTACAGGGAGGTGGTAATAATTCAACACGGCTATAACTCCCTGTAGCTGGCACACACTCCCTCACACACACAGAAATATTTAAAACACTTGAAGTTACGTGAAAAAGAAAATAACTTCACCAGCCAAACAATTCACTGTTTAAACAGTCTGATAATATGGCTGCAGACAAAGAGGGAGTATTGAGTTTGTGCGTCTATGCGTGTGCGTATGACTGCGACCATGAGTGTATTAGATTGTGTTACTGAGTTCACTGAGTGTCTTGAATGAGGTCTGTGCAGCGTGGCAGCTGTTGCTGGCCCAGTACGACTCCAGTCCAGCTGAGCCCCAAAAGGCCTCATGAGAGAGGTGGAGGATTGCATCAGCCTTCTCTGCACTGCACTGCTCCAGATGTGAACAGCTGCAGAGCTTTCACCTCAACAACAAAGCCATATGCTGATTTGTCATGCATTTTCAAGGTTTTCTGTGCTCTTGATCACAGATTTATTCCTGTAAGCATCCATAGAGTTCTATTAATGATTTCTGTTGTTGTCGTTATTCCTGCTTTTTCATCTCATTCTTGAGGGTTTTGAGGAAAACATTTTTGCATCTACTCCAAAGATTCTTGGATAGCATATGCAACAAAACCTGCAGAAATGGTGGCCAGAATATGAAGCCAAAATGATTTAACCGCTGTAGTTGACAAAACATCAGGTCAAAATGGTTAAGCAGCGTTTCAAAGTAGGTGTGCACTATAACTAGTGAAAACCCTTGTGCACAAGTTTAGCTATTAGTGTTGTGCTGTACTACTGTAGCACCCTGGCAGTAGAGGTGGAAAGTGGCTGAAAGTGTGTCCAAAGGTTATGGTTAGGGGAGAAACTGGCTTCCACATAAGGAAATCTTGGAAAATCAGTGTTATGCCTAGCATTTCTACCTTGCATGTCCTTTCTACTTTACTTCTGGAGTGAGTAAACCCAATGACTTGTGCCAGATGTTCTCACCATCGCTTTCTCTGCCCATGCTTTATGGTCCTGCCTTTCCTTCTTTGTTTCTGTTTTTCTCCCTCCTTAACTTCCCCTCATGTTTCCATTCTCCTAGCCAGGTAACAAACATTGTTGTAGTGTATGTCTTTTGGAGAAACATTTACACATTTGAAAAACACTTTTAACCCTTCTGTCCCTGCAGATGATAGATACTGGGTGTTCAGGGAGGCCGACGTGCTGCCAGGATACCCACAGCCCATACATGAGTATGGACAAGGAGTTCCTGCGCACAAGATTGACACAGCAATCTGGTGGGAGCCCAACGGATACACATACTTCTTCACAGGAGACAGGTATATCACACTCACACACAAACATGCAACAAGGTCAACAAAATGTGTCATCACTTGTTATCAATGTCTATATAAAGTCAGCTATTGAATATACTGTAATGTATACTGTATAAATCTTTGTACGTCTGTGCGCAGGTACTGGCGATACAATGAGGAAACCCGGACGACAGACCGCGACTTCCCCAAGCCAATCAGCAGATGGGGCAGGATCCCTCCCTCACCCAAAGGAGCCTTCCTCAGTGATGATGGCGGTAACTAAAACTTAAATAAGACAAATAGAGGTTTTATTTGCAACAAGGGAACATCAGAGAAGCTGTTAATAGAGTGTTGAAAGCAGAAGAACAGTATGATGGAGAAGAGGTGGAGGGAGGGAAAGAGTGAAAGGTTGGATGGGTGAAATGGGGTGTGTAAAAGACAGAAGGAAAAAATTACATTTGAGATTGGTGAGGCTGAAGCAAGCAGAGCAGAGAGAAAAGTGAGGGGATGCGAGAGAGAAAGGAGGAATGAGAGCTCTGGTTTGAGGGTTGGCCCGTCCTTCCTTTGGAAATTAGATTTGTGGCAGAGCTGCTCTAAATGCACTCTGTAACAGTCAGATCTTATCTCCACCCACACTGTTCGAATGTCTCTGCAAGCCTGGTTTTCACTACACAGCCACATTTACACCCAGAAATTCACCCCAAAAAAGATTGTGTGCGGTTTTTTTGTTTGTTTGTTTGTTTTTGCATCTCACTGCCAAATTTTATTGCCTTAAAGCAACTCAGCTCATGTTTTTATTGCTTTCTTGTAGTTTGATATTTTATGTAAATTCTGTTGTTGAACCCCAGAGTCAGCTCTGGCCCTGCAAAGTCCATTTGGTCTGAAGTGTGGGAATGGAGGGGAGAGTACAAAGACTAAACTGGTTCCTAAAGAAACATTCCTGACTGTGCTTTCTTGTTTACACAAAAACTGAACTTAGTTTTACCTTGTCAAGGCGAATGGTAAAGTAAATGAGGCACTCGTTACAAATGAAATGACAATTTGCAGAATCAGAGCAAGTCTGTCATTTAAATGGGCTTCATGGGATTGCAAACTTTCTTAGATAATATCTACATAGATTCTTTAATTTACAAAAAGAGTTGAAGGACTAAAATAATCATATTGTAAAATGAACCAGAAGTCATTCAGTCTTTGCTGTGTTTTGCCTTTTGTCTAAAAATACTTCTCCAGCTTTTTCTTTATGGTTATTAAATGAATAGTTCAACATTTTGGGAGGTAAACTTTGTTTAAAAGAAGACGAGAAGATACCACTGTCCATTTTATGATTCTTGCAATCCTTCAATCATTTGATCACTTTTGTAAAGCCAAGCCCATCAGACTGACAGAAGTAAAGCAATAGTGAGACAGTCTGGAAAGTAGGATAATTTGCTTTCAAGGTGAATTAGATGAGGAAAGTGATATCTAGCTACTGTCAGCAGCTGGTTATTTTAGCTTAGCACCAAGACTGAAAATAGAAACATAACATTACAGAAGACCTATTTTTTCTGCCCTCCATAAAATGGCAAATTTTCCCTCTTACACTTCAGTATTTGCACAAATTAAACAAGGAAAAACAAGTCAATTAGTGGGTTAGCTTTGTTAGCTAGCCTGACTTTATCCAAATATGTTTCCCTGTTTCCAGTCTTTAATGCTAATCTAACTGTCTCATGTCTGTGCTTCATGTCTAGCATACAGTGGTATACAGTGGAGAGTGGTATCAGTCTTTTCCTTTAACTCTTAGCAAGAAAGCAAATAAAAACACGGGTGAATATATCTATGACAAGATTAAATGCAAAATATTTTTTTATATCAGAAATGAGCAAGGCCAGCTAGCTCACCGCTACACTCACACACTCTTCTCACTGCATCATATGTCCAACGCACCTTGTTAATTATGGCGGCAAACTGGCGTAATGAATAATCTGCTCACTCTTCTGCTGCTATGCTACTCACCCAACATCCACCTATAGGCTCTCAACCTTGCCCTAGAGGGGAAGTTATCATCTTCACCCCCCACTCCCTGAACTCCATGTTTCCTAGTGGTTAGTGACGAGGCCAGAGCCTTGATGCCAAACATCAGTGCTGTACATATTCTATATTGATTCAGTTATCCATTCTACATGAGTTGTCGGACTGAAATGTCTTTTATCTCTCTCTCATGCAGCTTACACATATTTCTACAAAGGCACTAATTACTGGAGGTTTGACAACCGCAAGACAGAAGCAGACAAAGGCTACCCTCGCTCCATCCTGAAGGACTTCATGGGCTGCCTGGGAGCCCCTGAACCTGAGCCCGACACTGACACTGAGCAGGAACCGAAAGACAAACCAGTGAAGCCTTCAGACCGAGGCAAAGACGAGCACAAAGAGCCAGACCGAGGCCGAGACAAAGACACAAACTCAGAGGAAGACCCAAACTCCAAGCCTGACAGCACAGAGGAAGAGGAGGACAAAGAGGTGAATGTGGTCGTGACTGTGGCTGACGATGAATCAAAGGTCATGACCCTGATCATGGTGATCGTTCCTCTGGTACTCATCCTGTGCATCCTCATCCTAATCTACGCCATCCTCAGGACTCTGCAGAACAAAGAGACGCCGAGGGCCTTGGTGCACTGCAAGCGTTCACTGCAGGACTGGGTGTGACGCACGGAATTAGAGAGCATAGAGCGGGTATTGATCATTTGTCAGGTGCAGACGCTGGCATCAAATTTTTTACTCACGGCGCGGTGGAAAGAAGCTTTGACTCAGTACTAAAGTCAAAGAAATCTGAGGAGAAGTCAACTTTTTGAGTCCCATTCATTGTGAGAACTTTTATTGCTCATGTGAAACAATCTTTAAGTGGTAAAGTTGGTGCCTATGGAGCTACAGTGTACTTTCCCCTCTACTGGCCTTGAAGTTTTTCTCCTGTGCCTCCCTTTGTGCCTTTCAAATGTCTGAAAAAGGACCTCTTTATTCAAAATCATGCCCGTTTCCATCCAACTTAAAAAAAATAATGTGTCACCAAATGTGTACTGTAAAAGACACAAGACACTCAAGGAATCTGAGTTTCGATCAACTCTTAATTGTACCAAGGAGGGACAGATGGTGTATTTGTAGTATAAATGCAGACAAAGTCAATAATGCACATAGTTTAACCAGAAGCACACACACTGTACATACACACAACGATTAAAACAAATACAAATACATGCATTAATATGAACAAGTCTTTCATACGTTTGACTAAGGTGCCAAGGTGCCAATCTTGACTTCTTCTCTCTGTTTAGAACAGATAGTTTGCACTTTTGATTCTGTTTTTTGTTGTTTTTATTTTGCTGAGGTTGCTTCACTGCTGACGTGCGTGTGTGTTCGTGCAAAGCAGAACTCTCTGTAAACACACAGACACTCGCAGGAGAAGCTCGTCCTCCGACCAGCGCAGGAATGTCAGACAGCTGTGTGCGTCCATGACCGCCCGTCTCCCACTGAGCCCATTATGTCTGTCCTCTCTCTCTCTCTCTCTCTCTCACATATACACACACATGCACACATGCCCCAACATCATATGATCTAAAAAAAAAAACCCTAAGTGCACTCATTTGTGCATGCATGTCCACATATGCAGACAAAAACACATAGAGACCACTTCCCCAGACAAAGGCACATAGAGTTTTTGCACACAGACACACGGGCTCCAGCCTCCCCTCCTCCCACCACAGCCATGATAACTGTTCAGACTGCAGCACTAAAAACACAATCCCAGCGGAGACATATTGATATATGACTGGTGCCACGGCTGGAATGAAATACACGAGGGGGCAATTTAATCACTTTTAACAAGTAGAATTGAAAAGTGTTGTGGTTTATACAAATTCTGTCCATCTCAACTCAACCTGTGAAGAGTAAAAACATAGCACCAGTATCTATCTTTCTGTATCTCCTCTTCCTTTTTCATTCTAAAGCTAAACAGAGTCGAAGCTAATTAAGTGTACAAGGGAGAACCCTGCAGGCCAGAGAAGAATGGGTCAGGGTCTGGTTTCCATTAAACCCACATGTTGCTGATTTAGTAGTGTCAGGCATGAGAGGGTGGAGAGAGGGGAGTTGGGGAAAAATGCAAAAAAGAAGGTGGTATAAAAAATGGTGGTGGAGTTATAAGAGAAGGGCAAATGAGAGAGAATGAGGTGAAGAGGGAAAGAAAGAAAGTGGGGGAGGCAGAGATTAAAGGGGGGGAGAGGCAGAGTTCTGCCAGCATTTCCTTTCCAAGGGAGGGAGGTTGGAGGGATTTTGGGGAGGGGCAGCGCTGGCGTTGTGCCTCCTGACCTAGATTGGGCCACTTAGTCCACTCCTCCTTTTCAACTCTTCTTATTTCTGCTCTGCTTGTTGTCATGAGCAGGAGATGACTTCCTCTGCGACCCCCCTCTCCTAACCTTTCTGTTTCCTCTTTTACTTTTTGTTTTTCCATTCTTAGTCTGTCCTTTCTGTTTAATTGCTGTAACTCACCCCGCGTCTGTGCTCCCAAATGTATTCATTTTCTTCTCCACTCTTGTGGAAAATCAGCTCAAGCATTTAAAAGATAATTCATGCACAGAAACATCTGCAGGATGTGTTGTGATCCTGTCACTATCTATCTGTCTGTCTGTCTTTACCTTGCTTTTCTCTGTCTTAAGCCAGTATTCACATGCTACAATCATTAACCTCTCAGCTTTATATTTCTGCCTTGACATTGTGCTTGTATTTTGTTTTGGCCTGTGTTACATGTTTCATTGTGCCTTTTTTCTGTGAATATTGGGGGTAATGTCTTTTTACTATAAATAGCATGAGGGACAGTTTTTAAAAATGTGTTTCTTCCCTTTTTTACTAATCATTTGTAGTTTTGTACATTTTGTTTCTGTTCAGGTTTTCTGTAAGAACAGCAGTAGACTATTACAATGATGTTGATGCATGCAGGGCATGTTCTGTTAGGCCTGTGCACTCCTGTGTAGAGTACAATAGAGATTTCACAATAAAACTCACAGGTAAAAGCAACACAACGCTGCAGTTCATGGCTTCATGTAATTATACACCTTTATCCTGCTGTGCAAATGTCAAGTTCAAGGAGTTGATTCTAGTTTTGGCCACAAGAGGGAGTCATTGTCTCTAAAATGTTGAAGAGAAATCTTTGTAATGCTTACTACTTTTAGCACAAACATAAACAAAATGATAAAATAGAGTAAAGCAGGAAGTACATCCTCATTTTAATACGTGTGTATATGTGATTATACACAGATACAATGCTGTTAAGTAAGTACCTTTACCGAAGCACTGTATGTTATTATAGTTTGGAGGTAATAATACTTGCTAAGTGTTTACATTTTGTTCTACTCAACATATCTTCCTATTGGTTCTGCAAATGAGATTTTAAACAATAATATAGCGGCAAAGAATGATTTTCTATGTAATGAAAAAGTGGAGTAATGGCACCCTGAGCAGAGAATGAAGTCACACCTCTATTGGTGAGTTTCTCTGTTATTTTGGTTAGTGCACGTGAGTCCCTCCTGTTAAACATTCGGCCATCTTACCTTTATCAGTGACCGTTGAGAAAGTTATGGAGTAATCTTTGCCTTTACGAAGGGACCGCCCACAGGTGAGATGATGGCGCAATGCAGAATGCAGCGTTCAAGTGCAAGCGACCTTTTCAGAATTTCCTCCATCGAAGAAACGGGTCTGTCGTTGGCCCACAAAAAACATGTCAACTTCAAAACAGGTTTTTAGAGTTTTACTCACTCCATCCACCGACCTGTCTCCCCTTCCCCCCCGAATAAGTCCAAGGCTGGATTTCTTTCCTTGGAGCCAATACTGGTCTGCCTCTACGGAGATGGAAGCTAAAGGGCTAAAGAGCGGCTAAAGCGATGTAGCTTGACTCGGAACTGGCTTTTTTCCCTCCTCCATGTGTAAGTAACTTGACTTGCTACGTCATATTGTGTCTATTTCCATTAATGACCGGCTACAGAAGATAACGTTAGCTAACTTGCTGTTAGCGATATTATAAGTGTTCGGCACTAATGTTGCTATCGCTAACCACTGCCAGCTTTGTTATGGAGCATATCTCGGCAATGCTAGCATGGGTTTACGGTTGTGATGGGATTGTTTCTTTTTTTGTCGGCTCTCGTACACAGGGTAACTTTTTATTAATATGCTACTTGTTGTGTGTTTAGTGGCCGCTCTCACTGGCCTTCATGACACCTTGCTAACTGAGAACGTGAAGAGAGGGGGAGGCAGAGTTGAGGTCAAACGACTCCGGAAGTATGGCCGACCAAGCATTTTTTTCTGCTCTGAGATGCTGGTGGTTTAGTGCGACATCTAGTGGCAGTGATCGTTTACAGAACTTTTCTTCTTCTTAAATGCTCCTTAACAGATTTCATACAACTTGATATGTTTGAGAGGCATAGGTTACAAGCCCTGCAATTAAACTGTACTCAGGTAAGAGCATGTGAGTATTATCAGCTAAATGTAATTGCAGCATAAAGGTAAAAGTGCATATTATGTAGCATTTTATACCATTGGATTACCATTAATGGTGCATCAATATGCATGCAGCATTTGAATATAGCTGGTTGAACTGGAGTTGATCGAAGCTATTCTAAATACTCTAATTTCTGTATACTAATACATTATATTTTATAAGCTCATCACAGCAATTCTGCTTTGTAACTAGTAAATACAACTGTCAGATGAATTTAGTTCAGTAAAAAGTACAATATTTCCCTCCCTGCAGATTAAGACTTTCTTTTAAAACATTTGAGCATCTTATAAAATTTGAATATAAAAATATTGCAATACCAAACAGTGTGTAAAGTAATTAAAATTAGTTACCTGTACTAGCTACAACAAGAATAATCTGATTTTATTAGTCATTTAATGATACAACATCCCAAAATGGCCAATTTTACATAATGAGAACTTTTACTTGAGTACTTTTATATTGTGGTTTTACTACTTTTACCTAAGTTGAGAATCTGAGTACTGCTGCACAGATGTGATGTATACAGAGTGTATGCGTGTGCTACTGTATGCACATGAGGTCCATGTGTGATTGCCTTTGTCTGTTTTGAGTGATTGAGAGCGCCCTCCCGCATGTCTTTATGTCAGAGGTAATCAGGATTAGCCTCTGTCACAGATCATCCACTATAGCTTTACCTCTGCACCCGCTTTCTCTTTCATCTTGTTCACTGTGTCTCTGTGGGTTTTTTTTTTCATTTCTCTCTCTGTATGTCCTCACATGTTTGTAGCATATTGTCCTTTTCCATTCATACAACACTAAATTCAATATGAAAACATTTGATAAAACATAAGTAGTGCATAACAACTTTGATTTCCCACCAATTTATGTAGTTGTTCAGTTTATGTACACTCATCTTCACTCTCTTCCGCTCTCCCGAGTCTTTGCCCAAACTGCCCCTGTCCACTGTCGTATCCAGCTGTTCAATTCGGATTGAGGCCAGTTCAGTGGTGCATTTTCCAGCCAAGGGCCAAGGGTCTGTGTCATCGAGCTGTTCTCCCAGCTTATCCACCGCTGAGCTGATAATGGGATCTGCCCACTGCCTCCTGCCTCATCAGCACCATAAATTGTTCTGTAGTTCCCATTCTCAAACACAACAACAGGCCTCACTAGAGGTGGTGCGATCTATCCACCCGTCTGACCTGGTGATGTTTTTCTACCTCTAACTGGCTTTCAGATTATCTGCCCCAAACGTTTACATGTGTAATTCACTATGACCTATGCTCATACAGGTTGTTTATTTGTATCTCCATAAACTTGTCCATCACAGGAGCTGTTCTCTTATTCTTACAAAACAACCCATACAAGCAAATGTGCCACGTCCTGTTTACCAGTTGGTCAAGTAGCGAGGGCAGCCCCAAATCCCCACTAATCACTTTCAGGCATCATGCCATGCTTTCTCTTCTCCTCTCCACCAAACATCTTCATTTTGATTTCTGACCTCCTCCTCCTCCTCCTTTTTTCTTTCACTGTTTTTTACATGCTGTTTATCTCCCTTAAATCCTCACTGTCACCTTCTTCTTATTGTTAAACAGTAATGGAAGTACTCAGATATTTTACAAGAAATAACAAGTGCAAGTTATTCAATTCCCTACTTAAGTAAGATTACAATGATGATTCATTTGTCTATTGGGGTATTTGGCCTTTGTTGGCAAAAGGGAATAGATTACTGTTTAAGGCCAAATTGAAGGAATGACATTCATACAAATGTCTGGTAAAGCTGAGGTCTTCGTGTGGCTGAAGGAACAAGATAAGAAGTAGATCATCAGAGCCCTGGTCAGACCCTGAGACTGACTAATAAGCTTTGCCTTCCCCTCTGTCTCCTCCTGAATGTTATTTAGTTAAAAGGCTGACTTTATATAGCTTGTTGCCGGCCAGTCAGCAAGAGGCACTGCGTCACTTGCCGGGGATAAAACAGTAATGAGGATGGAATTGGAGATAATGGGGAACAGAGATGGAGGGGAGAGAGCAGCTGCCACATATACCAACGAGAGCATTGTGCATAAAGGACAGCAAAGAGACATGTTTTGAAATGTGTACTTTTAATTGTTTTTGTAAATAGTATTACACTCAAAGTGAAATGGGAATCAAATTATGTAAAATAAAATAAAAAAATCATCCCCTTCTTTGGCAGAAAGGCAGTGTGTAATACTTTAACACAAAACAAAATTCATGATCCAGATACAAACATATAGTATTACACATTGCACTGTTTTTAATGGTTGTAGTCTGCAACTGATAGAAAAGGAGCATTTTCACTTTCTATCACACAGGTGGAAATCACCACTTTTTGTTTGTTGCTGTTTTCCCTGGTGGGGGTTGGACAACAGTTTATAGATTACAGGGATAATGTCCTGACAATACGTTACTCTGCAGTTAATCTGCGATTGCTCACAGTCCAGGATTGTGCCTTGACCTTCAGATGGTGCTGGTTAATCCCGTTAGCCCCAGGCAGCCACTGTGGAAATCCCAGCACACCTGTGCTGGCTGTGCCGCACTCTGGATCTCTACACCACCGGTATGCAGAGCCACCTGTAGACGCACAGGTAAGAAAAACAAGTATATTATTCTGTAGATAAAGAAAGGTGCATTAGTGATTAGTGATGAGCAGTGTCTTGGTTTAGGGGCAGTGGGTGAAGTTGCATCAGAAATATTTGTAAAAGTAATATAGAGAAATATACAATAGCCTCTGGTGTTTGCTAGTGAGGGTTTGTCCTGAAGCCTAAACTGAAAAAATCCCTCCAACTCTTTTAGCTGATGAAGAATTATATCTTTATGGTGTCCTCCTCACGATTTATGCTCTTTTGATGACTGAGAATGATCTAGGCTGATGGAGGCGTATGTCAGGAGTAGTGAGGAAAGCTGTAGATTAGTTTGGGAACAGAGCTGCACTATTGAATACAATGCTATGCATGTGAGATTAGGTCAGGGAAGAAGCCCCTGTGATCTGATTGGGACATTGTGTCAGGGATCACAGTGGGATCACAACAACAGATCAAACTGCTTTTTTAAAGAGGCCTTGTATGTGGATTTTCCATAAACAGATTCTCCATAGAAAACCTCTCCTGCAGCTAAAAATGTGACACTTCCAACTTCTTCTAGGCCTTCAGGTCATGAATCATCAGGCAGACAGAAACATGGTCTTCTAGTCTCACTAGGGTTTCCTGTCCTGATTGCCTTCGACCTGTGTGCTGTGGTCCATTACCCGGAAATCTTGCAGGGTCAGTGGCTCTTTGACCCGTTGCTGAAGTGGATTAGCTCAACAGGCTGATAAACTCTCACAGGGGATAAAACGCACATTTGAGATTAGATCAGATGAGTGGCACCTGTGCTGGCTCTGTAAATCTATAGCTTGTGTTTCTATCAGTTACATTTTCCTCTTCCTCTACATTTGTGACCGATTTCTCTCTGTCTAACTGATTTTAACCCTCTGTCACCCGTGGTGCCTGCTGCTAAAGTAGCTTTTGTTGCACTGCTTTTTGGATGAGGTTAACCTCTGCCCTTCCTCTGATTTTTGACTCCTGTGCAGGTTTACTCTCAGTTACTTGATAGATTGAAAAGTCAAGTTTACATTACCCATTACGAACCAATATAGTCAGTTATACAAGATCCCAGCTTTACCTGACTAATGTTATAATTAAACTCAATTCAGCAGTTTTCTAACTCATATTCCAGGCATCACATACATGTTTGTAAACGTGTCTGGTGAGAAACTAAAGACAATTTTCAAGATTTATATGGAAAAGAATAGTCGAGACCATAGAGAGAAATTTCAGGTTGGGCCAAAACTGTCCCCATGAGATGAAGGCAAAACTGAACAAGTCAACAGACCTCATTAGCTCCAGTTAAGGGCTCTCTGCCTGACACATGAAGTGGCTACTTTGATGAAGCCACCAGGAAAGAGTTATCAGGAATTATCATCAGCTTTATCAACAATGTTTGATGAAGGGCTTGTTAAGAGGCTGTCTGTGTGTGTGTGTGTGTGTGTGTGTGTGTGTGTGTGTGTGTGTGTGTGTGTGTGTGTGTGTGTGTGTGTGTGTGTGTGTGTGTGTGTGTGTGTGTGTTTGTTTGTGTTTTCAACAGGATGTTTAACTGGGTGGTGAAAGTGGTCCCCCAACTCCCTGAAGCTCCCGGGACAGATGAAGCTGCCGACTCCCCTGCTGCTGTACGATAACACGCTCACACACACACACGTCATCACACATACAGAGTATGTGCTGAGTATTTTTTTCCTCACTCTTCTCTCTCTCTGACATTACAGCCCACTACAAAAAACAGAGAGGGTGAGGACTACTTTCAACTTGTTTTATACTTGTTATATACTATGCACCTTTTAGATATGTATATTCACATACATTTGTCTGTCTAAAACATGAGTATTTTTTGTTTTTAACCTTCCTACAGTGAAGAGTCCTCCACTGAAAAACACAGATGAGGTCACAGAGGATGGGTAAATTTCACCTTACTCCAGCTTCTTTGAATGTGTTTTGTCTGTGTGTGTGTGTGTGTCTGTGTGTGTAGTGTGTGTGTAGACGCACTGAACTCTTCCCATCTTTCCTCATCTCCTCTACAGCCAGGGCCAGACTGGAGTATTGGGCTGGCTGTCCAATGGGTTCGTCAGCGCTCTGCCACAACCTACTAGCTCCCCTCGCCTCAGCAGGGCCAACTCTGATGCCAGGGTGAGTGTATAGATGTCTGAGTGAACATGTAGTCCTCTAATAACAAGGCCAAAGTGTATTTTTTGTGTTGACTACAAATCAGAGTCTTTGAGACAACTCTAAATTATAGGAATTCGACAACAAGAGATATTTGTTTGTAAAGTATATCAGGCTGATATTTGGTTTTCATATCTTAGCCAGCTTTGTCCATTGTGATGATCTGCTTCTTGAGGACACCTAAATGCAACTTCTGAATGAAATTTCCGAGTGACATGGAGTGGCCAAATGTGGAATGCCACGACATTTTACTGTATTTGAGTTTCTGTATCACATTTTCACAACACTTTTCCCAAAATTCGGCTCAGTGTATTTCATTTCTCTATTGTGGCGTTTGCGGGTGATGATGTTTTGTTTCTGATTTGACTGGTGTATCAGTGGATTTTAGATATTAATTCTCATTTAAAGACACTTTCCCCATTATTAAATAGGCCGGTTAAGGAGTCAAGGAGTTAATGTTAATGCTTAAAAAAACAGTAAGGGGGAGATGTAATTTAACAATAACAGCATATCCATAACCATATAGATAAAACTCTAACCTTCTATATGTTGAATGCTATAGATTATCACAAAAAGCTACTTTAGTAAAGGTATTATTATAATTTTGAACAACGGGGAGAAACTCATACAGTAATTTGAGTTAGAGTGATTTGCTAGAAGCTAAATACATATTATCTATTCTGTCCTGTGAACCATTTGCCTCTTAATGTTTCCTCTTTCTTTTTTCCTTTTTTCATCATCCTGTTCACCCCCCAGTCAGGAGAGGATGGAGAGAGGTACAGTATGATTAGAAATATAGAGAATATTTAAAGAAAAATATGATCTAGCAAAGGTTAATTAAAGGTTGTTCCTCTCTCAGGTCTGGAGTGATTGGCTGGGTGACTCAGGGTCTGACCAAGGTGCTACCTCAGCCTGATGAAAAGTACAGAGAGACTAACGACGACAACGATGAAGAACACACTGAGGTGAGACACAGAGGACTTCATTTATTTGTCTATTCAGCCGAGCAATCAGTTTCAAGGAAATCCACCATTGCTCATACATTAGTAAATGGATTAATCGAGCCAGCATCAAGACAATTAACGTCTTTGATCTCTGTGACACTTGACTCAAGCAACTTAATATCGTCCCACAGGCTTATAAGACTACGGTAATCATGTGTAAAGGTTAATCTTATAAAGGTATCTACAGGGGGTTTAGCCAGGTTAAACCTCTCCATTAACTTCACTGCTATTTAAATCAGCCTCTTCATGTGACACCCATCTTCACTTTACTTCTCAGACAAAATGATATACTTAATGTTTCTAGTGATTCTAGGGTTTTTGTGATCCAGTAAAAGTAAAATATACATAATCTATCTCAGTTTTAAGGTTGAATTAAAGAAGGATTTAAATTACGTCTAAACTCTTTTTTTTTTCATGTGAAATCATCAAATTACTGTGACAAATAACTCACTCACATTAGTCCCCATTTGTATCGCACCCTGATCACATTACTCGCCCACTCACACACAAACATATGTAGAGCTGTGTGGAGTTGATGGCTTGACTTTAAATGCATTTTTCTCTGCTGTTTCAGGTCTATGATGTAGCAACAATGCCAGGTATGTTTCTTTTATCATGTTTCTGGGAGTTTTACCTATTTACAGAGGATGACTATTGACTGGTGATGATTACATATTAATTTATTTGAAAGTAATCAAGTTGTGTTAAATTAGATCAGTAATTTCCCAACCTAACTGAGCTATGTGATTGGTCTGTCTCTAGATTATGATCCCCTCCCACACATCCCAGTGGTGGAGATGATGTCAGATGACGAGGTGTCGGAGGTAGAGTGTCAGAACCCTCAGTTCCCTCCCAAGTGAGTATGAATCACCTCTAACCATACATTCACAATTATTAAAGCTGAACCCTGATACACCAACATATGACCAAAGTTTTCAAAGTACAGTAGTTGGATCTGCTGGATCCCTGTACCATGTGAATTAAAAACAGCAGGTAGCAGGTAGAAGTAAAAATGTGTTCAGAGCTGATCATTCTCTTCCTCTGTTGCAGCATGGTGAACTGGATAAAGCAGATCATCCCCCAGCCAGTTATACTGCCCCCTGGTGCCGTGCCCATAGAACCATCAGCCAAGTCCTCCCGCTCATCTCTGGACAAACGTACATGCACACACACGTTCTGACACACACTCAAGAATATGAATATGAGCACACATAGAGATGCATAAAGCATTTTGCGACTTTGTGGGATTGATACGTGTTTTGTGCAGTATGTTGTACACTGACCACATGTCTCTCTCTAATTTTGCAGTTCTGTCTCCACCACCTGAATCTCTCAGTGGAATCTCACTGGACACTGACAGCAAGGCCTCAGGGTACGTTTTGATCCCTCGCTGTCATTTTTAATGAGAGGACGTCATTTTCTTTCCACAGGATAAAATGACACTCGATGATCTTCATGAAGAAAACAGGAATCTGGATAACTGCATCTGATTGTGTGTTTAAAGTAGTGTGTTTTTTTTTTTTTTAGGCTGATGACAGTGGGTATTCTTGTCTAGAGAGTGTTAAATAATGGGCCTTTTTCACAGCAGACATTTTGACTTGTCATAGTAGGAAAAGCACAAGTGTAACAATGATGACTCCATTATATTCAGTGGTTCCAGTAAACAGTGTGACAGTGAGCAACGTGCACAGCACCAGGACGCTCAAACTAAATAGAATTATGCCATCATTGATTTTATCATTTACACCTTTGCTTTTCCTACAGTGACAAAATGTCTTCCATGAAAAACGCCTATTCTATATTTATGCTATTTTAAAAAATAATATCAGTGTTGAGTGCAACAGATATGAGGGTTTTAAATGAGTTAATTTGTCATCAACAGGCCACACTTAAATGTGTAACAGACGGTACATACAGTTGATTAGTTTTGTCTCTCCACAGTGTGGTTGGCTGGTTCGTGTCAGGACTGGGCCTGAAGTTGCCTCAGCCTGCCATTCAACCCAAAGATGATGCTGAGGTAACTTTTGCCTCTTTCTTCCTTCACCTCTTCTTGCCTTTCCACTTGTCAACCTCTCCTTTACCATCTCAACTGGTATTGTCTTGTCACTTACATTTTCCTAGAACTATATTGATAGCAATTCAACTCATACAACTGGTGTTTCTATTTTATTTTTGCTCTCAGGGTGCAGCTGAAGTTCTACAGAAAGGTGAGTTGAGGCTTTATGCACTTTATTATACTTTCCTGTAGTCATAGAAACCCTGTGTTTGACATCTTGCCAGTACCACTGTTCTTAAGTGCCACAATTCACAGTTCAATCAAGTGGATCTATATCATATAGCATAATGTTTTTGCAGAGGAGTGTTAACTTGCTAATAAATCATGTCTGATGTAAACTAGCAGAAAACATCTTTTTAACAATTCAAGTCATTATTTTTCTGGTGAAATATCCTTTTGAGTAACTCCTGTGGATCTGTGTGTTTTCTGTTGAAGCATCCTCTTGTTTTTCCCCCCATAGTTTTTGAAGAGGTGTTTTGGTCGGGTGGTCGGAGCCTAACTCAGTCCCTCTTCTCCTTCTGTTTCAGGGGGGAAGGCGCTGCGAGCCCCTTAAACAGCAGGAGGAGACGACTGGGGGATGCTCTGATTCCCACAGACAGACACCAATAGACAAATTTTATTATTGGCAGAGCCACAGTTGCTGTACAGTGTGCAGCTCAGTACAGAAACTTTTGGCAGCTGTAAAATACTACAAGAATATAGAGATATATTCAGCTCACCTTACTGTACTCAGTGTACAGTTTCATGAATGTATAACAACTTCAAATGTGTGCACTGATAAAACTTGATAAAAATGTGTACTATATACTCTGTAGGTAATTAGGTAGCTGCTTATCTTCAGACTTTGTGATTTTAAATTTGCACATTTTCTGTTTGACACAGAAATACTTTCCATGTCCATTTATTTGAAATAACTGTAGGTTTAATGCACAGGAATGCATACGTGAGATCTTTTCGTTACTTTATTGTGCTTTAGCCTATGGAAATGCAGACTATATATTCATGTTGCCATTTTCATATCCAGCATAAGAACATAACCAGAAAAAAAAGTGTGATATACTGATCTTACATTTAAACATAAATGTAGTTATTTTCAGAAGTCTCTCAGGATAAAAGGTAAAATCTTCCTTTCCAACAGAAATCTGGAAATAATGATTAAATGGCAGCTATGTTCATTTAATATTGTTATATGTGGATAAAGTGTAATCTCTATCAGTATTTATACTTGACATTTTCTGTAGAGGAAAATGTTATTGTAGATTGTTTTTCATCTGTAAGTCCTACTCCTTAAAATCTGTATTTTTTGTGCTCAAAGAAAGTTGAGGTCAGTTTGGATCCTGATCACGTTACAGTATGTGTAAGCTTTTCCAAGGGTCTAACTGAGGTTGTAACTGCAGCATGAGGCCTGCTGTGATCCATGTGATTTCTGTCTATGGCCTTGAACTGTGAAATGTGGCCTGGGTATGTGGTGTGATGTTGTGTCAGGGGGTTTGGCTTGATTTGTAAGACGCACACTTGCTCACATTCAAAACATTTTGACTGTCAAGTAGACAAGGTGGTACAATACATTGGTATAATGATATGCTGTAATGTAAGAACACTGCAGGTATAATAAAGATTCAGTATGAACCAATTTACGTGGTGTTTGTTACAAGAAACTACTTTGAAGATAAAGAAAACAACTGAAGTCTGATAATGTCTTTCCCCACAAACACCTTTACTTACCTCCTTGAGTCCTCAACAGTTCAATATCTGTGTATATATCTGTATCATAAACAGACCAGTCCTGTCCTACATACCTCTTGTTCCACTTTTTGTGTCCAAATATCCCTTGTACATCCAAAGCTAGAACCGAATCCATCACCAGCAGGTCCTATGTCATTTACATGTTTTGCATCTTAGACGCAAATTGACCCTTGTCACCCTCTGATAGCTTCATCCAAACTCAAACCTGACATGGTACTGGAAGACATGGAGTCAGACAACGAGGGTCAGCAGAAATGTGAGGGTGGTTCCAAAGCTGAAGCACCTTCCACATCGCTGACTCCACCATCGCCGGCAACACACCAACAGCTGGAGGCAACACAGCAGACACAGTCCAGTTCACTGTCCATGGCATCCATGCAGTCCCAGAAGTGCGATGATGCCAGTCCAGTACCAGAGCCATCAGAGTGTGTGACAAAAATATCTCAGGAAGATGCCGAGACTCAGACAGGCCGCTGGACGCCGTTTATTGAGAGCATCAAGAAGGAGGCTGAAGATGGAGCTTTGGCCACCATGGAGGAACGGTAAGAGAGGTAGAGCACAAGAGGATGGAGGTGGCCAGAGCTGGAAGTCCAGTATCATATCAAATAATTTAAATAACTGCAAGTTAAGAGTATTTATTGAACAATCTCTATCTCACAGTAGTCGAAACGTACTGACAAGGCTAAATTAACCTGGTTGGCTGCAGGGCCATAAGGTTTTGCTGTGGAATCCAAAGTATCTACAATAAAGAAGAACACATCCAAAATGTGATTTACCACATTACTAATGAACTAATAAGCACGCACAGCACGCATCATATCAATGTGTCTGTCTCTCTATTTAGTCTGCTGCAGGAGCGCATGGAGATGGCACGTATGGCTGAGGAGGTGGCCAGGCAGACAGCTGAGATGGCCATTAGACAGATGGCCAGTGAGGGACACTCCATCAAACTCTCACTAGGGAGTCAAGAACTGCTGGATGAGCCTGAAGTCGAGTAAGACAATGTGTCCTATTAGAGAAAGAAAGAGAAAGTGTGTGTTTTTCTGGCATTTTTGTATTTTTGGCAATGGGAGCCTCCCTGTGAAATGATGTGACAATGTGTGTTCACTGTGAGCAGGCTGCCAGTGCCAGAAGAAGAAGAAGAGAGTGAAGAAGAGCACAGTAAAGTCACAGAGTAAGAGTTCAGTTCTCCTCAGTTAACCTCCTTAAAATCTTCTGTAGGACCCTTAACCCACTTAGTCTTTCGCCTAGAATTTGTATAGTTCTTCTCTTGTGCTGTGTCTATTAGATAAAAACGTTTATAGCATTCATCTACTTAAAAACTATCTTAACAATTATTTTATTTTGAGTTGAAATTTATGCATGTTGTCAATGTCTCTGGCACCATGAGATTTTGAATTTGGTGTTGGAAAAAATTAAAAGTAGCAATGCTAAAATGTAAAATATACTTTTTTATTTCAAGTAAAAATACATTAGCAAGCAAAGCAAAAGTATTATGAAGCATAATGACCCATATCAGAGACTTATGGTTGTCGAATTATTTTATTATCAGTAATGTATTTTTGCCCATGGGTAGTTTAATCTGTAACAATGCAATAATCTGGAATAAGAAGATCGTAGGTTTTCTATTTTAAATCTTATATGCAAAGTACCAACTCTCAAATATCAGATAAATGCATTGGAGTAAAATGTGCAATATTTCCGTTTGAATGTGAAAGTATAAAGTAACATTAAAGTACAACTCCTTGACCTTAAGTTGCAGGAAAGTTAAGTACTTAAATAAATTTACCACCACTGAGGAGACCCTACAGCCACAGTATCCCCAGTTCCACGTCTGCATCATTGTCATTTGGCTGGCAGGTCTCGCTCCAAATCCCGTGGGTTCTCGTTACGTGATCCCTGCCGCGCGCTGCATCAGCACAATATATAAAAGCATCACACCACCGTGCCATAGCAACCACAGCTTCTCTTGGCAACACCCGCCCCCCTCCCACTCTCTCTCAGCGGTTCCCCCGGTAACACCTGCTGCTGCTGCTGCTGCTGCTGCTGCTGCTGTTGTTTCACGTCTGGAGACGCAGGGGAAATGATGGACGAATATTTTCTCTGTGTTTTTCTAAAAATGTTTAACTCTTGATCAGGTTTATACGACCCCACAGCCGAGTTTGAGTTACTTGTCGTGTGTCGATGCTCGTGGATATTTTGAGTCGGGACTATTGACGATAAAAGCACGTGAATATTTACAGAGAAAGTGAGTATCAATGTGATAACGTCGCGTTTAGGTATTAGATTACTATATGCCATGAAATGAATGCGCCTATTACTTATTATTGCTTAACTTAATTACTATCTTGATGCAAACAGTTGGCGTTATGTCAGCTTGCCTATTACAGGTGGTCAGTGGTCACCGAGTCAGTCGTGTTATGCTAACATAGAGAGAAAAGACTAACTACTAGGTCAGCAGAGTTCATACTTCCTCATTTTTCAGTATCAAGGTAGTGTGGCAGTTTGGTGGATGTCACCTGTGTTTTTTGGTTTAGTTTGTATCATACAGGTCATTTCTCAATTCAAATTAAGTGAAGAGAGAACCATTTTTAATTAATAGTCACATGTTTCACTGTAAGGGCAGTCTATAAAAGGACCTGACATTGTTATCACATCTGTGTGCCTCCATTGCGACATCAATTCAACACATTGCATGTTACCTAATGTGTTCTGCACACCGAAATATAAATTGAATAATTCTCTGAGCCACATTCGAGTTCTATGTTTTCATGTTTCTAACCAGCACAAATATGGCCAAATCTCCATTTTCAGATGGGGTTAACAAGATTTTATAAAGCCATGTAAACAGATATTAATTGAATTAGTCAAGTAATAATACTTTGGACAAGTATTAAGATTTTCTGTATTTGAAATGCAGCCTTTCACGCTGCTAGACGGTCTGTTTGATGCACTGTCCAACTGTTTTGTTCCCTGTCCTGTCCTGCAGAAGGGAAGAGAGCATTGCTGTGGAAGAACAGGAGGAAGAGGAAGAGACCGAGGAGCCTGCCACCACAGAACCAGGTAGAGGTCAAGAGAAAACACTTCTTTTTTTTTTTTTTTATCTTTCTTTTGAATTGACAATATAATCCCCTCAAAAAGATTTTAGCTGGAAAAGGTCTGGTCTGTTTCTATAATATCTTCAATTAAAAAAAAATTCTAGAGCCAAAGAAGGAAGCAGAGCCTCAGTGCATCTCCCCATCTCCACCTCCAAGTCCTGAATCAGTTAAGTCCTGTGAGTCGGAGCCTGAATCTGAACCAGAACCAGAACCAGAGACTAAGACCCAGGAAGCCAATTCAGAAGCTGAGCCTATCACCCGGCAGCCGCAGAAAGCAGAGGAAGACGGTCAAGGCACCAACGCTGACAAAGCTGCTGAAAAAGTAATGTCCAGGGGTTGAACATGTACAGTGATGAATACATGTGTCAGTTAATTTAACCCCCTGAATAGTCTGAGCTTATTCATCAATATACCCACTGTAAAATCTCTTTACAATTAATTATGTTTTGCAATTAATTGACATTTTTATTCATTTTTATTTTTCAATTATTATAATTTTTTTTCAATTAAATTTTTAGCACCAACCATGTTCACATACAACTGTTGCTCATCACTCTGCTGCCATTCATTAACATACACTGTGTTTATTGTAGGAGGAGGAAGCTACAGGGGATGGCTGCGGTGGTATGTGCTATTCTATTTTACTATGTTGTTCTGTTTTTCATCAGGAAAATCTTTCTCATTACAGATTCTGTATACTGCCGTGATTAGAGCTGTCATATTACTGCATGTATGTCTGCCTGATTGGTTATGTTGTGTTGAACTCTCAAGCTTCTTAAATGACTGTCATTCTACAAACTTGTCCCATCACATACACATACATCTACACAGCCACCACTGTATTTGATTTCATCACTGCATCTCTGTGTCAGTTAGAGTGGACGTCTGTCAGGCTCAGACTCTTACTGACATTGTCATTCAGACTGTCAACAGTGCCCATCTCCCATCCTGCTTGTATTCTGACTATATATCTGCCTATCCACCTGTCTCTTCTATAGCTCCAGTCAGCTGTGATGCGTTTAAGAGTTGCCTGATGCGCATTCCTCACACCTCTGAGTGCCTCGGCAATATCAACGCATTCTTCAAAGAGAACGGCATCTCCCCCCCGAAAATACCCTCCATGCCTAAGCTACCCACCCAACTCTCTGACGTGACCAAGTACTTACCCACCTTACCCCCTGAATTACGCCAAGAGCTCTCCCAGATCAGACTCACACAGGTCCCCCGAAACATTGCCCAGACTCTGACTGAAATTTTGCCCAAAAGCTCAGAGGGTTCAGTCGGTCCCAGTCTGTCCAGTCTTTCCCAGAGCTTTTCAAACATCCCGGAGAAACTCTCCCAGTTTCCCAGCCGGACGCAGCAGTACTTCCTCAACGTCCGGAACCGCCTCAACAGCCTTATGCCCCAAGATGCCTAAGAAACAGCAACAACAGCAAAAACAGAAGCAAGACGTAGAACTCAACCGACTCGTCCGACACTCCCCTCTCCCTCCTCCTCACCATCCTCAGCTCCGGTCCCGCTCCCCGTCTCCATCCTCCCCCAGTGGTAGCGCCCTCGAGTTGCCCAATGTGCCATCCTATCCACGTCTGCCTCCAATTGTCAGCCCCCCGTCAAAGCAGCTCAACTCCCCGTCCCACCAGCTGTCTGGTCTCTCTAACCCAGCGTTCTTCATTGAAGATGACTCAGACATTTCAGCAATAAGACCCGCAGGTGAATCTGCAAGCAGTGGAAAGTTTACTGTCCTCGTGTGATTCCTTGCATACAATGTGCATTCATGAACTCAGTCATAATGATGAACAGTAATTCTACATATAAGCAGAATAAACTGATTCGTAAATTAGCCCTAAAATTAAATTAACAGCTGATTTGACACTAAACTGTATTTAAAAGTGTTCATCAAAGAAATATACAAAAAAAGTAACAGCTGTATCAGCTGAGTTCAGATGTCATGGCAGATTCACTGACAACATGTTCTGCAGGATGAACATGCTGTCAGGAAAAAAGCTAGCTGTTTCGTGTTGTGTTAGTGGATTTTTGTATATATTTGCATTTCCCTATCTTCTTTATCTGTCTCAGACAAAATCTTGATCTTACTTGAGCACCAATGTTACTTTGTTCAGTTGAGCTTTGAAGGAAAGAAATAGGTATATTTTTGGATAAAAAGAATATATGGAAGTTTTCACTCTATTTCAACATTTCGTCAAGAAAAACAAAACCAATAAAAAGATTTTTTTTGAATGGCTTTGATAGAACATGTACATCAGGAGGCAGAAAACTGACTCTTGGTACTTTTTTATTTAAAGAAGTGTGCCAAGAGCCAGATTAGCCAGACTGAATGGTTTGCTAGATGAGTAAACTAGTCCTCTCAGCTACCAGAGCACTTTTATACATGGCCTAGTTCAAAGGTGGATCCTCTTGCATTAGTCTGATGTAGGTCCTGCTAAATCTGCCTGCCTCCCTGTCCTGCCCTGCTTCTGCTTGTAACTGTGACCTGCTTTGCATCTTGCAATGCTGCCAAATGTAACATTCATGTATTATTACAGTATATCGTGTCTTTGCAAGTGGACTTACCTCAGTTTTGTCTCAATGCTAATATACTGTTCATACCATTATTGGTGATGCCCATGACTAAATAACAACAAATGTATTGTGTCTGTCAACCTCTCCAGAGACCTCCAGCCTCAGCCTTCGTCCGGCCGTCAATGTAGAGGACGTTGACTCAGACCATGAGAGAAAAGGAGGAGCAGGAGGAGGAGGAGGAGGGAATGAGGAGCAGAGTACTATCCCCCAAATTCTCACCCCACAGGACCCCAAACTTACAACCCTCACCGTCCCTGTGACCCCATCTGGAGGTCGTCAGAGGTGAGAAGTAGCTGCTTAAACAACAAATGACATAATTACAGAATATGAAACATTTTTCTTTTTTTGGGGTAAGTATGTTATCTAAGACAATTGTACTTTAATGTAATATATGCTATTATATGTCACATTTGAAAGATGTTGACAGGTGTACTGTAGACACTATCTGTTTCTGAAATGGAAATTCAAGAAATTCTTATCTGGGTGCGCACTAAGATGTTCCTAATCTTTTTCTTTGCCCTCATGCTTTGCACTACAGCAAAGGAGATAAAGAGTAAGGAAACTTATCTTATATGCATTCACAGCAAAATCTTTGATAACACAGAAATGGAAAGCATCAGTAGGATGTATTTTTGTCATGGTGCTAGCTTCTCTGTTTGCAAGTGAAGTCTTTTGATCAAAAAGAAGATAGAATCAAATATTTATAGCTGGAAATATCTACCATTTGTTGATTAAAATAACAATTTCAGTCACAGATTTAAATGTAATTATTATTTGTGGATTTAATAAGTCATTACATTTATTATTTTGGAATGAATCGCTTCACAGTCTTCCCTCTGTTTAGTGCTGTTTGAAATGACTTCTACGCCCTCTACTGTTCATCTTCTTGTTGTACAGTCTGTCCAGAGTCAGTAGAATCATTACTGTGGTCTGTATTTAAGTGTCCCGCAGAAAGCATGTGTGTGCAAGAAGTAAGCTGTTTCAGAAAAAGTTTTTTTTTTTTTTTTTTGTGCATAAACGAGAAATAAGAGCTGCTAATATAACACACACAAACAGATCCGCACATGTTGTTTGTGCAAAAACACAAGACAGTTTGTTGTATGAATCACTGTGGAGCAAAAATTGTTTGTGGAAGTGTTTCCTGTCTTGTGTTGTCCTCTGTTGTGCTGTTCTTCTGTGAAGTGTGATGGTACTGTTCACTTCTGCATGACTTTTACAGATTTGTGTGCTTTTGGCTATTGTATGGATGTTGACATAACATACCAGAAGTCAATAAACCGATGCATTACAATCTTGCACTTGCATCTTCACTGTGTCACCTACCTGTAGAGTACTGTAGGTGATTTATCTTCACATGTTCCCTGTTTCTTGGATTAACCTCATGCTTTCCCTGGCGTGCGCACACACACACACACACACACACACACACACACACACACACACACACACACACAAACCCTCTCTCTCCCTGTCTTCCTGCTCTGACCATGCACAACAGTAGTGGAAGGAATCGTAGGACTATCTGGACAAAGATGTAAATATACCCTTAGTAAATATCTCCCTATTAGTTGCCATCCTTTTCATCCTCACATTGTGCTTTATTAATCCCTAATTTTTCCCATCTGTCGTTATTCATTCACTTATTACATTATCATTTTCAGTGATTATTCATCTTTATTTTTCACAGTCACAAATACAGTTTGAGCATGAAAGCAGCATGTAGTTTTTTTTTCTTTTGTCTTGGGCAAAATTTGTCATTTTTAGGCACAACTCTGTGAATATGAGAATGATGTGATTTTGTGTGTGCCTTTTACCATTTACAAATACCACTTTACATGCTACACATTAAAGCCACATCACAGTGTGTTTTAGTTTAAGACAAAAAAAAGAGAAGAGACAACAAAGGCAGTACTATCTCAAAGTTGAACCAATGATGTTGCTGTTTCTACTTAACCTTAACAGTAGAAGGCTGCAATCTCAAAGTGAAGATGATGATGAAGATGGAAGCATCCCTGTCAGAGCCTGGCCCAGCCAGTCCAGCCTGCACAGCACAGACGACATGTGAGTACTGTACACACACACACACCCACACACACACACACACACACACACACACACACACACAAACATCATTTCGACATCATCTTTTGACTTTATTTTTTAAAGTCTTAAAGAACGTCCAGCATCTTCAGCCAGTCAGACCAGCACAGTGGTGAACGAGCGTCTGCAGGAGCTGGTCAGGATGTTTAAAGAGAGGACAGAGAAAGCCAAGGAGAAACTCATTGACCCTGACAGCTCCGATGAAGACAGCGTCATCTCCTGTGAGTGAGAGTTTCTTCTTTTCTCTCTATTACCCTCTGTTACAGCAAGCTGACATACAAAATAAGTGTGAGTCAGAAATATACAGGTAATAATAGCTGGTATAGACAGTAGCAGGTGTTACAATACATTTTAATTCCAGGTTAAGAGAGTCGGCATTGTCCAGCCGGGGGAACCACCCACTCATACCCAAAACTACACAAAGTTATACCCACACCTTGGACCGCCCTTTATATAAACAAAAAGCTTAATGAATAAGCTGAAACTGCCCACTCACTCACACAGGTGAGTAGAAGCAGTAGTTGCTTGTATCCAGCCTGCCACCTTCCCCTCGTTCTTCCTTAAACATGTACCACCAGTGTCCTTCGTCAATTCCTAAATAAATGCTTTAGTCCCTCAAAAGCTACGGAGCTCAGTGGTCCCTAAAGTAGGTGCTTTAAGGATGGGTCAAGGGTGCTTCCAGATTTGTTCATTGACATTTTGTACAGAAAGTTTTTCATATCCTTTTACCAAATTAAAAACACAAACTGCATTATTCAGCTTTAAGACCAAAATACCAGGGCTAACACCTCTGTGCCCTTTATAATAGAAGCACTCTGATCCGTTCTGAGATTGTAAACCTTTCTCTTAGCATCCTATCCCATCAGGCAAGAACACCTCGTCTGCAACACGTTGTAATTCTTATTCTAAACCTGTGTGTTTTTAAAATCTCTGTCATGTCTTCTTGTGACCTTTTGTCCCCTCTCACCTCCCTTTAGCTCCTCCTCAGGCCTCAGCTCCTCAGCCTGCTCCTGGAGCGCAGCCGGTGGATGGGGGAGAGAAGGAGGCAAAAGCAGGTCCATCAGGAGGAGGAGGAGGAGGAGGAGGAGGAGGAGGAGAAGGCGGGGTGGAGAGTGAGGCAGAGGAGGAGCAGTCTAGCAGCTGTTGCAAGGTGAAAGCTCCTCGGTGGATACGAGCCTGTGTACACTACTGTTTCCCCGCCAGCATCGACCCTTTCACCAGTGAGAACCCAGCCGAATACGCCACCCCCTGCCACCTACTCCATATTGTACAGTGCAGTAGAATCTTCTTTACTCAAACTACTCAGAAGTTATTGGTTCTTATGAGGGGGTGATTGATACGCTAGTGGCCTAAGGTAGAAGGAGAGGAGTGACACACGTGTGCAGTTCAACTATCTGAGTGGTCATGCAGAAAGTTTGAAGTTAATAACTTTAGCTTTAGCTTTTACCTTATGCCACAAACTTATCAATCACCCTTTTTCATTTTTCAGCCACGAAGTTGTGACCAAATTTTAGAAATAACATTGATCATGGTTTGAGAAACATTTATTGAGCTCTGTGCTCGTCCCCAAAGAAACTTAACTCACAAGAAATATTCTTTTGACTTATAGTGTTTATATGTGAGTGGAGCTCAATAACCAGGTATTATTTAGTTTGGGTAAAGGTGAATCTACTGTTTTATTCTGTCACAATACAGACACCTGTCTAATCATCTGTCATTTACCCTTTTCTCTTCCCTTACTTTCTACTGTTGCCATTCTTTCTCCTTATGCACAAAACCACATTCTCAATAATGTAAATAAATGTTTAATAATAATACAGATTAGATCCTGCTTATTTGTCACACCCTTATTCCCATCAAGCTCTAGTTGTAACAGTGTATAGTGGTAGTTGGTGCTTGCTTAGTGACCATCACGTCTGCTCTGTGAATAAAGACTGATTCCAGTCTGTCTACAACTACACCTCTGTCAATTATCTCGTTGTTTAATTCCCTAATTTCTTCTTCCGCAGACCTAATGTATGTGCTGTGGATGTTTTTGGTTTCTCTTGCGTGGAACTGGAACGTATGGTTCATCCCGGTGCGCTGGGCTTTCCCCTATCAGACTCCAGACAATATTTACTACTGGCTGCTGACTGACTACCTGTGTGACCTCATTTACATCCTGGACATCACCGTCTTCCAGCCACGTCTGCAGTTTGTTCGTGGAGGGGACATAGTGGTGAGTGTGACACTGGAAGCTTTTACTGTAATCGAGCACCATCCCACCAACTGGGACGAATTGGTCTGTAATGATTTTGTTTTCATCACAGAGTGACAAAAAAGAGATGAGGAAGAATTACATGAAAACCAAACGCTTCAAAGTAAGTAACTAGAACTGAATAAAAGTCGATTTTATGTTCTGCTTCTCTGTGTTTTGAATATTAATTGGTGAATCAATCATTGAGGCAATTTAGTCAGAGTGAGATGGTACCTTACTGTTTTTCAGTTTGATGTAGCCAGCCTTGTTCCCTTGGAGCTCTTCTATTTTAAAACCGGCATCAACCCCCTGCTCCGCTTACCCAGGCTGCTGAAGGTGAGGCTTTATTACTGTATATTCAAACCTTTGTCACCAGTAATGTGTATCAAATATTCTGAACCACACACAGCAATGTTGCAATGCCAATATCAAACACAGTATCATTAAGTATGGCGCCGATGTAAAGGAAATGTTAATTTTACAAGGCATCATTTATCCATTTTGGTAAATCAGCTTTCAGTTATTTAGATTTCACTTTTTCAAATAGACAATTTTGAAACCAAACTTTACAAATATTTATTTTTTCTCTTCTCTCGTAATGCATCCCAGATCAACTCCTTCTTCGAGTTCAACGAGCGTCTAGAGGCCATCTTGACCAAAGCCTACATCTACAGGTTAGCTGCGACCTTACTAAATACTGTCTGTATGTGGTGGACAGAGGTTCCATGAAGGGCAACAGTTGAACAAACAACCAGGTTTAGATATTCAGAGTATTCACATGTACTGCTGTCTCGTTCTCTCTCAGGGTGATCCGTACCACCACCTATCTTCTTTATTGTCTCCACTGTAATGCCTGTCTCTACTACTGGGGCTCTGCCTTAAAAGGACTGGGATCTACCAAATGGGTGTACAATGGCGAGGGAAACAGGTTGGCAGAATAAACACACACACACACACACACACACACACACACACACACACACACACACACACACACACACCACCCATGGTCTATTTTAGTTGCATCTTTTTACTTTTATCATTTATTTAAAACACCTGCCCATGGTTTTGATTTTGAAGCTATTTTCTTGTTCTGCCTCTTTCCAATGCCTCCTGTCTTTCTCTCTCTGCTCAGCTACATTCGCTGTTACTACTTTGCGGTGAAGACCCTGATCACCATTGGAGGTCTGCCAGACCCCACCACCCTGTTTGAGATTGTCTTCCAACTCATCAACTACTTTGTTGGAGTCTTTGCCTTCTCTATCATGATTGGACAGGTAGACATATAAATATAATGGACATATTTTTACCTTCCACATATACATATTTAACTTTAAAAGCTGCAGTGTGTTATTATTCTGATAGTAAGGACTGCAATACATCATAAACCTCTTTGTGCAATAATTGTGTTAAATTAACTTTATCTTTATCTTACGATTGACTAATTTTGACTCTCAGATGCGTGATGTGGTTGGTGCAGCCACAGCAGGTCAGACCTACTACCGCACATGTATGGACAACACTATTAAATACATGTCCTCATATCGCATCCCCAAAGACGTCCAGAACCGCGTCAAAACCTGGTACAACTACACTTGGCAATCTCAAGGCATGCTGGGTAAGGAGAACATGCTGTGACCCCACTGTGTATACTGTACATCTGAACTTTCAGTCATACTGTACTTACTACTGTTTTCCATCCAGATGAGCAGGAGCTGCTGACTCAGTTGCCAGATAAAATGCGTCTGGACATTGCTATAGACGTCAACTACTCCATCGTGAGCAAAGTCCCTCTATTTCAGGTAAAAATGAATAAAAACACATGAAAAATGACATGGTATATAACAGTCTTTCTGCAAGACCCAGTTGTGTTGTAATGCTAGTGTACTTGCCATATAAAGCTCACCAGAGATTTGCAGAAAGTATATACAGTATATTTTCCCTTACTGGTCTGTTTTCCCTCTTGACAGGGTTGTGACCGACAGATGATCTTTGATATGCTGAAAAGCCTGCGCTCTGTTGTCTACCTGCCAGGGGATTATGTCTGCAAAAAGGTACATGCCGTATGCAAGCCTGCCTGTATTTTGTTAGTAGAAGACTTGTATAGGTCATTGTCATTGTATCATCTGACTCTGCCTTTCTCCCCCTTCGTTGCTTAGGGCGAGGTGGGTCGGGAGATGTACATCATAAAGGCAGGGGAAGTGCAGGTGGTTGGAGGTCCCGATGGGAAGACGGTCTTTGTCACTCTCAGAGCAGGATCAGTCTTTGGAGAGATCAGGTGACCTGTTGACCCTCTAACCCCACACCCTGGTTCTAGCTGAATATTCTGCTGTGCATTTATCTGGATTACTTTTTACAACAGAGCATTTTGGACAATGACCACATTGACCAAAAAGACAAGAGAAAATATATTTGTGTGATTTTAACACTTGGTGTTTGTGTTTGTTGGAGTTGCTTTCAGATATGATAGAAAATGTCACATTAAACCATGCAATTATCTCCTCTCTCTCTCTGATTGGCAGTTTGCTTGCAGTAGGCGGGGGTAATAGGCGCACAGCCAATGTGATTGCTCATGGTTTTGCCAATCTCTTCATCCTGGACAAGAAAGACCTGAATGAGATCCTGGTCCACTACCCTGAGTCCAAGAAACTGCTCCGCAAGAAGGCCAGGTCAACCATGAATGGCGTTAAACATTACCACAATAATCAATAAAAATCTGCTCTGTATTTGTCCTTTATTAGTGCTGTATAATTTACCAGGAGACTAACAACAGCTTTGTCTGCATGTATGTAGTTATTACAGTGTCCTTAAGTCTGATTGAAGTCATTGTCTCAACCACAGGAAGATGCTTACCAAGGGGAAGAAACCTGAGCCCAAAGAAGAGGCTAAGGAACCCCGTCAGGTACCGGCAGCCCCGGTCAGGCAGGAGACTCCCAGACTGCTGAGAGCTGCCCTGGAAATGACAGAGAAGTCCTCTAGACTTAAAGGAGCTCTGGCTAAAGTCAAAGAGAAGACCAACAAGTCCAGTATCTCATTACAGGTAAATGTACACAAAACCTGAGCAAACCAACGAAGAAACATATGCACATGTGACAATAAAAAGGAGGGGCAAGGTGGGTACATCGTAGACACATATACACAAAGCAATAACTCTTCTCTCCTTTCCTCTTCCAGCCCTCCATCTCTTCCTCCCTCCCCCCTCCATCTCCAACCTCCAGCTCTGGACCTGACAGAGATGCGGACACGCCTTCACCCGTCTCTGCCAGCTCCACCACATTTCACTCTGCATCCCACTGTCACAACAACAGCTCTGTGATGGGATCACAGTCCCAAAGCGACGCAGACAAAACGCTCGCTGTGGACCAAAGAAAGGAAGATGTCAGTGAGGGTGTAGGGAATGAGGGCGAGAAGAGAAAAGAAAGGAAGTTGTGATATTTTTCTAAAACTTGAGCAGAGGGGAGTGGTTGGAGAAGTTGGGAAGGAAAGGAAAGGGAGGTGAGGAAGGAGTCTGCACTTTGAAAAGAGGGAGATAAAGAGAAAGAATTAAAAGAAAAAGGTGGCAGTTGAGAGAGGAGGAAGGAAACATTAGAGTAAAGAAACTGCTTTTGAAGAGAAAACAGGAATAATCAATGCTGAGTATATCTACCAAACACTGACAGGATGCTGAAATGAAAGACACTGGTCTTGTATAAAAACTGTTTTATTGTCAGACTGATCTGTTAAAGTTGTGTGGGGCAGCCTCATTGCAAAATATCGAAGTGGTACTGTATTCAATCATGATGCACTTGTCCATTTTGTACATTATAACCAACATATTTACAGCATGCCATGCAGTTGTAATATACCTTTAAACTTAAAAAGCCGATATAAGATATTTTGTCACTAGTGTTGCCCCTGCCTCTCCCCGGTTTTTCAAGCTAGACCAATGGAAAATACAATTTCAGATTCTTATGTTCTCCAATTGCTTTGCATTCCTCTTTCAACCTCCACCCACTGTTCATCTCTGCTAATCTCATTATTAATTCATTTAATGCAGGAGTAAGCCATTCCTTGCCGGGTTACCTCTTCAGACGCATATTTCCATCATCTACACTGAGTTTACACGACTGAATTCACTGTAGCTATGATGTGTGAAGTTTGTGTGGGATGGCAGAGTTAAGCCATAACAGTTAACTCAGATCAGTAGTTTCTACAGAGCTGAACTTATTGTGTTTGTACAACATACAAAATGAACAAAATGAGAAAATGTTTTTGCTGTTGTTGTCAGCTAAATGTTTGCAAATTCTTTTGTAAACTTCAACGTACAATATGCCTTATATGTTTCGTCATTTAACTTTGTGTTTTGTTGGTGTGAGTAGCTTGCTCTGCTGATGTTTTTACAAGTTGGTTTGAAAAACAGCACAGACCTACTAAAACTGTATTTAAGGTTATAACAACATGATCATCTGTATTTCCATCATAAGATATGATAGCAATGTCAATGTATGTTGACAGGTCAATGTAAAGTAATCTTCGATTATTTTATATAGATTCTCAGTCTGTCTTTTTTCAGCATAGCAAGCTCAAAAATCTATCCTCTTATTGCCTCACTTGATTTGCTAATACATATGTATAGGTCATCTCAGAGGGATCAATATGTCACTCATGTAAAAATGTAGCCATCAATACATGTAATACCATTGCTTTACACATTTTACAACTACAGTTTTTATGCTCATGTTTTCTTTTGTGTTTTTTTGTACAATATGTAAATATATTTGTTTTTTAAATGTAGATGAATCACACTTTCCTGCTAATGTAAAAATCACTTTACTGCTTTGCAGTGTCATGAGATGTACATGCATTCTAGAAATTCTAAATGTTTAATTTGTGCTGTGAATGTGTTTTATGACTCAGTGATGGTTAATTTTTTTTTATAGATGGTTTGATTATTGATACAGCCTCAGAAGATGCCCATAAACCAGCTAACCATACTGCCAGACAAGCTGTAGAAAGGAATGATTGTGTGTGTGTAGTGAGACAGAGAGAGATGATTGCATATTGGACTCTGTATATATTTGTACACATATATATATATGTATGTGTGTGTGTGTGTGTGGGGGGTCCTTAAACTGGATTTTGTCACTGATTTAGCCCTGTCTTTTGTGAATTTTGTTTAAATAAATGACTGTTTGCAGCATATTTTCTCCTGAGTTTTACGTCGGATCTCTAATCATCAATTCACGTCAAAAGGCTGAACAAACAACATGACAAACATTCAACCAACCAACTCCAATAACATCAGCTGACATTTTTCTGGTGACATTATGTACCACTGTGATATTCTTGAGGTGAGCCCTTGGATAGTCCTGCCCTTTCAGTCAATCAAATGCTAGCAAGCCTAAATCAGTTGTCTTGGAGATGTAGCCTCCAATTCTGTCCTCCATATGCAAACCTGCACCCTTTGTGTGTAGACTAGGTTTTTTTTTTTTTTTCAGTTAGTGCATTAATATGAATCACTTGTTTTTCCACAGCAACCCCACCAATTAATTCATTCATCAACATATAGTGGGTTTGCTGTGAAAGCAGCTAGCTCGGGCCAACACGGGGCACACATGGAAATACTCAGATGTAGATCAACTGAAAATAAGTACAGTGCTTAATATATATACTTGGTTAGTTTCCAACACTATTAATTACATTTTATTTCTTAAAATTATTGGAAAATACAATGTGATCTTTTTAGTTCATGTAACTCTACATCAAATAGCATCATCTATCACAATCATGGGTCTTAAAGTTGTGTTATACATATGTATGTCTTTGTGTGTGTGTTTGTTTTAGACTGACCTAAATAAACTGAAACTATATGTAGGTCGTGGTGTACTAACTGTCTTTAAGTGAGTCATGGTGGGTTTTGGAGAGCATGGGTAAAACCAAAAAAAAACCTCATTTCCCACAATGATTTGCCCCCTGACGTCACAAGGTTTTCCCTCTCCGGTCAGCTGACCCAACTGAAGCCAGTCTCCCGACGGAAATGTACAACCTGTGGTAAAGTGTAAAGTAGCTTAGTGAGATGACAGCGGGCAGCATAGCTCTTCGTTAGCTCCCATTGATCTGAAATTGGTAATTTCCATTGATTAGTTAACGGATAAGAATGACACGAGTTTAGGGTTTCTGTTCACTTTGTAGCCATTAGCTTAACGGCTAAAGGTAGTTAGCTACAGCTCTTTAAGTTGTGCAGCTAGCCAGTGGGTGGCTAGCTGATTGAATTGTGATGGTCTGGAGATCTTTATAGTAACTAAGGAGAAGCTGAGATGGGAGACAGCGATGGAGAGGACATTAAGGAAACACCTGAGCTGCCTGTGGAGGTGAGTTAGACAAACGGCCTTTTCTTTCCTACAGAAACACAGTGAGCCACAGTGACTGTCTACCACTGGTGGATGAGCATATGGCACACTGCCACAGCACAGTCATACAGTATGCTGATATTTGAGTAAATAAAAAGGTGTCCGGTAACCCTCAGACCTCTTGCAGGATCAGTGACTTCACTGAATTTTAATGCAGTATTTCCGTGTCTTGCTGTAGATCATAGTTTACATCCTGAGCTTTCTTCACGCTTCAGACAGAAAGGAAGCCTCTCTGGTCTGTCGCAGCTGGTACAATGCCAGCCAGGACCTGCGTTTTCAGGTAATTTACACACTGAGACACATAATGCATGATAAATGTGGATAATATATTGGTCAGAGGGTGCAGATTCAGTGCACGCCAGTGTTCATCATGTCTCCTCTCTTGTCTGTTTCTCTCCGTGTAGAAGAACGTCACCTTCTGCTTCCCAGCTTCAGCCTCGTCCCTGGAGCTGGTCAGGGGTCTGGGCTGCAAGTCACGCTGCAGCCTGGTTATCAGCCAGCTCGATGGCTTCAGTATGTCCCGATCGCTGCTTCTGGAGGTGCAGTATGCCGTCATATTTAAGACATACATCACTACTTTGATCAGCCTCAGTATTGATAGCTACTGTCTGACACATTTTGAGATCCTCAGGACTTTTCATATCTGAAGATTAACGCTAAGATGAGCATTCACTGGACGACTGTGGGGAAAGTAACAGCTTTATTCATTAAAGATATTCTTGTAAAATTTTCTAACTGGTCAAGCTTCAACTTAAGAAGTGGTCAAATTGAACTAATAGTGATTTTACTGAAGAACACTCGCAGACCTGAAATAAATCCCTCTTTATGGTTCAAGATTAAACAAGACGAGTCAAAAAGCAGAAGTGGAGGGATGAAATATATGATAATAGGGGAGTGTTTGGATAGGTGTTCCCTCTGTCATTGAAAATTATATCACTGCTGTCATGTGAAGACCTTGTTATTCTGATTTTAATTTAGTTTTGTGTTTTCACTTCAAATGATCACATGCTTCTTTGCGGGTTCAGAGAATTCCCTCACCTCCAGGGCTTATGAAAGCCTTTTGAAGAAAAAAAAAAAAAAACAACCTGTTGAACAATGTTGAGTGGATTTTATTCATCTTGGAAACACATTGCCACCAGGCAAGAAAAGACGCCTCTCCTCCTGAAAGTCTAACAAGAAATTTTAAATAGGATTGATTTTTTTTTTTAGGTGCGATTATCGCTCTTACCATTTTAATTTCCTGTACTACTGACCAGGATGTAGCATAGTCATAATAGACATGTTGTGGTCACGGTCCAAAGTTCAGAGCAGCAGCAACAGATATAAAAGATAGAAAACCATGATTGTTGCCTAGAAATATGAGGACAAAGTCTAACCCTACCAGTGTTTATTTAGTGTACCAATGTAGGGGTTAGATCAAATGAGGAAGTTAGGTGACGCTATAACCATCACCATAAGGTAGCAGCCAGTGAATGAAACAGTGTACCTCTCTCTTCAGGTGGGACTGTGTCTGGGCTCTAAACTGGAGAGCTTGGCCCTGCCTGGCAGCAGTATAACAGAGGCCTCACTGCTGACCCTCCTTCCTCGCCTCACCTCCCTCCGCAGGCTGGACCTCAGGGGCCTGGACAGCCTCTTCATGTCTGGAGCTTTCCTCTCCAGGGAGGAGCACAGACAGCAGGTATTATATATTATGTAAGAGTTTGATGGCAGCTTGAGGTTGGCCATTGTTTCAATAAGACCCGAAGAGCTGACTGTCCTGCCAACATGTCAGTTCCTTTAGGGTAATCTTCAGGTATGTCTGTAGGTATGCTGCATTTTGACACTGGAGATGAAGTAAAATATTAACAATAAAATGTGGTCAGAGACATTTACTAAATTCTATCATGATGGAGAAAAAAAACACCTGCTAAAATAAAGTTCAATGTTAGTTTTTGTCGCAGTTAGTTTTTCGACAAAGTCGGTGGCATTCTTTCAATTTGGTGTTTTTAAGATTTTAAATCACATATTTAAATTGATTCAATTGTAAACAACTTTTTCAATATGCAATATAAATAATAACAGTAGATGGATAGACCCAGGTATACATCAAATTCCTCTGATGAGCAATGCAGCACTGTTTTTGGTATTATATTTTTATTGATAAAACTATAATAATCTGCCTAAAAAGGTGTGAAATTAAGGCAGTACTACCATTATATCTGTTCTGCAGTTCACATAATCCTTTATTTCTCAACTATACCATTTCTTTATTTACTGCTCTCTACCATTGCAGCATCATTAAAACCTGCTCTCTTGCTGTGTAGCTCTGTCCTTAGTCATCTGATAAGAAGAGGGTGTTGGCAGTGATTATTAAATTAAACCTTTCACACCAGTTCCCCCAGAGTAGATTTCTATTGGCATTGTGTTTGCACAGCTTTATTGTTTTTGCCACCTGTAGTAATGGTCCATTTTCAGGTCAAACATCATTCTCTTGTTCCAGGTCAGGTCAGCTCTGTCTGGTCTGGAGGAGCTGGACCTGTCCGACCTGCGCTACCTCTCTGACCTCACCTTCAATCGGCTGACCGGCTGCACCCCGCGCCTCCGCCGGCTCTCGCTGGCCGGCTGCCATATCGCTTTCGAGTTCGACCCGTATCGAGGGTGCCCGGTCGGGGCTGTTGAGGACTCGTCAGCATTACTGTCACTGAGGAACTTGAAAAGGTTGTTAACAGAGCAGAAATCCACCCTTGTAGCTCTGGACCTCAGCAGAACCTCCATCACCCCTGAGTCACTACGCACTATTGCACAGGTCAGGATCCTTGAAATCCCTGCAACAGCTTCTTTACTGCTTGAGCAGCAATTAAGGATTCCTCACAAATAAAACTGCTCAGCTTATATCTCAATACCTATTTTTATATTATACAGACACAAGAAGCTGCACTTATTCTTAAGAATTCAATAATAGTGAGTCTTGATGATTTTAGCTTGTCCTTTAACTTCGTTGAAGACAAAGAGTTTCAATTGGTTGTCCTAATAGAAGACCCATTGTAGGATTTCAAGTCATTTTTAATGTCTTGATATTCTCTCTGTTCCAGGTTCAGGATTTGGTCCTAGAGGAACTGTGTCTGCACGGCTGTAAGGAGCTGACCGACTACTCAGTGGAGGCTCTGGTGAAGCACCAGCCGAGCCTTCAGAGACTGAACATCAGTGCCTGCACTGAGCTGACCAGCAGGTCTGTAGAGGCCATAGCAGGTGGCCTAAAGTCACTGACGCACCTCTCCCTGTCCCGCGACTGGAGGATCACTGAAAAAGGTGCCCATGGTGTATTTCTGCTTTTGTGTGTCTCATAGACTTAAAGAATCATTTGTAAATATAACAGAACTAACTGTAAAGACTTGCTGGTAGCCATTAGAAGCCACAGTGTTCATTACACCCCGCAGCAGTTCAAACAACAGCTAAAATCTAATGTTTGTCCTGATGATGTGCTGCTAGAAAATGTGTTACTCTTTAAACGGTGGTTTCGTGTCGTCCACAGGCCTCGCTGACCTGCTGTCTGTGTCGTCCCTGAGGAGTCTGGATCTGTCTGAGTGTCTGCACATCAGCGGACCTGAGATGGTGAAAGGCTTGACGGGGTCCAGTGCTGCCAGAGCACGGCTGGAGACGCTCAGCCTCAAAAGCTGCACCTACATTAGGGTCAGTCAGTGTCTGTGTTTGTGTTTTCATGTGTAACTGCATTTGTATGAAAGGAAATAAGAAAAAAAACAAGCTTTTCCCTCCTCTTTGTGCAGGATCTTGCGGTTTTCTCTCTCACCCAGCTTCTTGGGGACACTCTCTGTGAGTTGGACCTGACCTCATGCGTCAACGTGACTGACCTGTCTGTGTGTGCGATCGCCACATACCTGCACAGGCTGGTAGTTCTGCGGCTTGGCTGGTGTAAACAAGTCACAGACTGGGGTTTGCTAGGAATGGTGGAAACATCCAAGTCTGAGCCTGATGATGAGACGGTGAGAACTTCAGACAGGTGGAAGGTGTTTTAAGAAGTAAAGACGACCTTTCCTTCCTCCTGTCAAAGCTGTTGTAATAATCTACTGTTCTCCACAGGGAGACAAGGGTCCCAGGTTCACCCGGACCTTCGGCAACATGGGCTTCTTTAAGCCTCCTCGTCTGCCTTTTGAGGAGCGACCCAAGCTGGTGACGCAGAACGACCTGGAGCAGTTCACACAGCAGCCGGGAGCTTCCCTTTTAGCTCTCAACAGGCTGCAGGAGCTGGACCTCTCTGCCTGCTCCAAACTCACTGACAGCAGCATCACACAGGTGGGAGGCTGAGGAGAGACAAATGTGTCATTTTGGAGCAGGAATGCAGAGTGTTCGAAAAACAAAAATCGTGACTTGATGTTTTTTCTCTTCTATCCAGGTGGTGCGCCACCCAGACCTCCACCGTCTGTCTCTCTCCATGCTGCCAGAGATCACTGACGCCAGCTTGGCGTCAGTGGCCTGGCACTGCCGCAGCCTTATCAGCCTGGCTCTCAGCCACTGTCCTGGTATCAGCGACCGTGGGTTGGCACAGGCTGCGCCGTATCTCCACAGACTCCAGCACCTCTACCTCTCCTGTTGTAATAACATCACTGACAGGTGAGTGGCACAACACCCCATATCTAACGTATCTCTAGACACACATAAAAAAGAGATAATAATTAGATAATTCATTAATTAATTAATTACATTAATTAATTAATTCTGAGCTTTTGACCATTAAACCTCACAGATCCCTGTTTGTCCTGGTGCAGCACTGTAAGCGTCTGAGAACGCTCGACATCTCAAGGTGCAAAAACATCTCTGTAACAACAATGGACCTCCTTCAGTCACAGCTGCCCTTCTTGGAAAACGTCCACTACAAGTTCATAGGTGGGGCTGATCTTACTCTTTCACTCTGACTGAATGTCGTGCATGACTGCCGGACCAATAACAAAACCTGCTGACCAAAGCCTGCTCCATGAGTTGAGCTTTTGCACATCTCAACAATTTGCACAAGAATTGAAGGAAGTGTTGACAGTTTACAGGCTGAGCTACCGTAAAACCTGTTATCTGTAAGTCAGCCTATAAGTGATTTATTTTATTTATTTATTTTTTAAATCTCTCTCGTATAGAGCAGGTGCCACTTGCGCAAAACCAATGTGGAAGTACTTCTGCTTGTCTGGTTAAACATTTCCTAAGTATGTTCATGCTTGGATGCAAATAATCAGACCAAGTAGACAAAAATGTATCGGACTGAAAACACACCCATCCTAACCGCCACTTTCAAAGATCATTAACTGTTGAGTCCAAGCGGAAAACGTTTTGGTGTAATATTTATTTTTAGTTTATGTGGTGTATCACCGCTGAAGGCACAGATTTCATCTAGGGAAGGCGTTTCAAGGTGCCTAGTTTGTGCACAAGTACCCAATAAAATCAAATGAATTCCTCAAAACTGAAACACACAACTGCCACATTAAGAAATATTCTCACACTGTCTAATCATAATGAGAACGGGAATTGTTTTCTCGTACATGAGAGATTTTGCTTGTTATATTAATTCCCTTATAGTGACAAGGTGCTTTTATCTAAGTTAAAAGGTAAACAGTATACATCAAGAACACGAGCAGAAGCTGTCCCATAAGAAACAGTGTTATTGAGATTGAAAGTTAATTCTTAATATATATGATAATATAAACATTTTAGAATTTTGAACCATGTGACTTTAATTGACAGATCCTATATTGTTTTTACATGATGACTTTCAGGTTTTTTGCTTAACATTGAGAACATTTCTATTGTGCTTTGAGCACTAAAAGGAGGAAAGATTTAAATGCTCACACATCTGTATAGCTTTGGAAACATGCTTTTGATTTTTGTCTTGATAATTTCCTCTTTTTTTAAATCAACAAAACAGAATAATGGCTCAACCTGTAGCGTTGAACTAACTTGAATTCATCTAAGGGACCAATCTCTCCTCTTTTGGTCTTGCTCAAGCACTGTAGTCTTATTAAAGAAATAATACCCCTTTATACAGTATGTACATTATTGAAAATGTTTGTACCGTTGTAACAGGGCATGACGGACTGTCACAGAGGGAGACATATAGACTGTAAAGATGAAGAATCAAGTGTAAAAGATGTTGATTTTATAAATAAACCAAAGTTTGGCAACTGCTAGCAGAGAAACACAAGTTTTTTCTTTTTCTCAGTATAAATCAAACTTTTTATTCATGTGAAGTCACCCAAAGCGCATGACTCAGAGTGAGCATCATCGCAGAGGGTGGTGTGTCAGGAATGCACTGCAGAAGAAAGTCGTGACCGTGCTGAAATGTAATAACCCGATGCCAAAAACAGGCCGAAAACACACACACACACACACTATGATATTCTGTAGATCTGTGTCAATTCTGTGCTGCTTGCAGCCCCCACTGAATGCATGGTGAGATTGAGCGCATCACATTATAATATTTACCTTGTATAAAATGATTCCGTTAGAGTTAAATCAGGGTTCAATGCAGTTCTGTGTCGTACAGACTCACAGGGATGATTGTTGGTCGGATATTAAACTTGTCACAAGTTTTCTTTCTAATTTTCAAACTGTTGATTGTTGTAAAGGAACAAGTGGCTTTACCACTACAAGAGAAAAAAAAAAAAGTCAGCTTAGTACCTAATGCAAATCTGCACTGCTATAAAACAAGAAGGAGCATCTCTGCTCCACAGTAATCATCACTGAGCCACTGGGATCCGTACAAAGGCCAGTACCTATAGGTGTATTTAAGCAAAAGAAATCGTCCAACATTGAAAACATAATGTAGTTCTATATCACATGTTGGAAATGAATCAGACATGTACCACATCTTGAAAAAGCACTGTGTTCTAGTTAATGCCCATTAATAAAAAACAAAAACAAAAAAAAATACAAGAATTTAGGAGAAATGAGCACAACCAGATCAAAGCGTCTACAGCGCCAACCAGTAATAAGCAGCCTCGCACACAGGAATATTCCATGTATCATACATAGTTTAGATATATTTAGAAATATAAAACTGATTACACAACAAAATTAAAGTACCATTACTTGAGCAGTGGTATTTCATAACATCAAGAATCTCATTTATCCAAGTCTCTGTTTTTGGAATTTGTTGATGTTTCCAGACAGATGAGGAACAGGAATGAGGACAGCTGAACATCAACTGATTGAGAAAAGAAAGAAAACTTCTATCCCAGTTGGGGAGTGATAATCTGCAGCATTAATCCGTCTGAGAGCCATTTGGTAGCGATTCCTACCCACAACCGCTATTGTAGTTTAAGAGACTCTTTCCATGTTTTCAGTTTCACTTGGATGTAGAGAATGAGGCCACAGAAGAAAATTCTAATGTCAGGGTTATAAATCTGTGTTAATAAGTGCATGGACGCACAGATCAAATCTCACCACAAACACACAAACACACACACACATACATACAAACACATATATTTACACATTCGCACATCCTAGTTGCACTCCAGCCTGTGCACACGCTCTACTGCTCAGTCTGGCTGAAGTCGTAGCAGAAGTTGTAGTTGCTCGGAGGTTTGGGGACTACCGGCGCGCTGTCGGGGATGGGGACATTCTCGAGGTCCAGGAGGCGCAGCTTAATCTCCATAGAGAGGAGGATCTCCAGCTCGCTGCGCATGGATTCACTACTCATCTCCCGGCCCAGGAGAACGCTCAGCCCATCTGTCCATAGGCAGAACTGACAGAGGAAGAAAGACAGTAAGTACACGGTATATTCTTACTAGTAATTATAAGACAAACACAGACAAGAAGCATCTGTGATGAAGAGGAAAATGTTCCTGGTCAATATCTGGAAACGTTGCGACGTAGGTTAATTCAGGGCCAAACTCACATCAGTTCTGGAGGGTGCGATAAAGTTCAGACTGTACTCCTCGACATCATATGTGATGCTAAATGCCAGGTCCAGCACCTCCTACAGTGAGGGAGGAACACACATGCAAACACAGTGAGGCTTCTCGTTTGTTACGTATACTAACAGGATGAGAGTGTATCCATAATCTGAGAAGATAAAGAGAGCCACTGACCTTGTTCTGTTTGCCTTTGTTCTCTTTCATGTGAGGACAGTCTTTTCCTGTCAGCAGGCCTTTGATATCTGCTACTGGAACTGAGAAGGAAAGCAGAGAGTATTGAACACAGAAAATCAAGTTAACATCATTTCAATACTTTAATCAGGGCTCGTGTTTAGTAATTTAAATACAGATAAGTTGTAAATCTTCACATCTGTGCAGCCCCATCTCAGCTTCAACTCACTCTTCTCTTGCAGTGTTTCTATTGGCGGATTGTCCGTGTCTTCCTCCACATCGCCATAGTGAAGCATTTTGTGATTGGGCGACAAGCGGCAGTACCACAGTTTATCTGAGAGAAAAATGGCCAGTCACAAAGATTAGAAGAAACAGCCTACTGTCTTTCATGGGTGTGTGGCTTGTTGTGTGTGTGCCTGCTTCTCACCCTGTCTGCGCCGGCTGCTAATCTTCCTGAACATCGTTCCCTGACACAGCCTGTTGAGTCTCTGCTGGCGGATCAACTCGAGCAGCTCTGGCTTCAGGCGCTCTTTGAGCTCACTGGACAGAAAAAAAAAAACACACACACACACACACTTAACAAAATGCTTCGTCATTTTACATTAGAATCCACTGAAGAAACTCAAGTTTGCAGATCTGGTTACAAACAGCAAATAAGAAAGTCATGAAATTGTAAATAAAACATATCCCCATATCGCAGAGTTTTTTTCATCATTATTTTCAGTAGAAATCAAATGAGGATCACGGCACAGGCAGCACCTCTTCAGACCATAAACCCAACCTGCATGGATGACCCACACAGCAGCACACTGTTACACTCAGTGTTTAGTGACAAACACTTGTATAATCAACAACAGTATGGCTGCTGACCTATCAGCTGATTCTATAAGGGTGGAAACTATCTGGAGTCGTCATTAGAGCAGCTGATCAGGTTGTCTCAACCCGCTAATACCATCTATATAACAACTATCTATAAATAGGCAAAAACTGAATGCTGTGTGCATCACAAGGCCAGACTGAAGGCTGATCTTAACAAGCTTTCATCTCGCAGCCAGTCCGAACATGAATCTAAGCGTTTCCTCTGCAAAAGAATGTTATTTCTAGACTAGAGTCTCACTCTCTTCAGTGATCTGATTTCCTGTGTCAGGCTCAGAATTAACTGTAGAAAGCTAAAGCAAAGGATAAAGGATAAACAAGGCAACGAGGAGGTGCACATGTGAACTGGTTCATCCTGCAACTCACAGCACAGGCGGAGCGAGAGTCTCCTCCTGGTGCAGCCGCTCCGTCTGCCGCAGTTTGAGGATCTCGCTGTAGTTGAGAGCGTTGACTTTGTTCTTGAAGAGCTCCAGGGAGGTCGGCTTACTGGACAATGTCCTGGTGATCTGCTCCCTCACCACCTGCATCACCTGGGGACGGAGACGTCGGGACAGAGAGATGGTTACGTATCGTTGAAGGATGAGTGACAGGTGTTGGAAAAGCAATGTTCAGTTCAGTTTTGTTGACTTGTACTCATATCTTGTCCCATGCAGATCTCCCCAGTTAACACTTCCCCTTGTTTTGGAGATGTCTTTGAAGTGGCCTTCAAAAAGGAAAGCAACCGTGTTGTGGTAAGATAACCCCTCTGAGGAATGTTACACCGTTCACAACATGTACACATCATCAGAAGCCACCAACCACAGAAAAGAAACACTGTATAAATTCAAATAATGACGTATGAAGCCAGTTGTATTTTGTATTATTTACTCAAACTCAAAATTTTTGATCGTTTTTGACTGAAAGTCACAATCTTCTTTATCATTCACTGATGAACACATACTGTTCCCGTGGCCACAGGTGAACCTACATGCTCTAATTTGCAGAAGTCCAGGTGAACTTCACAGCAAGGTCAAAGTTGTGACCAAACAGGAATAATTTATGTAAAAATTACGCAAATACAGGAAACACCTGGTGCACTTCTTAGTATACGGTGCGTACCATACTATATTTGTTAAGAATGAAATGTCCCTAACCATCACCTTTGACCTTTAAAACCCACATCAACAAGTTCTTGCTGTTTACTAGGCCACAACATGGAGCATAGATTGATAGATAGAAGATAAACACAGCTTACTGGCTGTTCTGTCAGGACGAGCGCTTCACTTCCTCTCCTCCACGCTGTCGTTCATTACTCCTTCTAAGCCACACCCACTGGCTCAGATCCATTCATATGTATTTCCCGCCTATTTCTATTAGCGGATTTAAATTCAAGAGCCAAGTCTGTCCTGGTTCACACTGTCAAATCGAGTAACTCTATACCTTCACTCTTACCCCACGCACAGGGCCCAGCGCTCTTCATTAACCTAATTAACTGCAACATGTGACCAACACCAACATCATACCAACCATCCTCTGGTTCATCCTTAACTGCAGATTAAACATCTAATACACATTTAATGTAAAAACTAATCTGTAAACAAGTTCCTCCAGTAGCACTGACTCAGCGTTCACTATACCCGTGTGATTTGTGTGTGTGTGTGTGTGTGTGTGTGTGTGCGTGTGTGTTTTCTGCATGACTTATTAAACTGATGCTCACACAGAGAGACAGGGGGTGACCCTGGTTACCCTGAAACGAGAGCTCAGGGCAGTTGGTCAAACTGTGCGCTTGCCTGTGAGTAAAATCTATAGCTCTCTTCAGTATTCGCGCCTCGGCTGGAAAAAGTGGAAAATCTATGTAAAAAATCTATAGTGCTACAGGGCCAAGCAAACTCCAGCACTATTTGTCCACACACAAGCGGCTCTGCTGACCCACATCATTCCTGTTCACACCCATTTTAACTGTGAGCAATCACTGACTAAAGTGTAATTTGACCCATTCAAGTTCTGTCCAGATTTCTCTTTTGTGCTGTTATACAAATAATCATTTGCTTACAGAGGACCTGCTTCTCAGTTATTTACATACATTACAAAACCAAAAGTGGATATCTCAGCGCTGTGGCAATCTCATGATGCAAATTCAGAAACATACTTCTTCCTTGAGGGCTGAAGACAAAAGGCTTGTTACTGAGGGTTTTTTTATTTTTTTTTTTTTTAAATGTGACCAAACTGTTTACGACCACAGAGAATGAGAGTCCACCCATCTGGCAGCGCACAGACAGTGAAATCCAGACTGTCATTCTATATTGTGTGAACAAGCAGGGACACAAAACAAGCGACTACAGTTTCACTCTGTCACTGACTGCTCAAGTCCCATGAGCCAAAATAACCTCAGTGTCCGGCAATTTTCACATGACACGAGTTTCAGACCGCCACTTCACACTGTTGTCATCTCAGCTCGGATTCTATAAATCCTCTCTGGTGTGAAGTGTCACCTTTTTAACAACTTGTAGTATGTGCTACTTTTTGTACTACACCTGGAACTACACACAGTTAACTACAGAACAACAAACTCCTCACAGCCAAGAATAAACACAAGAAAAACCTGAATCTTACCTCCATCTTTTATCCTTCAGAGTCGACTAATTTGCCAAATATTTCAATCCCAACCTCGAATATCTGTTGAATATCTTCAACAATCAGAGGAATGTGATGGGGGTGACAAGTGGTGAAAGTGAGGAAGAGAGAGACAGAGATCACCTACATGACAGGAGAGGTGCAGGCCTCTGGGTGTTTTGTAAACAGACACCCTGATATTCCCACACACACACGCACACACACACACACACACACACACACACACACACCCCCTGTCCAGCCCCTCTGTCATTTAGCTCAACTGGCCAATAGGAGCAATGACTGGCAGCTGTCTCTGTTCCCTAAAACCCTGCAGCACGTGCATGTATGCTAAATACGTATATCTGTGTGTGTGTGTGTGTGTGTGTGTGTGTGTGTGCGCGCTCGCTTGCTTGCGGAGGATGACCGTTATCACAGGGGGTGTACAGAGCTAACCAAATACATTCACGTGACTGGATGGAGGGAGGATGTGTTGTTGTGGAGCAGTCTCACACACGCACCAACACAAATACATCCGATTCATTCTCTAAGTAACGAAACCTAAATTTGCGATATCACATTTGCCACCACCTCCTCTCTTTTTCTTTTTTCTTTGGTTTCTCTCCCAATCTGCTCGCTGCAGTCCAACCCTCTCATTCTCTCCCTTTCATATTGTTTCCAGAGGTTTTACGTTCCCTCTGTTGTTGTGTAATTACTGCTGATGCCCTGGGCGCTTTGTTTTCCCCATTTCCTTCTCCCTCTGTTTCTGCCGCCCACCACGCTTCTCTTTGTCCACCTAATGCCCCTTTGTCCTTGCCCCAAAGCACCCTGGGTAGGGGGCCGTGGGCAAAAACAAAAGGCCGGTCTGCTGTCCTGGCGCTCAGGACACTGGGCTGCTCCTGACAGGTCAAAAGGTCACTGAGTTTTATGACTGTCAGGAGAGTACTCTGATGACGGACGGCTGTGTGTGATGTTGAAATGCGACTCGGGACAAAAGCTCAACCACTCTTTCTTTCAGGGCTGCTGGATTCTCAATATTTCTCTCAGACAAGACCCCGCTGCTCAAGGCTTGGCTCAACCTATTACCATAGGACTAGTACTTCATTGTGGTGTTAAAGTCACTGTGTATTTCTAAATGCTGTCTGTGGGGGCAGTTTGGGGAAAGTTAGCATAAGAATCAACCTGTACAAAGTCACAGAAGCACAAAGTTCCACAAATCCACCATAAAACAGGCTGAATTTCTACTGTTTGCTTGCTCTTTTGTTAAATTTAAATTGATTTGCTTAAATAAGATTTTCTCAGTTCATTAATACAACTCAAGATGGGCTTGATTTATCTTGTTAACTGTTGTCACACCTGCAAAGATGCATTTAAAATGAGATACATTTCACTCTGAACTGTTTAGGCTGTTACACATGATTCATGATGCTTCTGTTCAAGAGAAGAAACAACTTGAGGACTGTATCACAGAATGAGGTAATCACTGCTTTGTTGCTGAGTCCCAAACCAACAAACATCACGGATTAGAACAATGAGACCGTGATTAGATACAAGGCGACGGTGCTTTCAACATTATTCTGACCATGTATGGAAGTGTATTTGTGGCCTGTCTGGCCGTGTGGATGCGAAGCACGGTGTTGCTATGTCACAGGATTTGTTTGTTTGCAGGATTTGCATGAGGCAGACCAGTTCTGGCCATGTAGGCTTGGGTCTGAAAAACCCCATGTTACTTTTTTAGACACACACAGTGACGGTCGTCTAACCGTCGAGCCACGCCGGACCAGCGATTCAACAGCCGTTTGTCGGTGTAGCAGAGACTGTAGAGCATAAAAACCTCTCTCAGCAAAGCCATAATCTTTCCCATCTGTGTGGGAAAACTCTCACCCTCACACACGTTCATCAGAACGATCAAATGGCTCGTTGACTATGAAAAACTTGTGCATTCATGGAATTCAGCTTGGTCCTTCAACCTGTTTCCTCACAAGATCACTTTGCAATGACAGTTTTGATTTAATTGTATGGCTACAGTGGACAACGTGACCGACTGTAACTTAAGGAAGCAGCTTGTGTTGTGGACTGATTATTCAGTAATCTGCCCTTACACACAGTATTCTTCCAGCTGGGTCCTTTGAGAAGAAAAGAGATTTTCCTGAGTGGATATTGAGATGGACACTGGGACGCTGGAAATATTGTTATAACCATAAAGGAAATGGGAGCTGAATTGGTGTTTGGGCTCTGGGTATTTTAATCTATGGTCATTATACTTCATAATTCAATGGGATCCTAAAGAAAGATGGATTCATTTGATGTTATCGTTCCTGCATGCAGTCCTCCAGCTCTTTCTCTGCTGCCCTGGACTGAACATGAAGCAAACCATGCTATGCTATGCTATGCTATGTTTGACTATTGTACCTTGTCAAAGTCCTCCTGTGTGGCTCTCATCTCCTTCCAGGTCTTGTTGAGCAGCTGAATGCAGACACAGAAAAGCTCCTCCATGAGCCGATCCTGACTGAAGAAGATGGGGTGGTAGTCAGATCCCGTCTCTGAGGCTGCGAGAAGAGATGGAGAGGACGGAGGTCAAACGCAAAAACAAAGGAAAGACGCTCAGTCTTAGAGATGGTCTGACTGGAGGTTAAAGGAAATGTTATGGCAGGAGCAGGAGGTCAACTTACGTGGCTCTCCGATGCGAAGAATTTCACACAGGATGAGTGTGAGCTGTATGCTGCTCCTGGCAAACGGACACTCATGTTTGTCCTCCCTACTGCTGTTCTCCAGAACAAACTGGGAGTTGGAAACAATTAGATACTTAGCTAATCACAAAAGGAGACAAAGACAAAAAACACTGAACTCTTTAAACAGAGGTAAATCATACTCACCCTGCTGTAGGCATCAGGATAGCGTGAGGCAAAATAAAACATGGTGTCCAAAGCTAAAAGACCAGGAGGTGTCCGTACCAAGTCCTGACCAGGATTACTATTGTTCTGAAAGGAAAGGATCAAAGACGATACTAATGCAAATATGAATAATGTCACTGAGAGAAATATGACAGAAGTTGATGGACAAACTTCACAGAATAAGCTGTGACAGCAGACACTCACAGAGAAGCCCAGTTTCTTGAACTCTTTAGCGCAGAGCGAGCGTCGCCTCTCGTGGCTCAGGCTGTTCTCGCTTTCTGTCTCGAACGCCGCCTGCCGCAAACTGTGAAGGATGTCTCTTTGCTCCTGGTGTCGGGGGGAAGACGCGGGTAAGAGATGGATGCTAACTTCTTAGAGTGTTTAAATGTTTCAAGCTGTTGTGTTGTTGGTCACGTAACAGACCATCAGTAATGATATTTCCATACTTCAATCACTCCCATTCACATAGTCTTCATATGGTATATCTGATCATTTCCACTAAGAATGTAAATTAGTCTATAACTTAGTAAGATGAAAGATTAATAGATTTACCCATAAAGATAAACACGCTGGCTTTGGGCCAAGGAACAGCTGATTCAATTCAGGTGCAGATCAGGATCTTCAATCATCAGGGAGTTAATGCTTTTTATCCATGAACAGTTTAAGGTTCAGAGAAGGATCTAGAAATCAAATGATCTAATACCTAAACTGTTAATAATGATGTTTGTGTGTGTGTGTCTAACAGGAAGTGAGAGAAAGTGTTTGGACACTTGATGTTATAGCTCACCTGGCTGTAACAGTCCAGAGGCGTCCTCATGCGAGGCTCCAGGTGATTCAGAGTAACTGACTGTAGGACATAGAGGTAGTGGGCCATCTCGTCCTGGACTGAACCAGAACTATGGATGATGTTCTGCAGCAAACACACAATTTCCCTCAATAGGTGAAAGTGTCGGTTTATTCACATTCACAGCTGCACATCAAAGAGGTTTTCTTTTGTTGTATTGTCAATGAGATACAGAAAACTATATGAAATGACAATGTAATTAAGAAGATAATTTACCTTATAAATGTACTGACGGAGATTCTTCTTATTTAGGAATGCAAACATCTCCTGGAAAAGAGAGAACGAGGAACAAGGTGAGCACAAAAAAAAAGTAAAATGTGTCGCTGAGGTGCAATGACATGTTTCTATCATGGGGTGGCAATATAGTGTCGGTAACGGACCAGTGGGCCTGACCAGGGTTCGTCTGTGTGGGACTTTGACCCTTGTGACGAAACGATCACTTGCTGGTACATGCTTCTCTGACTCAACCTCATTTTGTTCAGGGCAAATTTTCTCTTGGGTTGGTCACACTGATAAGAGGGGTGGATTTGTTGATTTACTGTAAAAAAGGAAGTGTGTATGTGTGTGTGTGTGTGTGTGTGTGTGTGTGTGTGTGTGTGTGTGTGTGTGTGTGTGTGTGTGTGTGTGTGTGTGTGTGTGTGTGTGTGTGAGTGAGAGAGAGAGTAACAATGAGAGCCTGAGAGAAAAGAGACGACGGGCTGAATAAAGCAACTGTTTCCGTACAATAAGAGAGGAGCAGGAACCGAACACAGGGAGAGAAAGCCTCGACTGTCTGCAGAGAAGCTGATATGACCACAGAGAATGAGATAGATGGATCATTTCCAGCTGTCTGGCAGAAGTGATGCTCGCAGGACTCTGACTCTTATGTACAATAATGGTCCGGCTGGTGCAAATAAACACCCTTTACCCTAAGTCACATGCATGCCATTCACAGCTTGGGGTGTCACAGCTTCCCATGAGTACCCAAATGTCTCATAGTAAAGGGTTAAGACAAATGAAACTGAAAAATGCGCAGTGCGTACTGTTTTACAGCCGCAGGCACCACCGTCTGGGAGAAGTAAACATTCAGGAAACAACCTAAACACCTATTCAACTGCATGCGTGTGAGTTTGAACAGCTATAAGGAGAAGAGGAACAATGTCAGAAAGCAAGCATCAGCCTGCAGCAGCACCTGTCTGTCGGAGTCGCCTGCTGTCTGTAGTAGGGCCATAAGTAGGGCCATGGCTTTAGTCTGTATCTGCTGATTTGTCCTGAAAGAAGTCAGAGAGGAGGGTGTGAGACAAACTCCCATTTCAACATTTTACAGCTGTATGAAAAGGTGTGTTTGGGGAGAAAAGAGACACAATGAGATTAAAAAATGTTCTTGTTTTCGAGGTTTCAATCCTCACAGCTGTTTTATCAGCAGTATTTTACATATTTGAAAACTTCCTCTTACAGAGACTATACTGATACTGACTCATCAGCCTGCCACCTCATCGCCACACGGAGGTGTGAACGGTAGTTTTAAGTACGAGTGAGTCCAAATCTATCTGTTACTTACACCTGGAGGTGAGCGATAAGCCTCTCCATGGTGACTTCCTGTTTGACCTGCAGGAAGAGGCTGTGACTGCTCAGCACCATGCTCTCCAGGATGTCCAACGACACCTGCTGTATTGATGCATCGGTCGGCTTGGCGTTGACAAAGCTGGCAATCTGAAAGGAGGGAAGGTGGGAATCTTAAGACAGAATGCAGCTACGGTCACATAAACACCAAATCTGTGACAAAACAAAAGACAGGGAGCGACAGATACGGCACCTTCTTGATGAAGACAGACGATAGGTTCTCCCAAGAAACTATCCCATGATCCATCAGTTCCATGAAGCCTGTCAGTGTGTGGGTCATGATCACATTACTCCTGGATGAAGCAGACACATAGAAATAAATATAATGTAAATTTACACACAGACACACACACACACACACTGAATCTGAACAGCCATTGGAGTGTTTTTAATAATTCAATTACTGTGTAAAGTGTAAATATGTATGCTAATGTGCTCTAAAACATTTCCAATGTGTCACAGAGAACTAAGGATTCAGCTTATTGTGCTACTGTAAAGCTTGTTAGTGCGATCTATGATCATAGGAATGGTTCAAATTTAAAATCAACAAATCAACAAAGGCTTTAACTGAAGAAGAGTGAGGAACAAATGGGAGGAACCATTTCTTTCCCTAGAGTATAGTCTCATATTTGTGGCCTTATATAATATATTCAGCAGGACCACTCCTTGTGTTTTTTCCTATACATGTTTAACTCAGCAGGGATATGCTGCTACATGTGCAGAAACCACTTAACCCTTCAGCACCAGTGACATCTATCATGTGAACAGCATTCCACCCCATCCAAGGAAGGTATGCAAGCACAGACACCCACCCACACACACACCCATTCTCTCACACAGACACACACACACACACACACACACACAGAGACACACAGAGTACTAACTCATTAGAATCCTCTACTATCTTGACCAATAAGAGGTGTCCGTCACGGCTGATGAACTCCTGAGCAAAGGTCACGTCTGTGGAAACACTCGCCAGTTCCTTCAGCGAATCACAGCGCACGCCTGAGTCTGAGCTCTGGATGCCCTTGAACAAGTCCTCTGCGCAGCGACCCTGCGTTCATGCAAAAAGAAACACCTATGCTTAAACACACCATACTGAACAATTTCCTCCATTCCTAGTTATTCATGGTGTTGTTGTTCTTTAAAACCTGGCTACTTGCAGCGGCAGAGACGGATCAATGCTGATTCGTTCTATTGCCAGGAAACTAATTCTGTAAATTTGCTGCAATGCAGATTGTAAATAAAAGAGTGATATAGAGAGTGAGGGACAGAGTGCTGGAAGAATGTGAGAGGAGGGAGATGAAAGAGGAAAGTGGCTGAGAGCCTGATGTCTGCAGACTCACCGGTGCCTTGGTCAGTCGCAGAATGCAGCCGTTCTTAATGTCCAGACGATTCTGCACCACACAAACAAACAAACATTCTTATTTTGGTCATGATTTAACTAAGATTTTCACATAGCTATCTTTGTGGAAACAGGACAGAAGAGCTGTTTTATCTGGCTTGTTAACCGGTTTTATTCTTGGGAGTTCTTATCTACACATCCTTCTTTCATGAAGTCATCATGAAAGAGAAATATACTTATAACACGCTCTATAATGACTCTATCTCTGTCTTTTATTATCAACAGCCAGAGAGTGGGGGAGTCGAGAGGTGCCAAAATGCCACAGCAGAAGGACATAGTGAAGATAGCCATCCAGATGCCTGGGGCCTACCCCCAGCTCATACAACTGGACCAGGTAACACAGTCAAAGAAAAGTTTAAAACTGTGAAGAAGTTTAAAGTTTAAAATTGTGAAGATGTGTCAGGCTGTTGCAGATTCACATGATCAGCAATGTATCTTTGTTTTTTGCCTTGATGGGAAAGCCAGGTGTCAAGACTGACTGTAAAGAGACATCCTCAAGACGGCTGCCAGGGTTTCTACAGGGATCCATTTCACATGGATATTTCTGAATCAAACTGCTGCTGAAAGAGGGAAATGATCTCATTCTTACATCGCGTGCAATCAAGGTAAGCGCTCCACACAACCATCAAAAAGCGGAAACATCTGCGTTTTACTACAAACTCACCGACTTCAAAGTGAACATCCTTGTAGCAACTCCAGCAGAGCTAAAAGTACAACCCTGCTGTGTGTTTCACACTCTTAACAGCAACACTATATTGACCGTCTCGCTAAAATGTTCTACAATAAATAAAGCATCTTTCTCCACATTTCTCTGGTGGCACTGTAATGACTTCTACAGTCAAAAGAGGGGGAGGGCAGAGAGTGTAGCTCTGTGTGCTTTTCTCTTTCTCTCCCTCTGTCTGTTGATTTTTCAGTCGGTCTCACAATTTATTGATATTGTGAGAGCTGGGCCCTGTCTTGAGTAACTTTACGTACTTTCAGATGCAAAGGAAATACAAACAAAAGCAGACAGAGGTCACCATGTGCTGATAGAGTAGCGTGTCTGATTCATTGCTGTGATTTGATATCTCACAGAGATTTACACTCTCCTCATCTTAAACATAGAAACATCTGCAGGTCTGACTCAGGTCTGTTGCTCAGTGTCTTCAAGCTGTGCTCAGACATTCACCAGACTGATTCCCCGGTGTGGACAAATATTTGTATTGATGTGTAAGTAGATGTGACTCACTGATTCAGTGATGTACGTCTGCACTCCATCAGCGTACTGCAGAGCGTAGTTCTCAGGACCTTCGAGATTCCAGCTACACACACACACACACACACACAAACACACACATACATACGGATATTAACTATCAAAATACCACAAAAAGTTTAATGATGTCAAATGCAACCAGAGAGACATCAGAGCCATCATCAACTTACCCATCACACACCTCCTTTATGACAGCAGACAGAGGCTTTTTCTGCACAGAGACACAACAAACTGTATGTAATCACAAACACATAAAAGGCAAATGCATTTACATATCACAAAAACACACACCTGCTGCATACATGTGGGTCATAACAACAGGACTTAGCAGACTCTACAATCAAAGTATTTCCTCCATCAGGGAGCTGAACACATGCTTCAGTAATAACACGCTGTTATGGGATCATGGTACCACAGCTATTCTCGCTGGCTGCAAACCCTGTTTGCTGAGAAGAGGAAATCCAAGAGCTCCCCAACGCTTTTTAAACAATGTTCCTCTCAGTGCCCAGATCCCTCTTTGTACGTAAATAAAAGCCAGACTACTTCCATGTCTGACTCTTAGCTATCCTGCCATTAGTGGTCAGCCCCGCGGTCAACCAATCAAAATGTCTTCGGGTTCTGTGGTAGACCCAGTAAACGGTCTGTTATTAGTGGCAGCCAAGAAGGTCGACTGATCAGATGTGTTTAATGAAGACGGCAGGGCCAATAAGACGTTTTTGAGGGATTCTTTCCTGGGCAGGATTAGTTGTGATCTACAATAAAAATATTTTGGGTAGAGAATGGGCATTTATTCACATCCAAATCAGTACTCCTGAATGTTCAGTTGGTGTGCTCTTTACACAACACAAAGTCATGAAATGTTGTTTGAGGTAGTAGGGCTTAAAACTAGGATCTGCGCCCATTGAATTTTCAATTGTGCTGCATTTTCCAACTGTTGAAATTAGCTGTCAGTAAGTACCTGTTAAATCCATTCTCTCTCCGTTCAAACTTTCTCATTTGCTGTACAGTATATGACTGTGAACACAGACCCCTGCTGTCTGGTGTACAGTTTAAACTACATCTCATGCATAGTGTCTTGCGCAAAGATGTACAACTTCCCCAAAATTTCTGGGAAACACAAGGAAAACTTCCCCACCATCACATTTGGTTAAAGCTGACAAAACAAAACCAACAGTTGGGTGTGGCAAACTCAAAAGTGTTCAATATGGAATTAATAAAAAAAGATATTATAAGATAAAATATATATATATACATTTATTGTATAAAATATATATAACTAAATCAACAATTTGCAAAATAACTGAAAAAAATTTAAAATCTTTTATTTTATTTTCATTGTTTTATTAGATATCATATCAGACATTTGGGGCTCCTCTGGCGGCTAAGCAAAACATTTCAATGAATGAATGAATTTAAAAAGTGGAGTGCAGCAGGGTGATCGCAAAAGAAAATGTAAAAAGCCGACCCATCAGCCTAACTATCATACACACCAGACTTGGCATTATTCAGCTATTGTAAATATCTTGTGCTGCAGCAGCTGTATCAAACAATACCAGAAAGGAAGTGGGAATAGTGACACATACCACAGTCACACAAATGCTTTTTTTTTTGGCATAAATATTATGTCCTTGTTGTTAAGGTTTTTAGGCTGCTTCACTAAATATAATCTGACTGTGAATCACCACTTTAAACAGTCAATTCACCTGTGTATAGTATTTCTCATTTACATATACCGCGTGAAAAAACTAAGGGAAGAGACATCTTTACAATTTGCCTGGATGTCTTCTTGCCATGAATTTAGCCTCTCAGGTAGCAGTGATCCCAGATTGAGAACCCCCCCTCTATCAAGCTCAACAATATAATTATAATTGACGAGTTTGAGTTGTATGAAGGCATGGATATCAAGTCAAGCAGCCAGGCCTTTTGGTCAGGCATCACCAGGTGATGTGGCAGCTTGAGCAGCAGCACATCTGATCACCAAAGATAATTTAAGACACAGAACAACACAGAAAAAATAAATCCAAGAGATATAACAACATTCTCTGATTCAGTTGTATTCTCAGATCTATTTATACCTACATCACGCTGCATTAACTTCAAGAGCAACATGACAGTAACTAGGGATGTGGTATGTGTATAAAACGCATTGCTGGCCCATAGTGCTGCTGCAGATTTCTGTCTCAAACCACAGAACGCCTGAGCTAACATTACCAGTCAAACTCATGACAACCAAAGTACAAATATCTGACCTATCCCTTTTAGTGTGGAGATCATCCCTGCGGTCTTTGGGTCTAAAGCAAATGAAGCACACTAAGAGGAAGTGCTGCCTGAAAAAGGCTCAGCAGAGGGCAAGACATTCCCATGGTAGTTCACTGTCAAAGCGTTCAGCAGCCAACTGAAGCAACGTCTGAGAACAGACAGAGAGTCTCTCTTTATATGACGAAGTTATTGTTACATTATTTCTAATTATTACCAACCAGAGTGACAAACCTCATTCATCCATTTTTTTTACTGGTTTTTGGATTTGTGTGTGTGTGTGTGTGTGTTACCTGGTCCAGTTGTATGAGCTGGGGGTAGGCCCCAGGCATCTGGATGGCTATCTTCACTATGTCCTTCTGCTGTGGCATTTTGGCACCTCTCGACTCCCCCACTCTCTGGCTGTTGATAATAAAAGACAGAAAAGTCATTATAGAGTGTGTTATAAGTATATTTCTCTTTCATGATGACTTCATGAAAGAAGGATGTGTAGATAAGAACTCCCAAGAATAAAACTGGTTAACAAGCCAGATAAAACAGCTCTTCTGTCCTGTTTACACAATGATAGCTATGTGAAAATCTTAGTTAAATTATGACCAAAATAAGAATGAGCTTGTATTCGATGGGTCTAAAAAAAAAAAAAAGCAGAAGACTTATTTCACAGGCTGAGCTATAAACATGAGCTCTAAGTGTGATATATAGAGATAAATTGGACACTGATCATTACATAAATCAACAAAAATGTAGGCCTATGTGGAGCAGTCAAACTGTTCAGTTGGATTTTTAACAACAGAAACTTGAGCTGTGCTGCTGTGCAAAACGGAATAATAATTCGGCGATTTCAAAACGTGATACAGCAAAAACAACCCAACCCGAGAGCAGGTTCCTTTTTAGGAGAGCTGATGATTCTGTTCACCTCATGAATGACTCATGGCTGTCAGAGCAACTATCGTTTTCAATATGAAGTTGTAGAACACTGTGTTCCTCTTTCACTGTGTATTTATGGTGTACTGAGTAAAGCTGAGAGGGCTGTCTACACACGCACTGTGGATTGTTCACACTCCCCCTTCCAACTCACAGACAAACTTCTTCCGCAGCCTTCAGACGGCATTCCCAGAGGATACAGAAGAAGCTGTTGTTGTGCTTCCAACCCTTCCCCCTTCCTCGTCCTTCTCCGTCTCTCCCTCGCTCTCAGCACATGGAAACAATACAGTTGGATCTAAATTCTTTTGTACACTCACGAGCTCGCGATGAAAGAAAAACGGTTGAGCTTGTGCCCGCTTGTGTTCGTTGTGATTAATAACCCCCATCCTCTGTATGATCTGTTGGATAGCTCGCATAGTTTCACTCCACTCTCAAAGAGAAAGACCTCACAGTTTATGGCAGGTTTCAAAGCAATACTCCTGTCAAAACAACCACACGCCTTTACGGTCTTCTCACCTCACTTGGCCTGAGGCAGCGACTTTCCTGATGTAGAAGGCTTTCAAAGCAGGAATGAAAATGGGGGCAGAGCAGGAAAGAAGATTTTGATCAACAAAAAGATGCAAATACAACAAACAACACATTCCCACGTTTGTTTTTGGATAAATTACATGGACCAGAGGATGAAGACAACCCTGAGGTCCTGAAAACATTCTGGTAAATTGGTGCTGGTGCCAAAGGTCAACTTCCCTCCAACAAATAACAACAGCGGTTTGCAGCCTTATTAATCTTAAAGAGATTTGGGGGAATGAAGGTTTGTTTGCAGCTTATGAGTCAGCAAATTCAGGGACAAAATCTGACTGCCTGTGGGTTTTAAGCTGAGTGTCTGTCTGAGCTGTATAATGATAAAATGAAACTGAAAATATCAGCTGAACATCAAATTATTGGTTTGGTTGCACTACAAAGAGTGAAAGGAGGGGTGGCTTTGTCAAAACAATTCTTCATAGGTTGAGGATTAATGGGGAAATACACACTGTAAAAATTGTGGCTTCTTAGTCAGCTGTGTGTTTGGACGCTGCATTTCGTTTCCCCTTCTGAATGAATATTTGGCTGATCTGTATGAGAAGCTAAACTGTATGAATATGACCTGTACAATTTATAAAAAAAAAAAAAAAAAGAGTTCTCCAAAAGGCTGGCAATTTGGAAAATGAAACTAATTCTATATCTGGCTGACAAAAATCAAACATCACAAACATTTTAAAGGCCCTAAAAAGCTCTAAATCAGCCACTTACACTCTGGCTGTGAAAATTTCAAGACATCTGAAGACGTCACAGTGGGCTTTGGGAATTTGTAATGTGCATTTTCACCCTTTTCTGTTGTTTTATAGACAAATAACTAACCAATTAACCAAGAAAATAATGTACAGATTAATAGATAATGAAAATAATTAGTTGCATTAGTTAAAAGCAAATACCTGGAAAACCAACGATGCTCCCATCAGCCCCAGCTATGCTTTGTGTTTACAGCCAATAAGCAAACGTTAGTATGCTGATGGCTAAAGTAAGACGGTGAACATGGTAAAAATATCTGTTAAACATCATGTTCATCGTCAGCATCATCAAACATCATCAGCATGCTGATGATAGCATTTAGCTCAAGGTACCACTCACAGAGCTGCTAGCGTGGCTATAGATTAAAGATGTGAAATGAAGGTGGTTTTACAATCACTTTTTTTCCTTGACTATGCTATCTAATGATGTTTACACACACGAAGATTTTGAGAAACTATCATCTGTGCAACCAAGCAGGTAGAGGCTTTCATTTTTTTCAACTTCTTTTAATATTAGAAAATTGTCTTGAAGAATAGGAGGCCAAAACTATCATGCTGTTACCATGACAAAAATAGATAATTTGTTGCCTAATATCATAATACGAAGATTATACTGATTTTCTGTTGTTGCAATTACCAAAGTCAGATTACCCAATCCAGAGAGTTAAAACATTCAAGTTACATTTTCCCACCGTCCAGCATTCTTGGTTTACCCATGACGACAACAAAGCACCATTAGCCCACAGTCATCACGACCTGTCTGTACATGCTCCAGACCTCATGGAAGACTGGATAAAGCTCACCCTTCACTGACATTCTCCCATCATTACAACTAGTCTAACAATAAACTTTAGCTCGTGCTTTGAGCCTCGGCTCGTTTCCAAAACAAAACCAGTTTAGTAATGTTGTAATCTGTCTATTGACTCATTTCATCAAATGAATTTCATACTATTTTACATTTAATCACGTTAAATGGCTGGTAATACAACCTGATGAAGAATGTACTAGTAAAAATACAAAAAGGATGTTAAAATGTTCAAAAACTCTGAGACTATTTCACTTTTCTTCAGGAAGATTTTTTGCAGTTTAAATACTGTCAAATTGGCCCTGTGTATGTCGTACACCTCAGCTCATGAGAAAAGCTGCTGATTAGTAAAAATGTGAAAGTACGTCAATGTTTCCTTTTTTTTAACTCAGCAGAATAGAGAGGGGAGGTTTCCATCTCAGTCTCCACAGAGGTTAACCACTGAAGAGAGTGTGTCAGACAGTGTCTGTACCTGTCTGTGGAAGCTGAAACAACAGTCTGTATGTGCCTGTCTGCATTAAAACAGAAGTTATGGTGTTGGTAAACTACTTTTAATACAGTGATTCAGTATGATAAAACCTCATTGCATTTATTAACACAGGTTAATAAAAGGTTATCTAGAGTTCTAGAGCCAAAACAAGTAGTAAAATAATGGATTAGGTGATTGACAGAAAATTAGTTGGCAACAATTTTGATAATCAATTAATTTTGTCCAAACTCAGTTTACTCAGTTGATAAATTGTTTCTGTATTACTAAGTTATTAAGATACGGGAATTTATGACAGTTACAATGCAGAAAAATTTAATTTAAGAATGAATAAATATCTATGTATGTACTATAAATAGATAGACTGTTCCCCGCAATAAAAAATAAACCTTGTCTCACAGACCCACGCTCTTAAAGATAAGGGAGGAGGTGGGGTGGGGGTGGGGGGGCACGTAAAATGAAATGTCCACCATATTCAGTGCCTGTGCTCTTCTCTGAGCAGTTTGCTTCATTAAGCTTAAAACCACAGGCACGGCCAGACCTTTTGTTTGCCTGCAGACCCAATGTGTGTCTCAGACCCCCTGGACTGACACGCTCCCCTCCCCTCTGTGGAAGTGTGTGTGAGAGTGTGTGTGTGTGTGTGTGTGTGTGTGTGTGTGTGTGTTGCGTGTGTGTGTGTGTGTGTGTGAGAAAGGGGGAGCTCTCAGCTGCCTGAAATTCCTAACCTGACAGGGACCCCCTCCCGCCCCCAAAACCCCCCCCCCCCTTTTTTTTTTGTACTGTAATTTAGTAGAATCAGACTTTCATACTTTCGGATAGACTGCATACAGTAATCCGTTTATGACAATATCTCAATTCTGTTTTACACAAATAAATGTAAGTGCATCTGAACGCTAGTTGAGTAAAGGCATGTGGTGCTGCAAATGTTCACCACCAAACAATGTTCAAGCTGATTTAGTTAGAAGTAAAAGTAAACACGTACGTGCAAATAAGTATCAAAACAGCACCTGAACTGTTAGTACTTTCAATTTAAAACTGATATGGCTGCTGCCAAAGCTTTGTGAAAGGAATCGCGACAGGTTTGTGAAAAGAAATGTGAGAATCAGCTGCAGAGCTTTTTTTCCTCTGACTGCGTCCTACCTGGTTTGAAAAGACAAGTCGAGGGCTACTGTCCTGCAGGAACCGCCGCAGTCGGAGCGAGAAACATTTGCAGCTGTCTTTTTTTTTTCCTTCAGAGGGAACAACGCTCAGTGTCCAGAAGTTACTTTTTTCTTAAAGAAACATCTGAACAAAAAAAAAAAAGCAGGAGGAAACTCCTCGAAACAAGTTTTCAGGAATGATTAGTTGATTTAAAAGTTCCGGGTTGGTTGGAGTCGTTTGGTCGCGGGTCGGGGCAAGTTAGCGATGTTAAGACAAATGTCTTCCGGTTATTACTTTCAAAATAAAACCTTTAGTGCATATGGTGTTTTAATATAAGCATCGGCGTGGAAATTATGTTTTGAGAAAATTTCGTATGAAAAAAAAAACATCACGCTTTTATTTGTTTCATGGCATTTAGTTCCATCTATATACCTCCATGACAGATTGTCTATTCAACCCTTTCAGTTCATTACTTTTAAGACCGCCAATAAATCTTTTTACTCCTCGGGAGATATAGCGCTTTTACTTTGAAAGAAAAATAATACAAGCTCTGGAAATGCTTTTGCTCCTCGTACTGAACCACACAAGCTTTTCTTCCAATTTTCCAAGAAGTTGGAGATGAATTAATTCAAAGTTCCGGGTCGGATATAGTTGGTTACAGCTGCCCCCTGCTGTCCCCCCTTTCTCCCAGAGTTGTTTTACACTGTATACACGCATTTTCACTACTTCGATACTTCTGAGAATTATATTAACAAGCCTATTGTAACCAAAGGGGGCAGGGAGCCTGTATATCACATTACTGCACTGATAAGCCTACCAAGCTACTGCTGCATTTCATGTCTGTCTCCTGTACAGACATATGATTTCTTACTTAAGTGGCTCTTTTGGTTATTTTAATGCATTTATTATAGAAAGTTGACAGGAAAAGAGGGGAGGACAAGATAGGGAATGAGTTTAAGGGATAATACACCAATAATCTTTTACGGTTCTTTTACATTTGTGGACCTTATCAGATCTCCACAAAGATAGCTAAATAGGTTTGTCTGATAATTGCAAAACAGACCTATGCCCAGTAGAAAAGAGGCTGTGACATCAGCTGCAAACTCATTGTACATAATCTAACAAAAAAAATCAAGTTCTGCCTGTTCAATTAAATAACTGTCAATGTTATATTGAATGAACAAGGTTACAGTAGCCCAAGGCACTGTCCACAGGGGCAAATCAAAGGATATTTATTGACATTTGCACCTTGTCTTTTTGTAACATATTTTCTTTAAACTGCATGTAAACATCTCATGACTTTGATCAATTACAGTTAATTAAAAACAAAAACAAAACACAATGAATGGCCCTAGCTCATATAAACAACATACGTGAAAGTTTTTTCTGCATATATTATGACAGGAAATCCTTGAATTAAATAGGAAACCAAGGGAACCAGACAATAGACAAAGAATACCAAAGTGTTTATTTTTGTATCATTTGATGCAACTACAGCCTAACAATAGTGAGCCTTGTTAAAAGCAGTCTGAAGGATTGAGTCTCACACACCAGCAGACAAGACATGATCCATTCAACCCAGGACTCTTGAACTCCCTGGCTGCTCACAAACACTGTCCAAACACAACGACTGGCTACTGATCAAGACATGAATGAGTAGCAACTAATTTGTCCACAGTGATGTAAAGTGCAATGATGAGACAGGATACTTTTATAAAGCAGAAGGTTTTGTGGATAAATCCCTTAAAGTTTAAGTGTAGCCCAAAATTAGTAGCAACGGTCATGTAATAATATATCTAGCAGGTATAAAAAATAAATGCTATTCTATACAAGCGGTAGAGAAGGATATACACAGTACATACTTTACATACATACATGTCATCCTGGGCAAACCAGGATATTATTACACAAAAAGTGATTTTACAGAAGAAAGCACCGTAGAAAGATGAATATCGGTATTGTACAGACGAGTAACAACTCATCCCGAATTGCTACTCATCTGTCCCCTGCACAGAGAGAATAATTAGAGTTGAAAAATCAAATTTAGAGTGATGAGCATGAACAGAAAGTAAAATGCAAAAAAGTAAAAACTATTGAATAGGGATCTGTGCCAAATATACAAAAAAAAATAGCCAAAACAGGATCACACTTCATGACATGGTGACTATATTCACTGCATCAGTAAAAATACATCAGAAATACATACATGTCCTTTTACATACAAATGAACTGAGTACAATGGTATTCATATACATACATTATAATTGAAAGACATTCGCCACAAAACTCATTTTGGAAAGGGGGGAAAAAGGCTACTCCTCTGACATACACCAGTTAAATTACATATAAATCAGAGCCAATAAAAATCTGTAAGGTCCAATAGTAGTAGTCCAAAGGCAAAATGAAACTGAAAGCGTGCCCGTTTTCTTTTTTTAAACAATTGAACCTCTCAGTGTAGATGTGCCAATGTTGAACCAGTTAAAGAACAAGGTATTCATAATGTGGAGTTTACAAGTGACATTTTTATTTTTCATTTTAACAAGCACCTTGTTGACCTAAAAAGGTGTTAATGTAAAAATAGTTGTAGTCTAAAACTCCCCCCCCAGTCCTGCACTTTTTTGGTCCTTGGCTCATTACATCAAAGTTTATTGGCCTCAACAGCTTAGTATTAAAATTTTCTTTCTCTAACTGGAACCCAACAGCACTTCAGCACTGAAAGGTTTAATCAAGTCCCATTATTCAAAACAAAACAATTCTTACATAGAGTATTGATCATTTGAGTATGGTACCTTTCTTTTTTGGCAAACTATTGCTCTGCCACAAATGTAGTTCATAATAATACAATAGTTTTGTGTGCTGGTAATACAAAATATATATTCTCTATGTACATGAGGACAGTGCATATTTTAACCAGCTGTGTTTGGACTCATTCAGCCAATGCGTGAGCAGCTGCCGGGTGATAAAGGCTGTGCTCCATTAGTCTGCTATGACTCTTGACCTGATACTTCTCTCTTTTTTTCCTGGAGATATCTGACTCAAGTTAAGAGAGCATTCAATACAAAAAACAAGCAGGCACACGGACTCACAAGCACACTCATGTAAAGTATGCTTACACACATTCGCTCTTGAGAACACGGGAAAGCTGATACACAAACATGACTCTTTATAATACACAAAAATCCAAAAATATAATTATTTGTCATTTGTTTTGACTCAGTTTCCTTGGAAAAGCAGTAAATAAAACGTTTTGTTCTCGCCTGTATTTCTTCATAAAGCTGTACATCGAGCTACTGTCTGACTGAGCTCAGCTTGAGCTCACTGTGTCAGTGCAGAGGTGTCTTTGAATGCTCATCAGATCATATGGGCTTTCCTGCACCTCTTCTCACCTTCACCGTCAGTGAGGGGGAAAACTTGGAGAAAATGAAGGTAGATTAGCATGTAAGGGAAATGCTTTCCCACTCTGACAACAGTCTCCAGGGTCAGAGATTGAGAATAGGGACATCAAAGAGGTCACACAGGCCTTCTGTCTCATCCAGGTTGTATATGTAGTCGTGGTCGCTGGGTGGAGGGGACAGCCGGAGGAGAGGCGAGAACACTGGAGATGGAACAACCAGAGAAATAGATGAGACATGCAGGATGCATAAGACGAGGCCATGTGTTGAAATGCACAATGGAATCCATAAGTTACGATCATTCAATAGCCTCTTTGTTACACAAATTACACATCATCAAATCCTCACTGTCATCTGCTTCTCCATTCGTGTGTCTGTGAGAAAACATACCTTCTGATGACATCAAGTCTTCCAACAAATCTCCACTCATGATCTCTGTCAGAGAGAGAATAGAACTGAGTGACCCTTTGTAAAGCCTTCAATTTGCACGACACTGAGAAGGTGTGACGTTGGTAACTGCAGTCACTGGAGGAGAAAATATCAAATTTCTGAAAAACTAAAGAAATGTTTACCTCTTGTTGGATCAAACATTTCAGAGAGCTCTTTGGGAAAGTCCAGCACTAGAGGGAAACCAAAACAAACTTTTCAGTAAGATACACAAGTGTATGACATGAAGAGTGTCAAAATCTTGCATGGAATGTAGACGGATGAATAAAAATTGGTTCGTATAATTAAATCAATTTCATGCCCACCCTACAAAAGCTGAAAAAAGTCATGCCCCTCACACATTTGTTGGGCTCTCATATTCATTCAAATTTAGCTCTGCTCGACATTTTCTCACCTGGTCACCCACACCCCCTCTGCAGTGGCTCAGTCCCAAGTTGAACAACCAATGAAATAAATTAATTCAAATTAATTACTAAATTTATCCATTTGTGAGATTTGATCCTAATGACATGTAAAACTAAACTTTGGAAACCAACGTCAAAAAGAGACTTTGAATGCAAAAGTAAACATCATAATCATTTTAATTCTTAGTGTGAGGTTGTCTTCTCTAAAAGGTGCATGTTATGTTATGTTATGTTATGTTATGTTATGTTATGTTATGTTATGTTATGTTATGTTATGTTATCTTATGTTATGTTATGTTATGTTATGTTATGTTATGTTCTGTTATGTTATGTTATGTTATGTTATGTTATGTTATGTTATGAGAGGTTCAAAAGAGTTCAGCATCATGCAAAACTCACATTCAGAGGGATCCGACTTAATTGGTTCAAATACTGCAGAGGCAGAAGAGGATCCAGATCCGTCCAACGAGGCAGAGGACTGAAGCTGCTGAGTGACTGCAGAAGGTGTATCTGTCGTTGGGGTGAGCGCCGTGGTGGTTGTCACTTCTAAAATAAAACAAACACGAGACAACATGCTGTAAATCACTATGGTAATGGTAGCCCTTAGTATCAAATGGTTCAGTGTAAAATACAACAATAAAAATCAAAATGACATGATGTTATATGAAAGAGGGAATCGCTTAGACAATAAGAAGGAAACCTGTCACTGAGACTGTCTGGTTGGCTGCTGTTGCAGATGCTGTGGCAGGAGCCGGTTTTGCAGAAGTGGCAGGAGCTGCTTTGGGGACCTGCCAGGTGGAAAGATGAAGGAAAGTCACAATATTGCATGATGAAGAAAGATGGATTTGTATAATGAAAACAAGTTTTGAATCATTTTTCCATGGTGAGTTAGCTTGTACGAACACTATTTCAAACACAACTGTCATGTCATGAGACAAACTGTGAAAAATGTTGCCACCTTGGGATTAATGTCTTCTACTTATCCTCTTTTATTGTCTCATTAAAGAAGGACGTCTTGAGAGTGAACCTCCAGTCAACAGTAAACCGATAAATACATAAAAAAATAGTACTATTTGCATAGTGATTGCTAATGAGTGTGGACCTGGGAGGCAGCAGTGGCTGGCTGGGAGGTAGGAGTTGGTGCTGGGAGGTTCTGAAGGACGTCATCTGGAGGAGGGACGGGCAAAACAACAGGAGAGGCACTGGACGGGTCCTTATTGACCAGCAAAACCTCTATAGGACCAGATGAACTCTTGAGACGGATCTGGTATTTCCTTTGCCCGTTAAGGACCTGGATGCACACACAAACACCCAGTCTGAGGCACGAGACAGAACAACAGTAGGTGGACCTGACCCACACACACACTATGCACACACAACTTACAGATTCTGGTATGGGCACCTCTAGTTGTGTGCCGATGGGAGCACGAATTGCTAGGAGTGTGTCACCTACAAAAAAGAGGTAATGAGTCATGACAAGTGTTGAGGAATGTGACAGAAAATGAAAACAGTGAGTGCAGAGCATAGAGGAAAGAATACCTTTGAAAGCCCCACAGAGGTCTTCATGTTTTATATATGCCATAGTATAAATGTGTTAAGGGTCCATACAATAACAAGGTTTGTCACTAAAGTAAGAAAATATGTCAGCAATACAGCTTTGCACATTTGCACTACTTATGACTGGAAGACTTGGTTAACCAAAGACACGATTTACTGACTACCTATATTAATCAATTGGGTACTCCAGCATTTCAGTAAAGTACTTCAGTAAAGTTGGAGGTCCTACAGTTCCAACACTGAAACTACAACGCAAACTTGGCTTCCCCTGCCTATTAAATAACCTCATCTGTCAAACCTCACACCCTGTTTGAAAAGAAAGGTGGGCTATTTTTTCAGACTTTAGAAAGCTCCATCCAGAAGCAGAGAAGTCAATATACAGGATAGGTAATACTCACTCTCTAATACTCTCCTACTTTTATGTGTAAAAATCAGTGGAATGCCCCTTTAAATTACCAGGACAGAGAGACTCAATATGAGCTTAGTGGCTGACAGAGCTGGCAGAATTTGTGGTGATGTATGCCCAGGACAGTCCACTATGAGATGCCAGATGGTGTTGAGATTGGATATGTTTCACTGTTTTGTCATGGTTTCTACTTTGTCCTTGTGTCACTGCATGCCACACGCACATATCTAAATACTGACCATGAGTGGTTTGTACAAAGTACAGAACATAGTATAGAGTTTATCTAAGTAATCTAAGTAATTCATAATGGCATGTTTGCAAATGGTTGCAAAATGTTTTCACGCAGTTTGTCACTGTTGTCCTTGTTCCTCAGGAGAACTTTATCCCCATGATATAATTGGCAGTCTTTCCTATACAGGAAAACCCCTGGCTTTACATCAGTATCTACGGATTTCGATAGTCAGCAATCTGGCACTGCTCTAATGAGCCTGTAAATTTACTAAATATTTTCCATCAGCAGGTGAAAGTTACAGTACTACAATTGCCAGTAGACTTTTATTAAAGCTGGCACAGCTCTATTGAAATAACAGAATACAGAAAAAAAATTATCACAGGGCGTTAAAGTAAAAGGTAAAAAAATCAGTATGAAGTAGTATGAAGAAACACAAATGAGGAACAACTCTTCTCAGGAACAGTCATTACTTGTAATTTGGAATGCAATATAATAAATCAATCACTGATTAGACCAAGATTAAATAAGTACTGTCCTGATAAACTACAACAGACACATGAACACACTATGCAGTGAAGGATATGGGCTGTTGTTGGAGTCATCTGTGACATTCTTGATGCTCTGTTGGACCCAGACTCTCTGCTGGTCCAGCTCATGTTCCCTGAGAGCCAGATCATCGAGCTCTGCCTTTAGATCAATCAGCTTATCAGCTATCTCCCTGGTATTACAACCTGGACCTACACCCCTGAAATACAAAGACAAATACATGGTCATGTACAGACAGCATGTGTGAAAAGACTGTTTCACACACTGATGAGCACACATGCTGTTTTTCATTGACACCCTGTTTTATTATTGATACAACTAAGCAGATTCATTCTCATTCACTTTCTCTTGGCGACTGATCCATCTGCCTTGTATCTTGGCCACAACAGATACAGCTGCACTAACAGAAGACTTTTTTTCTGACAAATGTGCCAATAACTACAGCTTGTGATAGACATAATGTTTGCTTTAAGGTCATATTTATGAATTATGTTTCCAGAACCTCTACAACAATATTTTGAGAACATTTGCCCTCATTGTCATTTTCCAATTTAAAACCAAAGTGTTGTGGTAAAGAGTCAAAACAAAAAAATGTCACTGAACTAATACTTGACTGGCCGCACTATCATGCCAAACACTGAGCTATTTTGACATTTTCATGTACAGTTCCTACTCTCATATCTACAGCTCTGAAAGAGGTTAAAGTAGCATACCTGCAGTGGAGTGACTCTTTTCTAATTGTTTGAGTCATTTTGTTATAGTGTAGTTAGGAAATGATTATACTGAGACAACTACATGACTGCCAAATATGCACAGGAAAGTGACAGTTACAACAAACGCTGTCTGTGGTCAGTTCTACAGTATCTAAAAAAGCACATGTAATGCAGACTGAGATTCTTGTTTGTTTCATATGATTCAAACTCTTTTGGTGAGTAGTCATTTCTCTATGACACATATATAGTCACAGAGTCATGAGTGTGTTTGTCACACAGATCAACACACAAGCAGATATAAGCACACACAAGAATAACGTGACATCAATTGGTGCTGTGATCCTCAGAAGAATCAGCCTCTAAGCCATCTCTCGATAGTTGTAATATATACATACAACATGAAAAAGTGGAAGGTGTGTGTGTGTGGGGGGTGGGGTGGCGCAAGTGCTTTCAAGACACAGTATGGTTTCACATAGTTCCACCCTCTTATTACCTAACCACAATTGCATTTCTGTAATGAAGACAATATAAGGTCAGTACAAAACTCCTAAATATAAATGTAATTGGCTCTCACCTTGCAAATTGTGGACGTACTTTTTAAATTCACCGTTACAATAAAAATGAACATTTGCCTTTTCATGAAGACAAAACACAGACGATCTGATCTGTTAGACAGCAAATTTTGTACTTTTTTTTTTTTTTTTAGTTTTTGAACTGAGAACTTACTTCCATTGGATACTGTTCTTGGACTTCTTCTCTATCAGTCCAATTCCCTCCAGCACATTAGTGATATCGTAAATACGCCGTTTCTGACGCACTGCCAAGGTGTCTGCAGCCTGAATGACAGGACAAAAGCAATGAAAAATACAATGAAGATCACTGACATCTCCTTTAGTAGGCTTTGAGCTAAAAGCACATACAAAGAGGGACTGCTGTGTCTTTGCCAACGGGTTCAATATCCCGCAACCAAAAACCATGAGGTTTCACCATCTATCTAAATGTCATTTAAACTTCCTTCTCAGCTCAACCTCTTGATGTTTAACAAACTAATGATAACCATATGGCTGGTGCTGATAAGTCTAGGCTTTTCAGAAACCCCTGTGGGTGAAGTGGAGTGACAGATCTGCTAAATGACAGCTAATAAACTACCAAGAGCTATTATTTAATAGGTTACATAAGGTACATTTATTATTCACTAATGCAAAAGTAGCATTTTAACTGAAATCGATACACATACCTAACCCTTCATTATACAGTGTCAACTGGTATGGCTGTGTTTTACTTTTCCAGCAGTGTCAACATACAGATAGACTTCAGTCAGAGAAGCTCTGGTTTACAAAACAAATTTAAGTCACAGCTCTTATTTAAGTTCTTACAGAGCCTAAAATGTGTGTTATCTTTGAATAATCACACCAATCACCCAAAGTTTGAGCTAATATCTAATAACAGAAGAACAAGACACAAAGTTTTTTCTGTCAAAGATAGTGTTTTAAGTGTGACTGGTCAAAGTGAATCTGTTTCATAATTCATAAATGCAGCATGTTTTAATGGACGCATGAAAATGAGAGTGAAAGAGAAAGAAAAAAGCATAAGTGTCTGGTGTTTTATTATCAGCAAAGCCCAGAGCCAAGATGAGTGTCAGTAGCTATGAAGCCAATCTGTCCGCCAAGTCACTGAGGTCACAGTGAAAAAGAAACTGTTCTGTTACACAAAGTAATGCTTGGCTAGTCAAGCTGCCATCTGTTTCTCTGGTTTTGGTTGAGAAAAAACATGGATGGCAGCATTTGTTAAAATGTCCATTTTTATTGCAATATGACAAGTCTATTAATATGTTTTGGTAAGTCTGGGCTTCAGATGAAACCCAATTTTATGGTATACAAGTTCAAGGATCATTAATAGCTAGTGGCACTGGCCACTGTGCAAAGATCCATTTGTTCTCAACATTTATATTTTATTAGAGATAAATACCAACTACTTCTTCAAGTATCTTTGACAGACCACTAAGCTAGTAGGATCAATATGTAATATCTGAATAGCTTTTTCAGAAGATTATGGCCTAGAGAGTGTGATGAGGAACACAGCTGACGATATTTAACATGTTTCAGATTGAAAAGTCAATGCACTGTCGTTAAAAGCATAAGCTTTTTTGAGTAAAAACTAACCAAGTCAGAACATGTCGTTAAGTGACCACTACGTTATCAATCAGAAAAAAATTGTTCATGTGTGAAAATGTAGTAGCGTTAGCTCAAAGGGGAACTACAAAAGATGACCCACTTTTTAAACTTTGAATCTGCAGGGGGCAGAGTCTGCAAAGTTGACCAGTCTTCTCAAAGTTCAGTTTGTAACCTTACTTTGCCCCCTTTTAGAAACGTGAAAATACCATGACGCCGCGTTGAAGCAGAGGTTTGAAAGTAGCCCTGGTGTATAAAAACTGCAAATCCATAAGCAAAGAGGTATCACCTATTCAAATTAGCCTGTCACAGCTAGGCTAGGCTAACAAGCAAGCTAGCGAAAGTGCATGTAACCTAACGACAGCGGGTAGGCTCAAAATGACATGTGCTAGCTAACAACAAAGACTCTAGGCTGCATGCTTACAGCTTTCAGATCCAGCACTCCGTCCTTTGCCTCTTGTAGTAAAGTCACAAACTTGGTGGTGAGCAGTCCTAGGCTCTTTTCGTGCCTGCTCGGGGTCTGTGGCTGCAGCGAGTCCCCCACTGCTCCCAGTTCGCCTCTGTTACTGGCCGACTCCAGCTCCATCATCACTCGGGACCAGCTCCGTACTTCCCCCTGCCTCCCCGAGCAAACCCAACCAGCGAACCCAGGAAAGCACGCCCCACCGCCGCAGTCAGATAAACAGAGGGCCGGGAAAGTGTGTGGCTGATAGCTGGTGTTCAATCAGCTAGTCCAACCTTGTTTGCTCCAAATTATTTGCCTAAATCGAACCGAGCAGGCTAAGTACGGCATTCAATGAGCAAGCTTTCGGTGGAGAGAGCCGTTGGCCACGCGAGGTATGACGGGACGGTTCAACCATCGGTGGGAGCGTCTGCAAATACTCACACCAATTCAAAAGCGTGTAAAAAAAAAGCAAGAGCGTGTTTATTAACCCTTTTTAAATTCATAAATGTTTCCTAATCCTCCGACATAGCATATCGTCGATAAATGTTAATACACTGCACGGATTAGGTGCTATTTTGTTTTAAGTGTTGTGAAATAAGGATTTTTCGGATGTTTGTAAGAGGGTTACTTATACACGCGCCCTTACTTACTCAAACTTGAAGAAAGCGCATGCACGCGCTCGCGGGCGTACACACAGACGTACAATCGATGTGTGATATGCGTTAGGCAGCGGTTTGTTTTACCGGGGCATCACTGTCACAAAGATCCATTGTGATATGCAGTGTTTATAGTGTTATTGGAAACTTTGTGGCTGTGAGGATGATGGTGATGATGGGACCACACAGCAGCGATGCCCCTCAACATGTTGACGTTAGGACCCATGAGTACTCAGTTATTACTACATTATTATATGAGTACTCAGTACTCAGTGGACCTACTGATAGGTCGGATCACACCCAGCTTTGATTTTGATCTCAACTAAACACCTGTAAACTGTCGTCATCTTGCACCGTTGTGAGCTATCGCGGGGACAAAATCTGTCTGACATATAAACACCTGCCAAAGTACTTAAAGCTCTTTGTTAGTAGTAGGCGTCTCCAGGACCATATTTTGCCATGATGACAAACTCACAAGATGAAAACATGGTCGGTCTGTGGCCAGCAGGGGGAAGTATTGCCCAAGGAAAACGCTCTTGTAAATGAAGTACTGGCGTCAATAGATTCGTAGCTCTGTAAATCTGCTATGTACGTAAAAGAGAACAAATATAATTTAAAAAAAAGACATATAGAACGTGGAAGCTTCTGAGGCTTTCAGAAATATAACACGACGTTTTGATGCAAAATGGACAAAATAGCCTTCCCCACGAAATACACGAAAGTGGTTTTACTGTCACACAACTACACTCTGAAACAGTCAGCTGACTGAACCAAACAGCAGCGCTGGACTTGCAACAGGAAATACATGAAATACTGCTCATTCATACTCAGGTAAGTCTCACGTTGGTCATCTTTATATATTCTCCAAAGACATCGAAAACCCGTAGCCAATTGTACATGTCTGCGGCAGTGTGCTCCTCTTTTATTTTTTATAGCCTGGTTCCTAAACGTTAGCTGTACTGCTAGCTAACGTTGTGCTAATTCTACATAGACGTTAAAGGGCTAAACGTAGCTGACACAGAACAGTGACTACAATCAGCTAATAAACATTGATTTTAGCAAATGCAAAATACTTTTCCGCTGCTGGATAGACTGTAACAATGTATTAATGATGAAGTATTGCTCTCCCCGTGTTGCTTCTACTGTCTACTGTATGGACATTTTTTTCTTCGGTGTCATCTGGTTAACACAGATAATTTCATAGATTTGAAGATATGACAATGAGAAGGTGATGCAGGCATGTCTATGCTGATGAAAGGCCTCACTCCTTGCAGATTTTTTGGGTCTTTATTTAATAAAAGCCAAGTAGTCAAATATAGATATGGAGTATTATTTCTACACAGAGAATTATATTAAATTGCTTCCAGTCTTGTTTTACCGTTGCCTTTTATTTTTCAGCTGTGACCATGAAGAAGAACAAAGGCAAATCGGCCAGTGCTGCTGAGAAAGAGTTTGTGTTTGAGTTCAGGGCAGGAAAACACAACTGTGTCCTCAAAGTGCCTCTGAAGTTCCCTGTTCAAGAGAACATCAGCGACCTTCATGGACGCCTGATGCTGCTACATAAAATACCCTGCTATATAGAAAATGGTGAGATTGCTGCTCAGAACTTATGTATATGTGGTGTTACCCTTCTTACGGTTTGTCAAATAATATACCTATGCTTCTTTCTCTTTTGCATTTCCAACACTTGCTCCACTTTGTTTGCTGGGATTGTCAGACCCTAACTGTAACTATGCCCCTAACCCTAGCATTAGCCATCTATAACCCAAACATAATCATTTGTTCAGGGGAGCTTGTCATGTACCCCCTTATCCCTATAACTCTATAATATACCCCTTATATACTATATAATGTACCCTATATATAAGAGAACATAAATAAATATGTTTCAGTTTTCAAATTCTAGAAACCACATTTTATACAGGAATGAAGGAAATAACAATAAGACCCTTATCATTATTATTGTATTTTTGGATTGGTGCAGGACCCTCTGTCGTCAACTAACCTCACTGTATCTTCCACCTAAAATTTGTAATCCATATCTACACAGTTGGACAAGTAAAATTAGATTTTCTTTATTTGAACTGTAATTATTTCTCTCCACATGTCTTCCTTGGAAAGAGACAGTATTGCCTGTAAGCATGCTGTTAGGTTGAAATCTAAACGATTGGAATATATCCAACCCATTGATTTTGCAGAGTACTACTTGGCTTGCACAGAAATGAAAACATTTTGGAAATGACTGGCTTTTGCTGCGTATGCATCTCTTCCCACAGAGCTGAAAACCTTGCTTTCCAACTTCATTGAAACCGAGACCATCCTGGATTATGACAGAGAGGCAGAGCTTGCCCTGCAGAGACTCACTACAGGAGAAGTAGATGTAAACCAGCTCACCAATGCATGGACCAGGTCTTATGTGGAGGTGATCACACTTTTCAGTATGTTATTGTGCCTAAAATCTATTTAACATCTAACATCAGCACTTCTAATAGTTATTACTTGGTTATACCACAAGCTCTCATATCAGTATCAATAATCATGGGAAGCTCCTAACAGATTTAGAGTTATGGTATGTGTTTGGATTCATCTGGATTTGTACACATCTCTCATATTTATGACTAAAGGGTGGCCATGGTGCCTGTTGTTATAAGCTGAACATCTGTTTTTTATTTGATTCGCATCACTTAGTTGTATCATGTATCATTTAGGGAATAATACCATAAACATAATTAGTCTTTAATCAACTGAGTGAGACAAATCATCCACTTAAAGTTAACTTTTTTCAAAGTCAGTTTGTTTGATGTTTATGTATATATATATGTATATCTAAAATTGTGTAGGCAGATATTTCTGTGAAAAATGTCTGTTAATAATGTGGACAGCATGCTTTATTCTTGGCAGGTGTTCCAGAAAGTTAATTTCAGACACTGGTTGTCCAGCGGACCCTGATCGTATATCTACTACTCCATGTTTCTGAGTAGCACAGCAGAGTGTTTAGGAAGTGTCCTTGAATGCTCCTGCTAACTTCAGGGTAGTCATGGGTCATTAAAGTAATTTAAACAGAAGTAGCACAGTGCATCTGCAAGTTGATAATTCATGAGTTCTGGAGAGAAAAAAAAAAACTCATTACAAAAGCCTACGTCCTGTGTTTAATGTCTCTCCTACTCATAACACTTGGTTACAGTTTGATGCATTTCTGCCCAGAGATCCAATATTTGGTGGTGGTTTCACATATTTGAGATTGGAGTCATCACTTTTATATTACGGATCAATGCAAAACAAACAGTCTAGTGAGACGTCGAGTGGCCCTTATGGTTTTCTAATTAAATTAAGTATGGTCTGCTCACTCATGAATTTTTTTTTTTTTTTTAATAAAGTGAATGTCTCTTCTTTCATTTTTAAAAGAAGGTCAATAAGTTAATATGGTTTAACACAAAACCACACTGACACTGACACTTGCTGAGGCACTGATAAAAAGATAGTGGCCGTTTCAGCTCATGTTGTGAAGCCCTTCTGGCCCACTGCACTCGGACATTTACGACATGTAGGACTGGCTACCTCTCAGCGTTTTACTGCAGTCACACAGAAATACACATGGAAGCTTTCCAGTGTCCATCATGTGTGTGGCCTGCAGATTCCTGAGCCTGTATAAATAGAGGAGTTTCAGATTCTGAATACTGTTCTGTTGCTTTTCTAATTATGGATCATCAACTGCCCTGGTTTATTGCAAAACCCTTTTGAAATGTGTTTACATTGCATATTGCCTCCTCATTTGTCTTCCTCTCAACATAGTGAACATTTGTCATTTTGTTTGAACCCTTTCTACTACGTCAGCTTCTTGTTGGTCACTTTTAACTCACAGTGCATGCAGCAGCTCATCAGCCATGATAATATGTCATACAATATAGTAACCCTGCAATGCCACGGTTGTATATCTTTGTCTTTTTGTAACCACTTTGAAATAGAAATTCTTGTTGCCAACTGTCCTTTTGGAGTACTTATTGTGTTTCCTTCATCACTGTTTCAGACTACACTGGAACATGCCCGGCCCGAAGAGCCCAGTTGGGATGAGGACTTTGCCGATGTTTACCATGAGCTGATCCACTCCCCTGCCTCAGATACTCTACTCAACCTGGAGCACAACTACTTTGTTAGCATCTCTGAGCTCATCAGTGAAAGAGACATGGAGATTAAGAAGCTTCAGGAGAGGTGAGTTTTAGGGATTATTGCCTGGAATCTTTGTAAATTCATTTGGTCAATTTGGTCTGGAGGACCAAGGAAAAAAATGATATATTGTTCATTTTTAATTCTGGTCCAGTCCATGTTTACACTGACTTTTTACAAACGAACCACAAGAGCTGTAAGCATGAAGCCATATGGATTGACGGGTATCACAAAATTAGTGGAGAATTTTGTTGATGTAATCGTGCATCATCGGCGCTCAAATTCTGTTGAGTTATACATAGCACATTACTGTGCCTCATGTGTTTATTTTATTTTCTCTGGTGTCCCAAAGAGCTCATGAAGCATTAACTCATAAATAACTGGCTTGAGACAATAATATTTTTTATTTGGTATATGCTGAAATAGATGGAGTAGGACACAAAGCTCATACACCTCTTTTAGTCTTTTAACTCTCTGATGTATCAGGATAAATCCCCACACTTAAGTGTTGACATGCTCACATGGTTTCCAAATACTTTTTTCGTAACTATACGGTGGATTTACTGGATTGTAGATAAACCTCTGAATTCCCACTAAAATCACACATCTATTATTATAAAATCCTGTGGTTGGTCTGCTTTGCATTCTCACCATTAACAACCTGCATCATAGTTTGCTTGGAGTAGGACTGAGACCCACCTTTTCAGGTGATTTCAGTCAAGTCAGTTGTATAGTCTGCACCAGAGTTTGACTGACAGGTTTCACGCGGGTTTACACTTTTCACACATATGGGCTAATCGACCAGAGTTTGAATTGAACCAACACGTCAGGGGTAAAAATATCCTATAACACACTTTTGTATTTGTAAAATGTTGGAGCCATACCATCGTGATCTGAAAATGTTTCTTTATCTTTCAGTGGTGTCCGTGCCTCTACACCTTTCTCCCTTTTACTTTCATCTCTTATATAATATTTTTCTGTCTGACAGACAAGCAGCTGAAATGGACAAGGTGATGCACGAGCTGGGGAACACTTTGAGTGACCAGGATGTAAATGCAGTGGCCTCTCAGCACTTTGATGCACAGCAGGTAAAAAAGAAGTTAAGAGTGCTCTGTAGTTTGTAGCAGCGTTAAAAGCAGGTGTACCTTCATCCCAGTGCATAGTCAAAGTTATTGTTTGACCGCAGGTATTTCAGAGGATTCGGTTAGTGAATTCTCCATTCACAGGTTCAGATTTGGTTTGGCCTATTTAGTCAAAATATGTTGCGTGTTCCAGTCATATTAAAGTTCCTGAGTGTTAGACATTGTGTTCTTTAAACAGGTGCTGGAAAACAAGTGGGCCAGTGAGCTAAAGCAAGTTACTGGCATTCAAAAGCAGGAGTACCAGGAGTGGGTCATCAAACTGCACCAGGACCTACAGAAATCCAACAACAGCAGCAAAATAAAGTGAGTTTGTCTGTATGTGTTTGTGTTAACATGTTGTATTTGCGTGTACACTGAAGCATAATCTTTGTATGTTTACACACTTCTAATGTCTGTGGGCTTCCTTTACGCTTTACACCCAAGCGCACCTGAACAGGCTTCTTCAGTTCTGTGACAATCTCACTTAGTCTTTCAAATCTGAGCATAAAGCAAAAATTGTTGATTTAAGATAATGAATGATGGAGTCAGGTGCTTAGGTGCTTACTCTTTTTAGGTAGCAAAAATAAGCTGCGGTGTCGACACGGATGAATGAAATCTGCAGATGCAGCAGCTTCGAGTGGGATTGTCGGCGACAGAGCGGCACGTCTTTATCCACCGGCAGTGAGCCTCTGGTGCAGAGGCTTGGGCTTGTCTAAGCTTTGAGATTTAAGTCCATGTTAGGTTTGTTTGTACAGTGATTAACTGTAAAAGTAGGGTGATAATAAAACTTACACTGATAAAATACGGTGATTAAAAGACAAAAACCATGAAGACAAGCTAAGACACAGCAGAGTAGTAGAATCAGCACAAACAACTGTTTCGTTGACTCAAAAAATGACATAAAATTAATGAACTACTGAAATATCCCTTATGTGATATGTGTTAGTGGAGCTGCACTCCAGCAGTTCTAATCCAAAACATGACATCTCTTTCTGGAGCACAGGCTACATTTACATATTAATTGAAGTGATTACAAGAAGTCAAACACTCGTCTTAGTGTGACTGATGCTTAGCTTTGCAGTATCGGTTATGACTGGCATCTTGGGAAAAGAGGTGGAAAAAAATCTTATAGGGGTTAACAGTAATGTAGTACTGTTGAGTTCTGGTTTAAATTCAGGTCTTACACTCTCCATCCGCATATATCAGCTATTCCATCAAAACACTGAAACCACCAGGACCTGCATGCTAAGAGCTTCTCACACAGTGTGCTGACCCTGCATCATTTTTTCTTAATGATGAATATCATTATTTTGTTATGTATAGGTGGAACTTAATACTTCTACATTAGCACTCTGAACACTTCATAAATATGCATTTTTAGTTAAAGGTGTAGCCTGTAATGGAAAACTGTAAACAGAATCCAGGCTGAATTTTTCTGTAAACAAAGAAAAGAGAAAATTTAATCCTTATAACTGGGACTTGTATAATTAATCTGTGAACTGCATTATATCCTATTTTATTGTTTTTATTGTTCAAGAAAGTAACCAGAAAAACTTCGGCTGAAAAGAAAATGAAGGGTTGCCTTATATGTTGACTAATATCTTGTTCCGGGTTTCAATTTTGCTTTTTTCTTGGGATGAAACTTTTTATAGTTTAGTTTATTTCTATTACTGTTCTTTTCTTAAGCCTTTAGAATATATGTTGTTTATGCTGTGTTTGATAGCTGTCTTAACTGATTGGTTTGTTTGCATGATTAATTTCCAGCGAGGAGATTAAGATGCAGCCCAACCAGCTGTCAGAGCTTGCAGATTCTGGGGCCAGGATGTTTGAGGAGCAGCCTCAGCTGGAGGAGAGTTTCACCATACACCTAGGTAATGACATTCTCTTCTTTGCTACCATTCATACATAGTATTGTGATGGCTGTTCGTGGTACTATAAGTCTTTGATTTTTAAAAACGCAGTATAGATGTGATCTCTAATGGATTTTCCTGTTTAAGATATGTAGGTGTCTCTGTGTGCATGCCATTTATTTTTGAGCAGGGGCACAACTGAAGACGATGCACAACCTGCGGCTGGTCCGGGCGGACGTGCTGGATTTCTGTAAACACCGGCGGCACGGCAGCAGCGGAGCAAAACTGCGGCGGCTACAGACGGCCCTTTCACTGTACTCCTCCTCACTCTGTGGTCTGGTGCTGTTAGTTGACAACAGGGTCAACTCCTACAGTGGCATCAAGCGAGGTCAGGGGACATGTTCAATATAATATTTTTCGTAATGTTTTGGTGATCTTCGTAAATGTGTTTTCTTTTTTCACATGGGCAGTTGATAGTGTTGTGCTGTGGAAAGATAAGCCTTTATTTTGGCAGCCTCCTGTTTGAAGATCTTCATTTCTGCACATTTCTGCAGGGCTTTGTTATATTTTGGCACTAGTGAATTTTTTTTACTTTGGTCCTACTCATGACTCACTCTGGTTGTCTGTTATCTTTACTGGGAGAATAACACTATTTATTCACACCTTTTGAAATGTTTTGTTTAAAGACTAGGTACTTCATTCACCTTTAAGTATGTATTGATTGTTTTAAAGCAGAGTCACAGAGATAAGCTCTGTGAGACCGGCCTTTTTATGCATAATTTAATTCTTGGCCTCTTTTGCGCTGACTTCTAGACTTTGCAACTGTGGCGAAGGAGTGTACAGACTTCCACTTTCCCTGTCTGGAGGAGCAGCTGGAGGAGGTGCAGCAGGTGGTGCTGTATGCCAGAGCCCAGCGGAGCAGCAAGCAGAAAGACCAACCGGGTTAGACTTGAAGCTGCACTTTCTCATCGCAACCACAGCTGTAATGCACACAGAGCATTTGAGGAGGATTAGCAAAGGGAACAACAAGTTTTGTGAGGCTCAGGGTCACACCAGTCTCATCCTGGATGTCCTGATTTCACCAGAAAATTAAAAGTGCAACAAGTGACCTGGGTAGACGCTACTGGATTAAACTGATTATTCTAGGCAGCCAGGATACCTTTTTTAGCCAGCTATGCAGTATAAAATGCAGAACTAATGTTGTTATTCAAGGCCTTGTTTAACTGTACTACAGTGACACGTGATACAAGTGGTTGTTTTTTTTTCTCTCATCATACAGATTATACTCGCTTTCAGGTTGATCTCTAATTTGCCTGATTTGCTGTTTAGCAAGATGAGAAAGGGAATCTTTAACTCTTATTTTGGCATCAGAAACACGAGACTTAAATGTTCTCTCTTCAAAGGAGTGAACTGAAGGCGAGTATAACTGTACACATGACTGTAACAGTGCAAGGCTTTTTACAGAGTTGGAGAATGTCAGTGACATACCAGCAGTACGAGAGGGGGGATTAAACAGTCAGGAAATAGAAGACACTTTACATCACTGCTAATACGTCGACGAAAAACTGTGTCCAGATCTTTATCACATCACAGCACAGCATAGTGGTTTGTAGAGTAGAGCTGTATATAGAAACAGTCTGGCTAGCTTACAAGCCTTTCAAGGAAAGTCCAGCTGCTGTCGCCATTAAGCATCCCGATTAGATATTTTAATCTCTTGTTTTGTACACTGATTGTGGTTGTACACACAATCCTTTTTTCATTTTAATTATTTCTTTACAGAGGTTCCAAGGAATGGAAGTGATGATAAGAGCAAGAATGTTGAACGAAATCCCTCTAACATCTTACCAGGTAATGGTTATCAGTATATATTTCACATGCACAAACATTCACTGATTTATTGATCCCACATTATTCAGTAATGACATTTTTAGACTAGTTATGTCTCATTTTTTTTCTGTCCATCTTTTAATTGACCTACTTTTTCTTTTCCTCAAGGTGAGTTCTACATCTCACGGCACTCCAACCTGTCAGAGGTCCATGTTGTCTTCCACCTGTGCGTGGACGACAATGTCCGTTCGGGGAACATCACGGCACGGGACCCGGCCATAATGGGCTTGAGGAACATCCTGAAGGTGTGCTGTACACATGACATCACCACTGTCACTGTCCCTCTGCTGCTGGTCCACGACATGTCAGAGGTAAGACTAGGTGGGAGTACTGTGAACGGTTCGATGTGTAGATGAAGCTGCAATGTGCACATTGCTTCCCTTCGGAGTTCAGCAACCAGACTCAGCAACTAATATGGATTCAGTGTTGTTCAAGAACAGCTCAGCAGGGTAGATTCAGCTCTTCCTTCATCGTTAACCCTATTTGCATATTCTTCTATCTTCTTTTAGTCTTGCACTTCTGTGTCAAGCCTAAGTAGTTTGTAATAGTGGTAGTGTGTGTGAAGAAAACCTGCTGGCCGCACAAGTTTGTGTGGTTCTAATGGATGGTAGAGTGAGAATTTCTTCTCTCTCTCTTTCTCATTCAGGCAACACACTATCACTTCCCAGGTTTAAAAGCAAGAAGGGCGAAGTAGAGAGTCATAAACGTGTCTGTTTACTGCTTAATACCTCGCAGTGTATGTAGCAGCAGTCTACTCAGAGAAAGCCTTCAGTGACTGATTAACTGAGGCTGAATTAAGCAGAGTTTAGGCAGATATCCAGGCAATATAAGGTGGATTTTTTTCTGTTGAAAATGAATGTATCTGGGATTTCCTTTCAACCTAAATGGCAGCTCCTTGTTATTTCTTAAACTGAATGAAAATTAAATCATATTAAACTATGAATCCCATAAAATGGAAAGTAAATTCTCAACAAGCCACTGTCTGGAGTGCACTCGTGCCACAACATGCCCAGTGCAATTTTTCTTCTCATGTCTAATCAAGAGTCTTTGTTTACATAACCAAAGTCTTCTAACATTTGAAGCCTCGGGAACCAGAGGATCTTTAATTGATAGCTTCTGGTTTCACATCAAAAGTTTCCATCTGTCTTCTGGCTCGCTTTCTGTCTTGTTTTCCTTTTAGTAGACATGTTTCCCTATTTGTACAAGCCTATTCTTGCGTTTTGGCATTAAAACAACTGGCATAGTTTGTCTACATGAAGTACAGACTGCAATCAAAATAAAACAGGGCTGTGCCTCCTATTTTTATTTTTAGGTGTTTTTTTTTTTCCCCTTGGAGACCATTTTGGAGTTTGAGGAAACGGGAACACAGAAGAATTGCTCAGTGACACTGTAATACACGTTAAAACATTTGCGGAGAGGAAATTGAAAATACTTTAAACCAATTAAAGGGGGCAGTTTGCAGACAGTGACTCTTACACAGTTTGACAACTGCTATGTTCATTTTTCTGGTTTTATGAAATGTCTTTTCAGGCCTCAATTGCTTCAGTCATAATGAAAAACTCTGGAATATACTATCTTGTTGCTAATGCATCAAAGTCCCATTGCTCAAACCAATGTGGTTTATCTTGGGGTTAAACCGGTTAGCGGGTGACACAGTTGGCATAGGCCTAAGCATTAGGCCTCGCTGACACCCCTGCCTCCAGCTCTTAAATCCAGTTTGTTGACTTTGGATGGGAACAACATATTCCCTAGTAGCTAAAAGGCTATATGTGTATGTGGCAGAGGCTTCACCTATCTAACACTCCTCACTGTGAGAAAGGGAGGGATGTACAGATGAGTACCTGCTGAGGTCACCTCCAACAGCCTGGAGCCAAATACACTTAAAACTGTTGGGGGATGAGAAGTAGCATACGCAAGAAGCAAAAACATGCCAATTCTAATCTATTAAACCTTTGTCATTTTTGAATGTTGACATGGTCACCTGACAGGAGACTTTGGGTTTGTTCCAGTTAATATGTAATATATACAGTACTTAATTTACATACCTGCGTAAGACTCTGTGCAGTGTGACACTCTCCATAGGAGAGCAGCATGTGACTATGTATTTCTTTTAATGCGTCACAATTTCATTTAGTATGGCTCAGAACCAACACCACCAAGGAGGAAAGGGGATGTCAAAAAAAAACCCTAGTAAGCGAATTGTTTTACCAGTGGAGAGTCAGAAAATCTTTGGACACATGAATTAATAAGAAGTAGATAAATAGATAAAAATAATAGAAATAATGATAATAATGGCACCTTATTTCCTTTTCTGATTAAAGTTGTCTATAAGAGATAACCATGTTTTATAAAAAATTTAGCCTCTTGCCCTTTTAATGAAATATAATTTCCTTGCCACTTCCTGAATCAGTCTTTGCACCATCAGACTGACGTGTTATCATGTTATGATCTAGTTTTGCTGCACATTGTTTTAAAGACAACAAACAAAATGATTCAGTGTTCTCACTTCTCTTCTCATCTCTCTGCAGGAGATGACCATACCGTGGTGTCTTAAGCGAGCTGAGCTGGTATTCAAATGTGTCAAAGGTGACAAAGTTTGAAATTAAGTCAAGTTAATTTGTTCTCTATGACGCACGCATTAACACTGTTTAAACAGTTGAAAAGTAGGTGCCCAAAACAACATAATTATGAAACAGCACATTATAAAATAGTTCCTAGAATGCACTGAACATTACAAATTGATATTTAACGATGGAGGATTTAGTTACTTTCAATCTGTTTGATTTGCAGGCTTCATGATGGAGATGGCCTCTTGGGATGGAGGTATATCGCGCACAGTTCAGTTTCTGGTGCCAAAGGTGAGAACAGAGTGTACTACTTATATTTATGGTTTTTACAACATATAGCTGAGGTGATGCACAATCTCCCTCTGAGTGAACGCCTGCCAGCAAAGCTTTATGTTAAATTCAACAGAAATGTACATCTAAGGCCTCACATGTACACAACATCACAAAAGGCACACCCGGTCTTACAATGCATATCTTTATATGCAGGCAGAGAAGAAAGACTGCTTGGAAAGCATGTGATAAATCATAGATTATAGAGCTTTAGGTTCTGTTGACCACTGCTTTTAGTCCCGTGATAAAAGAAAGCTCAGAGACTCATCCATGTAAATGTGTGATAAGCAATGGGATCAACATGTAGCTTTCCAACACTGAGGTGTACTTGGAATTCCAGGTCTAATGTTGTATCTTAATATATAATGTAAATAAGTTGATATTGGTCTACAAGTAAAAGAGGAGAAATATTCAGGCTGAAGTTTGAATCAAGGTTTCCTGTCATATTTTCAAGTAATCGTGACCTCAGTGCTGGATGAAACATGACTGTTATTTTATGTTGGGCTTAGCTGGATGTTGTATACCTTATAGCTTATGTAGTTTGTCAGGAAGGCAGCAGAGCCTATAGCATGATCTCATGTTGACAGTTTAAGATGATAAAACCAGCGGCATCAAAGGACTCCAACTGTATTGGCTTCCTGTCAGCTACATGCTCAAACACCATTCAAAATAGCACCTACTGAAACAACATTGTTTTCTACACCTCAAACAGACACAAGGGCTAAATATATACTGTGGGCTTGTGTGTGGTTGAATGATGTGTGTGCGACTTTGTTTCTGCTTAAAGATTAATACTTAACATTCTTAACATTCTTATTTAACGGGTGGCGATGCTTAGACTTACACAGTATGTTCCCCCCGTCAAAGTCACAGCTGCCGGAGCTGACATCATTTCAGCATCTTGACTACTGTTCTCTCAGGAGAAAAAGACCCTGTGATGTTGAACTGAAGGGTACTGCAGGGGCTGCTAGCACCTGGCTGTACACAAACAGTCCAGATGTATTTTTGTGTTCATGGGCACATGGAAAAATTTTTTTTTTAATGGTTCCCTTCCATTGTCATAGGATGTGGGTGAAAATGTATACACAAGAGACTTTTTTTTGACATTAGTGCTGCAGAAATCTTAGTCCCTTTTTGCTCACTAATCCTGCGCCTGTCTCTTTGTCTGTCTCCTTGTGTTGACAGAGTATCTCAGAGGAGATGTTCTACCAGTTGAGCAACATGCTGCCTCAGATCTTCCGAGTCTCCTCCACTCTAACTCTCACCTCAAAGCACTGATGGATAACAGAGGTGCACCACATTGCTTCCATGTGGCATTCAGACAAACAGAGACACGTTCATTTTAACAGCATTGACCAGTTCTATTTCTTGTTTGTTCTTTTTTTTTCATGAAGATGAACGCAGTGGAGATTTTGTGAAGCGGCACCTAACCCCCATTCACTTCTTAAAATTACATTAATTACAGATGTATGAAATTGGGGTCAAATGTTATGATGACATTATAGCACTTAACAGTAGAAGTGCAAAAAGTTTTTTAAACAAGAAGGAATGTTTTCATGCAGTTGATGAGCCTTGTTATTTTTGCACCTTACGAAGCTGCACACATTATAAATACTTCTTACTGAAAGAGGACCAGAATCAGTGGCTCACACACAAAGCAGCTGCTGCAATTATTATTTCAGGCTTCCAGGGTACGGCTCTGGTGACAGAGTTTTATGACATCATGACATCAGCCGCCAGTGCTGCAAGTATTCCAGTTTCCTTTTTAAAGCTCCAATCTGCAACTTTCTTCACATTTGAGCTACAGCATAACGTCGCGTTGGTCAAGTTCTTTCAGTTAGCTAGTACACAGTGAAAATGTCACCAACTGAGCAGATGACGTGGATGTGAAAACAAGTATTGTTTACTAAAATGATGGAGTTGGAATAGGAGTGGCAGTTTTGGACCTGATTAACATTTCTCAACCATGCTTAATGTGACATTTGTGGTATTATCCCCATACATTTCCATACAGACGGAAAACATTACAGAACTCATTTTTAATTTTCATGTATGAAGTCCCTGTGGACATCATATTTCATCTGTTGAGTGTTCATGAATTAGCCAGGATGGATGACCACACAGTTCAGCCGTCATATGAGATTTAGCAGTCTAATCCCATGGGTAATAGGCTTCATATTTGAGGGTTGGATCTTCCAGAGAGAAGTGACATATACTTGGCTCAACTAGTCCCAAAGACAAATGGCATTGCTGCTGAAATGGGCTATGTGCAGGTGTTTTTATACTGCATTGCAGTGAGTTGTAGGAAGGATCACTCTCTGTGTGAGAGTGTGCACGTGTGTGGTCCCTCCCCTCTACCTCTGTTAACAGCAGATGGCACTGTTCCTAAAGACAAAGATGTGAAAAGGGTGACTACACAGACATTTACACATTTATTATAAGGGATAAAGTTTTAATGAGGGTCTGCTGCCTATTGAAATTCATCTCAAACCATTTTAGTCGACATTCACCATGAGCAAGTACTGCCTCAGTAGTCATATCACCACTGGTAAATGGTTGTTAAATGTGTTGAAAACTTGAACCTACTAAGATGTGTATTCTGTATATTCACTGTACATGTTTACATTTTTATGTTTATTAAAAAAGTTACACACTCACCACACTTATTTTTATCTAAATTCTTCATGAAAGCCATCACAAGCTCATGACAGAGTTTCACAGTTTTGATGATTAGGTTTTTCTTCAACCCTTTGCCAACAGTGATGCACTTCTAGTGGCATTCACTGGCTTTTGGTACAGCGTTTTGCTGTTGATGGGTTTCCCACAGGAACTTAATCTCTCTGAAGTTAATAATCCATGTCATTCATTGGAATTACATTCCTGCACATCTAATGGTGGTCTATAAGCCATTTCAGACTGACTGAAATCAATTCAGCTTGTCAGAAAGTTTGCCACAGCCACGATCAGTGGTGGTGTTAGGCAGATTAAGAGTCGAGAGTGTAGCAATCAAGGCGAGTTGCCTTCTCTTCTTTCAAGATAAACAAGATGGCCAGCGGCTCTGAGAGAGTTATGAGATTTCTTAATAGCTTCATGTTGAAACCTGCAACTGTTAATATCACGCCGCCATGCTGAGAACCCACAAAATTGTAAGAATATGTATTGCTGAGTGTTTGGCATTCTTAGGATTGGTCTCAGTGGTCTGCAGTGTTGGGTTTCCTTGCGCAGAGAGTGCAGGGTGCCGATTCAGCGTGATAGTTCACCCTCTCCCAGTGCTGTACACATGTTTGAAAACGACCAGAGCAACATATTAACATTGTCAACCTGGTCATGAAAAGTGTTAATTGATGTAGAAGTTTTTCTAAAGACTTAACAGGACACTGCGTTACATGTGGAAACAACACGAAGCACCTGTTTTGACAGTAGTGAAACCCAAAGCCCACTTCAGTCAAACTAGCTTCAATAGAAGTCGTTGTTGGATGGGGATGTCCAGTTACTCAGACACAGAAACATGACCAGGGAAGAGTTATCTATGGCATGTAATAGTCCACAAATTAACCTGTCTTAAAGATAACATTGCTTCAAGCCAGTCCAAGAGGAAAATCTATTATTTAATTCAAATTAAAAGAAACTAAAATTCATACAATTGATCATCTACTGTATATGGGCCAACAAAGGAATACCTTAGTGACTGTTGAGGGAAGATGCAGTATAAATACAGAATTAAATATTTCAAATAATAAATATCTTTCTATCTTTCTCACAACAGAAACATAGACAGTTGTAAGTGGAAACTTTGTCCCTTGGGAAGGAAGTTGGGAGTTTTCTCTGCATACTTTTACCCTTAGAGAGCAGAATTATTCAGTGATAATTGATTTTCTCACTTAATTTAACTTGTCTGGGAATTACCTGGGAAACTTTGAGGAATGGGCTGTCAGCATTGCCTGGCCAGCAATCTGATTATACCCAGGAATTAAAGAAATAAAAAAACATTATGATTAAAGCTGACTTGGCTGGAGGTGTCTGGTGGCCTAATGGTTAAAGTGCATACCACATAACCACAATGTCCACAGTTTGATGCAGGGCTGACCTTTCAGTTATGAAATAAACACAAAATGCCAAAACAGTAGTAAGATATATAAATAAAGAAATAAATTGTCTTTGCTTGCAACCTGATTGTAGAATATAATGAAAGGCCCAGTCTTTAGAAAGATTTTATAAAATGTCAGCTATCCAGGGTTGGGTTCTGATCATCTTTCTCACCACCTGGCAAACTGTAGCTACAACTTGCATATTCATTAACCAACTATTAGAGGCTAGAAACGTATTGAACAGCTGTTACGTGTTAATTCTGGCATTATTGTATTATTTCTAAGTTGTGTAGAAGATACAGAAAACTGATTACTACACAGTTCTGCAGAAATAGATATTATTTTGTTGTATGAGGACTAATGGTCAGAAGATGCCTGGGTATTTCTCCTTCATAAGGAGGAAAAGTAGAAGTAGTAAAATGAACACTGAAAAGGAAAAATGCAGTGAAAAGTAAAAATAGCAAAATAAGAAATACTCAAATGGGTGTTACATGATAACATCTAAAAGAAATAGGCTATGGCTACATATAAACATTTATTTATGTACATGTTTATTTATTTGTTTGTTTGTTTGTTGATAGTCCTCTCACGTCACATATACTGCTGCTGGAACTTGCCAGCTTTCTGTTTAAAAAAATAAAAGCTTACGTGTCATTCAACACTTTGAAAAGAACATAGCACACCATTAAAGTTTGTTTCGTAGTTAAGTCTGGTATAAACTCTTCTCAAATTATCTATTCTTTTTTGTGAGTTTTTTTGACATGTATGGAATTATTAATTTGTTATTCAACAAAACGTGGACATTGCGACTCATCTTTTGGTACGTTTATTTCGAAAGTTGTGACCGGATGTTGTAGTTGTCATCGCGTCGATCTTAACAGCAGTTGTCACAGCTGGGTAGTTGGCTCTCCACAAGTTGAGCAACAGCGGTACGTTGGGAGCGAGCAAATTGCTGCATGGATTTCCCGGAGCTGCACATAACTTAAGGTGAAATTTGCACTCACTAGAGCTCTTTATTTGAATGACATATTTATTATATAGATACTGCACTTATCTGGCCTTGTTTATGTGATGCAAATTTAACTTGGTACTTTGTAACTTAACGGTCACTGTGTCGGTTAAAACTTATTCATTGTATGTGGCTGCCTTACAACGGCTGACCGTGTCGAAACGACAGACAACGGGTTTCAAATTTGACCAAAAACGTCGGCGCATATCGCTGGTTTTGTGTCTAATTCATACTACGCCAGAGACCGTGATTTAGCTGAGCTTAAAATGGAAGTGTGTGATTGTGTTTGGTTTGAGCCTGCGACTGAAAGGTGTGTGGTTAGCCGGGGTCCAGCAGCAGCATGGTGCTTTCTGGAAGTTTTTCCACTCTGCGTCGCTGACTGCAGCTCTACCACCAGGCTCCCCGTCCACTGATGCGGTGCCAAGTGCCATGGTGGCAGTAAGTTTACAGGCTTACAGACCGATATAACCTTTAATGTTTGGTCTCATTCGCGGTAAACATTTGGCGCTGGAGTTGGAGAGAGCCCCCCCCCCCCCCGCTGTTTTGACACATGGATATATGGGGGAGGAGGCGCTTCAGGACACACCGTTTGGAAAGTTGCTCTCAAACTCTTTCAGCTGGCGGTGCCACTGACTGTGGTAGCACTTCAAATGACAACGTGGATTCTGCTTTCATGCTTGTACATTGTAGGTTTCAGTAGTCTGAGAGCCTGCTGAGCTCATTTATGCTGATGCAGCTGTGAACGCATTTCTTGGCAAAAGAGCAGCATAATGTATTTGTTCATGTAAGACTCGGTTTGCTGTGTTGCATTTAGGAAAGCTTAATGAGAAAACTTTCTTTCCTCACATTTCTCCACCTTATAGCTGAACAATAGCTGACTCCCAGTTTGGAAATGTAACTCCTGCTAGACGCCTTGCCAAAGAGCACTTCAGCACTAGTTGTTCAAGAAGAAGAATGAGTCAAAGAAGTCTTCTTGACAGGAACATTAACTTCCTTGTTACTCTGATTACTTACTGTCTCAGTCTCCCCTTATTGCAATATTCACTGGGAAAAGGTAGCCAATCGGAAATGCCTCATTGGGGTTGGGGTAGTTTGACTTAACTTGATATATGAATATGAAAGGAAATTCTCAAAAAGGTGACACCACATTGCTTTATTTACTTTGTTATCATTCCATTGTTGACTTTTGGATTATAGACTCTTTTGCTTACATTCTTCTCATGTTTTAAACACTTGTTCAAATTTTAATTTCTTTATCTAGAGAATACAATGCTGGGAATGTAAACTACATTTTCTACTACTACTACTGTGAACTTCTTCAGTAAGCTGCAGTTGAGAGCAAAAAATGTCCATGTTTTTTCTTTTTTTTTATGTTTTATTTTGGCTTGTACTACAACCTTAAAGGCTCAAAACCACATTAAGAAGGAAGAGGATCAAAAGGTTAAACAGCTCTAACCCATGACAGAGGGACTTTAATTGTCGCCATGACCGTGACTCTGCCACTACACAAAGACCTCTTTCCCCTCTCCATGGACCAGTCAAGTGTGTTATTCATTCTACCCTGGAAAATAGACTTCTCTTTAGCCCTGTTGGTCCCAGCAGCTCTTTTCAGTTTTAGTTCACTTATAACAAACCCAAAGCTTCATATTATTATCCTGGAGACACCGACTGGAGCAGAAACTACCACAGAGGCAGTTTTGAGTACTTTGGCAGGTGTTTATATGTCACTGTGATAGCGTCATAACCATGCAAGATGAGTACTGAGTACTTGTGTAATAATGTAGTAATGAGTATTCATGGGTTGGACAACATGTTGACCGGCGTTGTGTTGTACAGTTGAACAAAATCATATTGTGTCCTCTGCTGGTATGTGTAAAACTAGTTTCCATGTGATCAAACTACCCAGGCTGATCTCTGAGCAGCCACATTTCCAACACTTGCTACTTTCTGTGTTGCCCCGGGAGGGGGTTTGCGCTGCTCTCTGCAGACCTCATCTGCTCCACAGTGATAGAAATGCTTCTTCACCCAGGATGCTGTGGCTAGACCAGCTGGCTGTTCTCTAACTGCTTTCTCACAGTCTAATATACCCCCAAGCCAAGCGCAGGATAATCACCCACCGTCGAGGACACCAAGCTACTTAGGCAGACTGAGGGCTTTGCAGTTTTAATCAGTCGTAGGCTGTTTATCTCCAGCTTGGAGTGCTCTCTGTGTTTTCCATTTGTACCTGGATTCTCAATGAATCACTCCCGGCTTCTGCATATGTTTTTGAAGACAGGTGGTGGATTATGTGGTGGGTGTGATTTTCAGCTACCTCTTCCTAATGGGGAGGGCCTGAAGGGTTTGCTGGAAGGGTTTTTGAGGGGTTTTCTTTCTCTTAAGCTCTGTGTCCTCTTCAAAGCCTTGTGTGCTGCTGTGGCTCTGGTGTCATGTGTAGCCATGAGCAATCACAGGTATGTTGTCTGTACAATGGTTGTCTCTCATGTTGGAAAAGTGCAGCAGACGCTCACCTCAGTGGGAAAGCGCTATTTTATGGCTCTCATGACAATCCTGTTTCTTTACATTGCTTTCAGGTTTTAACTTTCATATCCCAGTTTAGTCAGATTAGTCAAGTTGTGGTGCTTTCATGGCCTGAACTGTCTTATTCTATATTTTTTGTTGCGCGTGTCACTTGAGATTTATGCTATCTGTTGCTGTGCCTCATGCATTATAAAAAGTAATATTTATTTTTTTAATTTTCGGTCTGCAGAAAATTAGATGAAACCTTGTCTTCACTCAAGCTGGACCAGTTGCCTTGGGGTTTCATATAATTTGAGCTGCTGGCTTTATATTGACAGAATCCATGCTGACTGCCTCTATTTCTTTTGTCTCCGCATGAACTCCAATTTAGCAGGGACTTCATTTCTCAGATCTGCGTGGTGTAAGTTGTTATCTTTAGGCAAACATTTAAACCACTTGGGCCCTGTACATTTACTGCTGAAGTGTATGTGTTCCTCACGCACTAATCACTGTAAAAACAGTGAGCTCATTTGTTGTAACAGGAGGAGGGGGAGAGAAATGGTAATGGCAAAAGAAAGTTAATTGGGAAAAAGTGTTGTTTCTTTGTTTGTTTTTGCGCTTTGTATGTTTTTCTCTGGAGGACAACACCTGCCAAACAAAAGCATCACAACACCTATTCCTAGAAAATCTTGCAAGTGCTAGAATGCACATTATTAGACCACCATAACTCACTAACAGCAGGGGAAAGGACTGAATATTAAGCAACCTGTCTGGTTCCTGGATCTCTCATTGATGGGAAGCAGAGGAGCACAAAAGTTTTTCCCAGCTCTCTGCAGGCTGCGGGGTCAAAGTCCAAACAGCTTCCCTGTAATAGTGCTCTGCAGCCAGCTGGGCCAAAGAGAAAGACCGCTTACAGGTTCTCCTAATGGGCCAAAGCTAGAAGAATAGATGACAGCTACCCTACCACCAAGGAATGTCACCTCTGTGACATAGTTATCATTCAGCTTCTTCATTGTTTTTGACATTATGGCTGCATTCTCACAGTTGTTGATGGGAATTTTAGCAGCCTGTTTCCTTTGATGTTATGACAAGGATTTTGATATTAGAGGGAAATGACTGTAAACTTTAGTAAATTGTTTCACCTTGTGTTTATTCAGCATATGTGAAATATTTATCCTTTTTCAAATATCGAACAACATATTAACAACACTCTCTCCCTGTGGCACTCATGAAAGATAGACTTGCATTCAAGTCATCCAAGAGTATGATGTGGGACCACTTCTGGGATCATGGTTAACTCTAATTGGTGCGAGAGGGTGAAGACAGATTCAATTCAGGCATTAAGGTTATCTGTGTTCTTTTAATATCTGGTCCGATTCTCTATCTTCGCTTTAGTCTGGCATGAAATTGCCTCCATGCCAAAGTGAGTGGGTGCTTTGGCATTGGTTCAGCTATCTTGTGGCCAACTGCTTTTCTCTTTAATCTTAATTTGCTGCTCTGTATTTCTGTCATTCAAACTCATTCAAATGCACCATAACACAATGGGTGAAATATGAAACTGTGCGGCAGTTTCTAAAAATGGAATCATTTAGTAAATTATGGGAGCATATAAGTGGCTTTCAGTTAGTATGGCAAGCAAAAGTAACCGTCTGTGTACTGATGTTTTTCTTTCCCGTCATTGTGAAACACAAGAGTAAATGATAGAAGGATACTCTGCATCTTTTTGTGCACTCAGATAATTGCATTATAACCAGAGTCAGGCACTGATCATTGCAACTACCATGTAAGAATCAGTATCCAAGACTTTGTAGTTTTTCTTTTGAACTCTGATTGGATACTTTAGTGGTGTGACTTTGACTGACTTTAAGTCCTGTGTTTTTTTTTGTTTTTTTTCCTCTCTCTCGACCCAATCAGCCTATGACTAATGTCAGAGCTCACAGGAACACCCGATATTTCATTTACTTCACACCAATCTCTTTCCTTTTCCATCTCATTTCTGCACATTCATAAATTGGAATCGTAAATTGAAGCCCCTGCATAGGTGAAACATTTTGCCTAAGTTTAAACATTTTTAACTTTAATTATTTTGTAACATAGTGACTGTTTGCGACCACTCATATTTTTAAATTTTTTACTTTTTCTGTATGATCCAGACACCTTGAGAGTGTGAGTGAGTTCACTTAACCTCACAAAGAATGGGGGCTGTCCTTGACTGACTTTACTCAGGCTGATACAGTATTAAGGCACGGACATACTTTCTGCGTCGATGGACAGCTGCAGACCTAGTGCAGACGTGGAAGCACTTCCATTCATATTTCAGTTGGGGTCTGCGTTGGTCTAGCGTTCCATGCATGCACATTTCCTGATCCACACTCCATTCCAGTTGGTGGCAGTAATGCTCCGCAGCATTGTTTGCCGACCGCTTTAAAAATTAAAAAGTAGAAGAAGAAAGCAGGACGGCAATAAGAGAAAATATAATGTA